TTTGCGCGTTCCTCCGCCGGATGTCACTTCGTTCTGGTCACTCAAGAGAGCTATGGGTACTGCTCTAAGCTGGGACGACATCTTCGACAAATACTCCGAAATGACTTACGCCTTGCGAGAAATGCTGGCTTGGGCCGATATGATGGACACTATGATGGAAGATCTATCACGAGGTCCTGACCGCGAGATCTCCGACCCTAAGGACGAATTCATGGGTTTCTGGGCTAATGGGTACCCTAAGGATCGTCTCGACCGTATGATCCGAGCCGGCATTCCTTGCTTCGTAGTTCACCGGATACCGGAGGACAAAGCGGCGGGTATTAGGCACAAATTCGTTCAATCCAGCTTCATAGAAGGCACTGAAACCGCCGACATGATCAATCATAACCCCTACTCCGAAATACCTCGAGACGGCGTTAGTCTGCCCAGACAATCGATTCCCCGCAAACTACAGTCAGGCTCTGCTCCTCCTCCTGACCCAAAGGGAGAGAAGCTAGCTGATCCTAGCTACCGAGAACCCGGGCAGTACTCGTTCTGGCAGAAGCGCCCTGTCGTTAGCGATTGGCCGGACAATCCCAAGATGAACTGGAAGTCTTCGCGCCCTTCGAGCTTGAAAACGGTGACGAATGACGACACTGGTGGCTGGGGTTCCTCCTGGCCGACAACACCTCCTACTTGGAACGATCCGGCGCCCTCAACAGAGGACTGGAATCGTCCTACGGACGACCCAGCTCCTCGTCGCTCTCCTCCTCCTGCCAACAAAAGGGACCAAGACGTGATGCGGAGAGCTCGCTTAATTGACGTTCATACGCCCAGTGACGGCCGGAGGCCTGCTGTCACCGCCAATCCCTTGCGAGACGACTATAAGCCTAAGGAATGGGATCGCGTCTCGCTTTACCCGGGGAGGGTCCCTTGGATTCGCCCTCCGAAGTTGATCGAGATGCGAAAAGGGTTCGGCAAGCTGCAGCGATTCGTCATGGGTATTGGGGAAGACGAGAGGAAACGAATGGAGTTGGTCGGACGTAACTCGGGCACAGATGGGGGGCCCAACAGCACCTTCTTCGATCGCGATAACCGTCGCACTCTCATTATCCTGGGATACGAGACCCCTAAGGGCGTAGTCCGGCCTGATATCTACGGCATGCCCGCGCCGAGATGCGATTACGTCATCAGGGACAAATACGGGAATTGGATGCCATCCCGCCCTTCGTACTGGATGTTTCGAACTGCTAGCACCACTGGCTTGCAAGCGAGTGCCCCTGAAACGGCCCCAGTTCCAAGACCATATCAGCTGGCTGCACTGGACGATCCGGATAGGCCTACCCGGCCGTTCACCGGGGACGACAAGGACGACGATGACGATAAAGGACCCTTTCCCCCGTCTGACAAAGGGAAGGGTAAGATGGCCGTGGCAGCTGACGCAATGGACCTGGACGAAATGTCCGATTACGGCGATCTCCTCGACTCCGATCTACCCGAGCCCAGACCTGCCACCTTCCGCGTAGAAGTGCGGGGTAGCGATGCTCTCTCAGCTGAGGAGTTCTACAACCTCGAAGTCATCCAGAGAGTCCGTAACGTCGCTGATTTGGTGCTAGTGCTATTAGCCGGGAATAGCGTGGTCATGGAAATGGGATCTGTCAACGACGACGGCGATGGGTTTTCTCGAACGAGAGATGTATTGGGTCTCCCTCAGCTACCTGGACAGAGAAGAGTTCGACCGTATCTCCGGTTCTGTTACCGACACGTATAACAGGCTTGAGTCCAGAGGTGCTCGAGAATTCAGATTGGCTCGGGAGGCCAGAGCCCGGGAGGCCCGATTATCCGCTCAAGAACCCCGCGCGGAAGCAGTACCTTCCACAGTTGCAGCTCCTCGGGCCGACGCTACCTCCGAAGGAGCGTCAGATCTTTCGCTGTCTGCCCCCGCGCCATCCGGGAATCCCACACCCTTGAGGACCCTCGCTCCTGTCGCAAGCACCGCTCCGGTTCCAGCCACGGCTTCGGTCTTGGTCCCAGCCTCCGCACCTCCTCCGGCCCCAGCTACGGCCTCGGCCTCGGTCCCAGCTCCCGCCCCGGCTCCGATCCCCGCAAACAGCGGATCAGGGACGGCTTCGTTGACTCAGTCGGCGGTGGTGGCGCAGGCTCCCCTGACGCCCGCGACAGGCGCTCCGACGGCTTCCTTGTCCCAGAGGATGGGGGTGGGCCTACAGGAACGGATCAGACCAAGGGGAAAGCACAATCCGGGCAAGCTCCTCCGTGATGAGCGGCGTCGGATCGAAAGAGAGATTCGGCTGGGTCGTGCGGGCTAATTTAGGTCCCTTTGCGCTCGGGTCGTATCAATTATCGATGAACGAAGGGCCCGCCTCGACGACAGCGTTGCCATCGGAAGGTCAGGTGGCCGGAATCCTGCCACTTGTGCCAGACGGAGCCTCGTTCATGCTCGGCTCTCATACGCTGACCCTCTCTGCACCGACGCAGGCAGACCCCTCGGAGACGGTCCTGACTACAACTAGCGACGATGTCTCGATGCCCGGGCCAGAACAAGTGACCTTGGCACTCGGGTCGCACACGCTGACCCTAGTGGCGTCTGTACAGCAGGGAGACTCTCCACAAGCAGGAGTCCACGGGATCGTCGCAGACGGATACAGCCCCGATGCCCGACGTAAGAGATGACGGACCCCTGAATTCAATGGAGCTGAGGATGCCGTCGCTGGATTCCGCTGACAGCATTGGGCCCGTTCAGGCTCAGTTCGTCTCGACAGGGCATATGGTTGTCAATGGTGTTTTGGTCCCTCTCGCTCCGCACGCTTGGGCCGGGTCATTCGGTCCCGCCGAGGGAATGGCCGTTCAAGCTCCTCCCACACCAGTACAAGATGGATCGGATATGGAGGTGGACGGACCCGAGGAAGACGGGTCAGGAACAAACGCGACTCTCGAGGGAATAGCAGCTTCCTCCCCTTGGGCGGCCTCGGTCTTACGGCGGAACCCGGAAGTTTAGCGGCGACTCTTCGTCGTGGGGGGCTCTGTAACGGGCTATCACTCACCTTACTCTATACGACTCAGAACTCGCACTTTGGATTATCAGATATCAAGTAGACACATGACCAGTAGTCACATGCTATGTAACGGTAGACGTGACTAGGTCACGTAGCAGCAACTTAACTCTTTACTTCTCTATCGTCTTTCCATCTCTTCTCGCGGACCCGTCCCGACCGCCCGAGTACGCGCAACTGCTCCCTCCTCGCCGTAGGCTACGGGTCGCTAGTCGGGCCGCCTTTGGATGCCATCGGCGGTCCGACCCCCTTCTGGATTAACATCCCCTTCTCTCTTCTTCTCGCGAAGGCTCCTTTCGCAGCTGCGTCACAGTGACCCCAGGGTATCCGCCTCCTACTAATATCACGCTCGGACGCCAGCAACGCTGCCGACGAGGAAATATCACTGGGTTGTCTCGCCTCTATCCATAATTTGCGTCGCGTCACTGCACATATCGTCGCCTACGTGGTGGTCCAAGTAATGTGTATGTTTGCATCCGTTCGAGACTGAAACTGTTCAGATACGACTTGCAATAAGCAGTGTGCCTCAATGGGTAACTCAAGAAACCAAGAAGTACAAATTCACCACGCTATATCAGAAGGTTTTGGCGGCGTTTGCTGATGACTCGGACCCCGATCGCCCGGAATGGGGCAAGGAGACTTTAGATTGGCTGACCGAGTACCTTCACTGGCTTTAATGGCTTCAATCTGATTACTTTAGGCGTGTTTTTGGTGATCTGGAGGACGATGGGCCAGATGGAGCGGGCGAAGAGGAAGATAGTGAAGATGAAGCCGTGGCTCAGCGCCGCCGTCGCGCGCTACAAGACGTTACTAACTCTACTCGCGCGTAGCTCTCTGTGGGTTCACGCTCTGCATGCATCTCTTTTCTCACCTTGCGCAGGATTCGTGATTTTGGACTGAAACTTCTGGCCTTATTCTACTAGTCGTTTAGCTATTCGTTGGGCGCGTCATATCCCACTCTCTTTCCACGCGACTTTCCTTGACATTTATACTTCTCTGGCTACCGTAACCGTGTCCGCTATATACTATGACTGTTTATAATCCACCGTTCGTAATCCACCCCAACAATAACTTGAAACTGTCCGAGAACATTTGATGAGATTTGGGATGGCTAACCGAGTGGTTGTTGGGGCTTGGAACGTGGAGCACCTCTCGTATCCTTCACCTATCCTTGGCTACCTTTGCAAGTGCCGATGGGGATTTTTGACCCTTTATACCTATCTGTAAGATTTGGGACGCCTAATAAGGCAAAAAAACTCTCGTAATCTCCGAAAGATATTGAGAACGTAATGAAACGCTTACAAAAGTTTCTGAGTTGGACAATGCCCTACAATCCGTAGCAAGGGGTGGACGTGCTTGTTAGTAACTGAAGGGTAGTGAAAAGCTGCAAGGCTAAAAATTTGATACAAGGACGATGGAAGCCTAATTGGGTATATAAAGAGTTTTTTGGGGTTTTTGAGTTTCAAGATCTCCATATACCGTCAGTATAACAGGGCGACTACCATTGTGGAGGCTTACAAGGCCTTGCAGGCGTTACAATTACGTAGTTGGCACGTTACATCACTCCGCCGGTTTTTGTGATGTCAGGGGGAGATTGCACAGTCACGGGGAACCACAGTACGTCAGGCGGGGTCATTGCGCTCCCCGCCACCAACAACCTTACAATGTTCTCTGGGGCGATTAGATCGTGCACCCGCGTGACTCGCCGAGCGACGATGGGTGGGTACTAGCTTTAGTATTACTCAGAATACATTTGGTTCCACATATAAGAAAATCGCCATCCCGTGGACTGCGGCATGACATAACATTCACAAGTACTTGCTTCCGATACTGTTCCAAGCTTCCATAGTCAACAGGTCTATGTGACCAGCTTGGGTACAAAGTCTATGGAGTACTCCCATACACACTTGAAAAACATTCGATTCCACCTTACACCAGCCCGTTCATGCTCTAGTTCCCCTCTTGCGAAGCAAATGGCGGATCCGTATACCCCCTCGGCGAGTTCTCTCCAACAAGATAAAATGTCTCGCGGTTGTACGGCGTGAGAGGAATATCGCGCTGAAGACGCACAGGAAGATCCGGCTACGCAAAAGTCAGCCAAAAGAAAAAGGCAAACAAGTTCCAAGCTCACGTTCGATATGAAATGCCTACCGAACACGACGAGCAGTGTCTCGTCCTCCTCTGCCTCCAGCGTCTGGTTCGCGATGTCCTTAGTGAACGCGCCCGCAAGAAGGGTCACCCGTCCGCTGCCGCGCCACAGCTTTCTGAAGGGGAGGTTGGACTCGTGAGCGCCAACCTCGTTCGGGTCGCGGGTAATGTTCCCATGGACACGGGGTTCAACGAGGTGCAGATAAGCCAGTGGCGGGTCTTGGTAAGCTGCAGCTAAAGACGAGATAACGTGCGAGAATTGTGGAATCGGATCCTTCATGCCCATTTCTACAGGCAAGTTGATAATTCCCGAAAATGATGGGAGGACACACATACCACCAAAGTGACCCCAGGGGCTTAGTCGTATTCCTGTCCGCTGAGCCCCGACCCTCTTGACCACTGCTTCGACAATTTCGAGCACGAAGCGGGACCGATTTTCGATGCTGCCTCCGTAATCGTCTGTCCGCTTGTTGGTAACGTCTTGGATGAATTGATCAGGAAGATATCCGTTGGCGGCTAGCGGTATATTAATCCAAAAAAGCAACACAAGTACAAAGTGGTTCAGGACTCACAATGAACCTCTACACCATCAAAGCCAGCCTCGATTGCGTTGGCCGCGCCTTGAGCATAGAGCTCAACGTATTCCTTAATCTCCTCTATCGTCAATGGTCGTGGAAGGGGTCCATCAGGTCGGGAAGTGTACCCAACATCTGACGCCGAGACGTAGGAGAAAGTTGGGTCCTCGGACAGAAGTTGAGCCGGATCGGCAGCCCGTCCGATTGACCAGAGCTGCAGGAAGATGAACGACCCTTGTGCGTGAACAGAGTCCGTTATCTATGAAGAATTTCAGCTCCAGCTTAGAAAAAGATTGCAATCGTCGCAAGACATACCTCCTTCCAGGCTGCGATTTGGGCTTTACTCCAGATACCTGGAACATGTGCGTAGCCACCAGCTTTTGCAGCAATATACGTGCCCTCCGTGATGAGTAGCGTGCCTGGGGTGCTGCCTCGCTGGGTGTAATACTCCTTCACGAGCGGAAGGTAGGGCACATGTTCTTTGTCCGCCTTGTAGCGCGTCAACGGCGCAAGCACAACCCTGTGCCCAGTCTTGATCGCGCCAACACCAACGGAAGTGAAGAGCTTCGAGCCGGGGCTGGTCATAGCAGTCAAGGTTCAAGGGAAAGTGCCTGGGACTATGGTTGGTGAGTTTTATGTATCAGCAGATGAGTAAGATGGCGACAGACTGAGAATTCTCCCCTGCATGATGGATGGCGCGAGACCCTTTTGCCTATTTCCGAACCGGGACGTTCTTTCTGCGTAATCCGTGTGCTTGTTGCGAGCTTATCGTCGTTTGTAGCAAAATCGTCACTGTCGCATCAATGTGACGCATCAAGATTGGTTCTTCAACTCCCGCTCAACTCAAAATTGTGCCACACCAGCGCCAAACTGGCACTTTCAATGCGGAAATCAACTCCGCTATCTAGCTATTTGCATAGCGCGAATACACCAACAGAAAGTTTATCCATTGTTTCCATTCGAATGCTCTCCATTGAGTTCTCAAACTCGAGCACAAAGTTTCCAGCAGAAAACGTGGGCACTATTTCTGGCTAGGCTCTCAGCTGCGCAGCACATATAACAACTGGGGTCTTCGACGCGTTTTTCCCTCATCGGTCAACCATGCACTGGCGGCGAAATCCAAGCGAAAGCCCTCCTACTAGTCCGAATCCCGACCAATCTATTCAGAACAGGAATGGAAAAGAAGGTGGTCCCCAAATATGATCTTTCTATTGTTGCTCACTGTCTCCAGAAATCACTATAAGGGTCGAAAACCGCCCAGTCATCCGACGAGGCGCTGGAAAACGAAGCAAATCCTACACCGATGCATATAGAGCAAAGCGTGCCCTGTGCCGCATCCTTCATGAAAAGGGGTGGTCAGCCAGTGATATAACTCGGGAAACCGGCATAACCGGAGGGACTGTCTACCCCGCCTTGAAGAATGCTCTCGAGTTGGTTCGTATGGTCGATGGCAAACCTGTGCGACGAACTCAACTCGACCGCGACGACGTCACACAGGACGAAAAACTCGTCGACAAGGGGTTATTAGCATTTTTGACCGCAAACAATGTCAATACGTCTCGAGTGACCAATGAATGCGCCGATGCCAGTTCTGAGTCGGAACAGGACCAATCTGAACCGGATTCAGCGCCTAATCCTGCCATAGCGAAAAATCCCACGAACAGGTTTGTTTGTTTGTTCCAGTTGCATATCTGAACTAAATTCCTTTCCAGAACACTAACTGCTTCCGACCGAGCGTTATGCCGAATTCTCCACCGTCGTTATTGGTCGTATGAGCAGATCGCCCGAGCTTTTGGATACAGGCGACCAGGCAGCACTTCTCCGGTGTATCGAGCGGTGAACTACTATCCGAGCACAGACGATATCTCTCAAGACGAAAATATTGTTAGCAGGGCCAGACTTAGAGAGCTTATTGCAAGAGAAGTCCTCCATCCACCAGTGGGAAAAGGACCGGTTTGTCGTCTTCATCGTTGCATAACAATGAAGTTCAAGTTTGTCCAATAGCGTGTTCATTATGTCAACAAATCGCAAGCAAATACTTTGCGCCACTCGCCACACGGCATATCTGCCAGTCCCAGTCCGGAGGCGCAGTATCCAGAAGAAAGAACTGGTGTCACGTCTCAAGCCTTTAGGCAGGTGCCTGGCCCAAGCTCAACCTACCCGATTCAAACTCACTACTACACACACTACAACGCCCGTAACCCTCACGATCGAGGAGCACATACTATCGACTATTCGCTCAGGGAGTTCCTCGCCAACATCCGACCCGAAATTGATCTGTCTAGTCATCTTGCCTTGTTTCTCTATCGAGGGGTTGATACGATTGTCAAACTGCGTGCGATGAAAAACTGGGAGGATGCAGATCTCCGTGAAGCGTTGAAGGATTGGTTCCAAATCGGGCACTGGCGGCAGGGGTTAGCGGGATTCGTCCCGCTCAGTGACTATGAACTGCTGGCTTTGAGACAGGCAATCCGAAAATTGTAGCTTGAACACTGATGCAGTCTGCATCCATGAATGTTTTTTTTTGCATCCTGTAAAGACTGGAATTGTTGATGTGACAACGTGATCTTCCCAGTTGACACCGACTCCGATTAGCTCCGTTCGCCCAAGCTCACTGTTCAATGCGAGTACCTACTTCCAAAATTGAAGACGACTGCGTCAGCAAGAAGCTTATCCGCCCGAACTCCATTCAAAATTGCTGAATATGAGGCTTTCCAGAAGGAATCTGGACACCGTTTCAGGCTAGGTCTTCGTCTGCGCAGCCCGTATAAAAAGCCTGTCGTATCTCGTGCCCTCACCGGACAGCTGTGTATGCCACGACACAGTCAGAGTGCTAGTTGGGACGGGAGTGAGGACGAAGGTAGCCAGGCTGCTGTCCCTTGTGTCGCTGACTGTCTTTAGGCATGAGGCCAAGTACCTCAAAATTTGCAGCCATGCGAAACGAAGGACGAAGCGATACTGCCGAATACAGAGCGAAGCGCGCCCTTTGTCGCATTCTTGAGGGAAAAGGATGGTCAGCTTCTGATATCGTTCGGAACGCGGGTATAACACCAGGGACCGTCTACCGCGCGTTGAAGAATATACGCGAAATAAATCGCGTGGATGAGAGAATAATTGAACAAGGTCGCGACGATGTCGCCCAGGATGAAAACTGCGTCGACAAGAACCTTCTAGCGGCGTTGATTGCGAAGTATGGCGCCAACCGCGACAGTGGGATAACCAGTCCTACATATATGGCAGCTGATACTGACGATGGCACCAAGTCAAGCTCAGAACAAGGTGTGCTTGAAATCACCCATTATAGTATCAACAGACTCAAATGAATCAAAAGCAGACAAGTCGAAAACGATGCTGAGGCATGGGTATGCATCCTCTTTGCTGTCATTACTGAACCCCTTACAGGAAATTAACTGCCTCTGAACGAGCTTTGTGTCGTATACTCCGACAGGAGCATCATTGGACGTTTATCCAGCTCGCAGCGGCATTGGGTGCGCCTAGACCAGGCGGTCGTTCGCCAGTGTGTCAAGCGGTCAAGCAACCGGGCTCAGACGATGTATCGAAGGACCATGAGATAGTCGATAAAATACAACTCGCCAAGCTCGTTACACATCAAGTCTCCAAGTCACCTGCGGGGAAAGAAAAGGTTGGCCTTTTCGGTTTTTAACCACTTGGCAATTGAGACTTGTTTAGCAATATGTGCATTCGACTCCTAACCAATCGGATCGAAATACTTCGCGGTTCAAGCCATACAACACTCCCACCAGAAAAAAATCGAGTCATCGAACGGTCTCCAGCATTCCTATTGCTTCCCCCAACATATTCTCGCCCAGTCCTCCCCAAATGCATGCGACGACTAATCATGCAGATGACTGTCGTCCAGAGTCCTATAACGCCCATTGTCTCGCACAATTCCTCGCAAACGTTCGACCTGGGATCAATCTTTCCTCCCACTACGACTTGTTCATCCATCGGGGTATCGACACTATTAGCAAAATACGTGCGTTGAAGACCTGGGAGGATGCTGATTTGCGTGAAGCGCTGCTGGAGTGGTTTAAGACTGGGGAAGGGTTGGAAGGATTCGTCCCGCTCAGCGACTACGAACTGCTCGCTCTCCGGCAAGCAATCCGAAAATTGTAGATCTATCTGAGCTCTGTATTTCAGTCCATGAATGTTTTTTCTTTGCTTTTCTGACTTGTTTTATGGTTGATGTGACGGCGTGACCTGAGCATCTCAAAACTATCTCAGAATCGACCCCTGCGAGCCTATTCGTTTGGTATTCAAAACTGTTGAATATGAAGCTTTCCAGAAGAAACGTGGACACCGTTTCGGGCTAGACCTTTCCCTGCGCAGCCCATATAAAAGGCTGGTCATTTCTCTTACCGTTCTCCACTTGAGATGCAGCTGGAGCCACGACCAAATCAAAGCATGGGAAATGCAAATGAAGGTATGCGTATCTCTTTTCTTTTACCCTCTGCCTCATCCTATCCAGGTGTCGAGAAATCGAACGGCACAGACCAGAACGTCGACGAACATAGGGCAAAGCGCGCTCTTTGTCGAATTCTCTATATGAAAGGATGGTCGCCTGCCAAGATCATACAGGACACCGGCATGGCCGACGGTACGGTCCGTCGCGCGTTGAAGAACACGCTCGAAACAACTCGCTCGAAGGAGCCATGGCTTCAGCACGACCGCGACGATATTACCCAGGACGAAACCTTCGTCGACAAGAATCTTCTGGCGGATTTACTTGCCGAGTATGGTACCTTCGAAAGTCACGATGGTGATGAGTCGGAGCTCGATGAACTCGAATCGGACACTCCTAACCCTGTCGTCATCATCTCGCCGAAGCCATCATCGAAAGCACATAACTCCCCAACCAAGTTTGTTTACCCGTGAATCTCTTTACTATGCTCACCACTATATGTCTTACAGCAAATTATCCGCATCTGATCGAGCGTTGTGCCGTATACTCCGCAAAGATTATGGTTGGTCGTTCAACCGGATGGCAACAGCATTCGGGATGCCTCGACCAGGGGGTCCTTCGCCAGTGTGTCAAGCGGTCAATCAACCGGGCTCAGACGATGTATTGAAGGACCACGAGATAGTCGACAAAGTAAAGCTCGCCAAGCTCATTGCAAACCAAGTCTCCCACTCAGCAGTGGGGAAAGAAAAGGTTCGCCTTTTCGTCCTTCAACTGCCAGTGTGAGTTGTTAACTGAAAATTTCTTCTTAGCAACATGTACCTTCGACTCCCAACCAATCGTATCTAAATTCTTCGCGGTTCAAGCCATACAACACTTCCAACAGAAAAAATCCTAGTCGGGCCGCGGAGTACCGAACGGTGTCCAGCATTCCCATTGCTCCAGCCAAGGCAAATTTATTCTCGCCCAGTCCTCTTCAAATCTCCGCGCATCGGAAAAATTATGCAGATAGCTGCCGTCCAGAATCCAATAACGCTCATCATCTGCTCGCAGAATTCCTCGCAAACATCCGGCCTGAGATCAATCTGTCCTCCCGCCACGGCTTGTTTATCCATCGGGGTATCGACACGGTTAGCAAACTGCGTGCATTGAAGACCTGGGAGGATGCTGATTTGCGTGAAGCACTCGGGGAGTGGTTCAAAACTGGGGAAGGGTTGGCAGGATTCGTCCCGCTCAGTGACTACGAACTGGTCGCGCTTCGACAGGCAATCCGGAAGCTGTAGACGTGCTTGACCTCGATCGATGAATGTTTGCTTGCTTATTCAAAACAAAGTTATTGTACAATTCGAGATCTCGTGATGCGCAGCGCTGTGATCTCGGAGGCAATCAAGGTTGAAAATTTCTGCCATCATCCTATTGTGAGTCAGTCTCAAGCCTCACGGTTCATACTGCCTGCGGTGGGCTGCGTCGAGTAGGGAATCTTGAAGGTCAGTGGAGCATAGCCAGTACAGTGAGGACCAGTCTACCGCCACTCACAGATACTCCTCTCAGATGCCCCAACCGATAATCCAAGACTCCCGCTTCAAAGGTAAGGACGTCAAGGGAGAAAGGGCATTGAGAGCGCAACGTGCACTTTGTCGCATCTTGTTCAACTCTTACGACTGGTCATATTCGGTTATCAGGGAGAAAACAGGCATACCTCGCGAGATAGTCTCACGAGCACTGAAGAATGTTAAGCTTAAAACACGAGTCGAAGGTGGGCGGACAATGTCGTACTATGTGGACGGGACAGACGTTGTCACGACGGACAAGCAATTTGTCAACAAGGATCTTCTCCGAGATTTACTCAACAAAGAAAGCCCACCAGAACGCGTCCAGAGCGAGTCAGTTGGCAGTGATTTAGACTCAGACTCGGACCCTCGTCCAACCGGAACGAAACAGAGAGCTGCGAAAACGCAGAGTCCAAGGTTCGTGGCAATCTGGGCAAATATACCCACAGTCTGATCAAATATCACTTGGATGCTCCAGATTTCCTAAGCTGACCCATTCGGACCGCGCCCTATGTCGAATTCTCTACCACGAACAAAAATGGAAGTACGACCTTGTGGCAGAAGCTCTTGGTCGGTCGCGTCCTGGAGGAAACTCGCCCATTTGTCGAGCAGTGAAGAACATCCCCAACGCCAAAGGCTCAGATCTCGATGATCCTTCGAGAGACCATGAATTCGTCGACAAAGCCAGACTCGCAGAATTGATCCGCACACACTCTCCTTCCCCTCATCCAGGCCGCCGTTCCACCTCGCGTGCTAAGACACCTCGTTTCAACCCATACGAGCGATCTCCTGGGAAACAGGGGAAGACTACTAGTATGCATGCAAGTGGACAAAATGCTGCCGATTGGGACAGCCTGAGCGAGCCTGACCTTTCTGACTGTCCGCCGCGCTCTCATCACGTTCCCGCCCGCGATGCTGACTCGGATCGTTTGTCCCCGTCTAACAGCAGTAATTCTAGTAGAACATGCCGTATCAGCTCGCGCCGCGCAGCCTCTCCCAAAAAATATCCTACCACATCCAACCAGATGCCATCGCTCTTCGAATTCCTCGCAAATATCCGACCTGAAATCGACCTCTCCGATCGACAGGGCTTGTTCATTCATCGAGGCATCGACACCATCGCAAAGCTTCGGGCAATGAAAAGCTGGGGCAAAGAAGACCTCTCCGAAGCACTGAGTGACTGGTTCCAAGTCACGGTAAAGTCAGAAAAAATATGCTCCACTCAATGACTACGAGCTTGTCGCCCTTCGGCAGGCCATCCAAAAGCTATAAGAACCCACGTACAAACATCGAAAATTGCTAGTTCTGATCGAAACTGTTACATAAAGATTGAGTACAAAGAATATACACAACGTGTTTACTGAGAGACAAATGAGTACTTGCCCGAGCCGACCTGGACCTTCATAGGTGAGCTGGATATTGTAGTGATACCCTGGGCTTGTGCCACGGCCTTCCCGCCCTCGGTCAACGTCTTCGCTGAGCCAAACGAGACGGTCGCAGTAGCGCCGACAGGTAGCGTCACGTCCAAAGAAAGTGTGGCCCCATTCGTTTGGTATGAGACAGTGATATTGCCAAACGGAGTCAAAAGCCAACCGCTTGCCGAAGGGACTGTGGATGTGAAGACGGGGGCGATGCTGACGGTCTTGAACGCCGTGCTGGTGAGCTGAATACCCAGCACAGACTTGTAGAACCAATCTTCAAAGGTGCCGAGGAAGTACTGTAATAATATTCAGCTCAGCGACAGGAATGACCAAAATGAAAGCCACGAACATGATCATGCGAACGCGCTGTTACGGCCCAATGCTCCCACATAGTCGTTGCACCGTTTTGGATCCAGAAGCCCCAGCTCGGGAAAGTGGTTTGTTGCGCCAGAGCCAGAGCAACATCTGCATGACCATTGTTCGTCAACATGGGCAGGATATACTTCGTGCTGAGAGCGCCAGTATTGAGGTGGACTCCTCGCGAGTTGACATCGGCTGCAACACTATCCGCAACTGCTTGGGCATTACTGGGACTTGTTGTCAAGTTGAAGGCCAGGGCAAGGAGGTTATGAGATTGACGATAGCCGCTATCGCCAACGCCAGCGTAATGGCCATTTGCCCAGAAAGCGTTATTGAATGCAGTCTTAACTGCAGCAGCCTGCGAAGCAAACGTGGCAGCATCGGCGGTATTTCCTAGAGTTGTCGCAACTCCTGCCATGATATCGAACATATGATACCTGAACAAGACATCAGTAAATAAACGAGAATTCATGGCAAAATAATGCTTACAAGTATGCAGTCGCGGGAACCCTTGAGTCTTCTGGAGGATTTCCGCCCAATGGTGAAGTCTCTGGCGTGACCCAATCGCCCAAGCCAGTATTCGCAATGTTATTTGGCGAACGTCGTAGTTCAAAGTTCACGTAAGTCTTCATGGCCGCGTAATTGTCTGACAGAACCCGGGTGTCGCCGCGGTATGAGTATATCCACGCGGGTATGAGAATGAACGCGGCGCTAAGTAAAAGAGATTGGTCGAGGCTCATGCACTAAGCTAAGAACTTACTGCCATGGGTCAGCTTGATTATTTGCACCCCAACCACTATCCGGAGCAATAACCGCAGGTGGCCCATTACCATCGGCAGGAATGGAGTCGGACAGATCCTGTGCATACTTGGCCAATAAGTCTTGCGAGTCAAAATTCATCAAAAACATTTCCTGGAGCCCCTTAGCACCGTCTAGGTTCACAGTACAACTCAAACTCACAGTGGCAAGCTGGGCATCTCCAGACCAACCATTCTTCTCGTAAACGGGGGTGTCGGTGGGAATGGAATGCAGGTTGTTGAGCAGGGTATAAAGAGTCGCGACATGGAGCTTGTTGAGCAAGTCGACTGAACATTTGAAATCGCCGACTGTGCCAACATCGTCGTGAACAACTTGTGCAATGATGTCCGAAGGTTTAGGGGCAGTCGAGGAAGGCCATCCGATAATCTGAATGTATTGGTAGCCTGAAAAACCCGCTCAATATCGGAGGTAATAGTCCATCTTCCAGCAGCACATACCCTTGTACGAAAACTTGGGTTCAAAGACCTCCGGAGAGCCGGTCCCTGATAGCCAATAACGATCAGTCTGGAAGTTATTCGAGTAATAATGCTGGGTATCTGGCGACCTCGACATTAACGACTGAACGCAGGGAAAATCAGGCGAACCTTGATAGATAACCGTGCCATCTGTGTTGATTTTCTCTCCATAGTGTATCGTCACCAAGCTGCCTCTGGCACCAGTAACCGTCAGCTTAACCCATCCAGAAACCACGCGTTCGTAGGCCGCAACATATTGACTAATATCGACATCAGCTGAGTTTGCCATAGCCAGAGGATAAAACTGACCCAGGAACTGGTTGCGTGATGCTGATTGGGGTCAAACTCGATGTGACCCTTGTCGGCGGTTGTCTTGCATGGATAAGAGCGCCCTTGGGTGCGGGAGCCAACAGGGCGGTGTTCCAGGCACTGTCGTCGAATGACGCCAAGTTCCATCCGGCAACTTCATAACGTGCTAGCAACACTGATAAGCACAAGACCGATTCAGAGAAAGAAAGACCAACACACCATCATAGTTTTCCCCTCCGAAAATGTCATCAAGTCTGGTCGGTCCCTCAATATTCTTCCAGCTGCCGTCGCTCACAACACGTTCTCGTGACCCATCGGTATATACGACACTGAGCACGAGTCGCAACACGGGCTCCGCATGCCATGGCGCGCCAGCCCAGTTCCACACACTACCTTGAGTAACACCATAATGGGAACGACCGAGCTCGGCACCAAGGGCGTTTGCAGCTGGAATATTGCTTAAGCAGAATATCTCTCCCGAAACTGATTAGCCTACAACTGCCACCGTTGAGAAGATTTTTGACATCGACCGCCACATATTGCATTCGTTTGTCGTATTTGGTGAAGCCCGGAGTCATAACGCGGTCGGAGATTGGTTTGCCATTGAGCTGAATTGCAGCGTAACCACCTGCAGCATAGAAAATGCGAGCCTGGGAAACTTGTTTGCCTGACGGAAAATTCTAAGTCGGCAAATGGAATCATCGATGATGACAAACCAATGCTAGTGCCGCTGAGAACAAATCGTTTCCGCAATAGAGGTGCTGGATGTTCGCCCAACGGATCCGGTATGCTCACATCGCTGTTCCAAGGTCCAATACCATATTTGCCCAGAACATTTGCCGCCGCCCACGAAACATCATTGAATGTCGGAGTTTGCCAATTGGAAGGGAGGCTCCCTGCGGAAATGTTAATAGAAGTTGTTAGATGTCATGGCTGCTTACCTAGGGTTTTCCAGCTGCCATCGCTGACGATGCTATCGGTAGAGCCATCTGAATAGGCGATGGTTCCAGAGAACAGGAAGCCTGCTGGACTGGCGCCGCCAGAACTGGCGTCTGGTCGGTTTGTCACTTGAGCGGCAAATACAACTGCAAGACCACCATTGACGGTCACCGGAGCAGTGCTGGTACCTGCACCAAGAGGGATGGAGATGGTGGAAGCTACGCGCCAAACATCAGCATCATTCGATGCTGCTCCAACTTGGACACCATTGACCCAGAGGGTAAAGACATCGTCGCCTGTGATCACGACTTGGGCAGAAACAGCGACCTTGGTAGAGCTGGATGGAAGAGAGACTGTCCGACGGAACGCGACATCACCGGCGGGCGCATTTCCTGCCGCACCAGCGCTGTTCCATATCCAAGAAGCAACGGAGAGAGATGGAATGGGAACAGTTGGAAGAGCAATGCTTACGCCATTCGACCAAGGACCGACACCATAAGTACCGAGATTGAGGACAGTGCCCCATGATGCATCAGAAGTCGAAGGTAATTGGAAGTCAGCGGGGATTGAAGTGGTGGCCTTCCAGGCGCCGGTCGTTGTGGAAGTTGATGTCGAGGATGTCAGAATAGTGGAAGAACCGTCTGAGAAAGAGACGAGGGCCGCAAAAAGAACGCCTGCGGGACCAGCTCCACCAGAACTCACATCAGCTCTGTTGGTTGCTCGTAGAGCGAAAACGAGGGATGTCGAGGTACCAGTTAATGGCACGTTGCGAAAAATTTGGGCCTGCTTCCAAATATCGACCGCGTTGGGTGCACTCCCAACTAAAACGCCATTTGCATAAAGTGTGAAGAGGTCATCGGCTGTAGCGAGGATAGTGGCGCTGGTGGCCGTTTTGCCACTTGGAACGGAGTAGGTAAGACGAAGGGCGATATCTCCCGCCGGGGCATTGGGAGAAGTTTGGCTGGAAGAGGGGGTCCATATCCAGATGGCGCTGGTGAAAGCGTTTATAAGGGGTTGCGGGACGATGGTTGCGTTCTTTCCGATCCAAGCACTCGAGCCCCAATCATTTTGGGAAAGGAAACCGGTGGTGAATGTGGACTGAGCCGAGGCAGAGCCAGCAGAGGAGACAACAGCCACGGTCCAAAAGTATTGAGTGTCGGAAGAAAGAGAACGACCAGAATACGGGGCAAGATACGGGTTGGGAGAGTTGATAACGCCAGAATCCCAGACGTCAGAGCCACCTGCTGTTGAGGCAGAGACTGTGATACGATAGGAAGTTTGTGTGACGCTACGAGCAGTTGAGGCAATTGTCCACGAAAAACGAGGAGAAACATCAATGCCGAGTGGTGCTACTTGGTTCTCTACGAGGAGAGACCCAACCGATACTTGGACAACTTCAGTATAAGTTCAAGACAAAAAGGACAACGCACTTTGTCCATTGGCCGCTCCTACAAAAACGCCTACAATGGCGATGACGGCGAACAGCTGCATCGAAGGGCAGTCGCTGGGTGGCCTCCATAGCCACAGCCGTTAAAATACTGGCGGAGAAGTGTTGAGGGAAGTGTGCAGGGTGAATCATAGGACCCCGCATGTGATGACATGAAGGACTCCATATCTTCTCGCCGCGTTGCATGCTGTTGCATGACCTCTTCTGTGTGAGAGCACTGTGTAACCTTGCTGACTTGACGGCCGGAGACCTTGGTCAAAACGGCGTGGGCGCCGTCAGTGGCATGACCCAAGAAGTTCCAGGAAAAAATCGCTGATCCGATGGATCAAGCCGTGAGTTGTCTTTGCCTTTCCAAACTCAAGTCGAAATCTCATATATTTCTCTTCGAACGGTTCTCGGGAGCAAGTCGGTCCTCAATCCTTTACAAGAATCTGAATTACTCATAGCATATCCTTTTGCTCAGCCAAAATGCCCCATAGAAGACTCGCTCGGTGACTCTGCAGCAGGAAGTCTTCTCGAACGTTAACGGACTTGAAATGCGCCTCCCAGTCTGAGTACACTGCTCAATTGGCGAATCGACTCCTTCTAGCCAAACTTGTCACCGCAAGAAGCAAACTAAGTATCTGGCCCGCATTTGCGCCTCCCGAAGCCTTCGGGGCACGCAAACGGCGTTTATAAAGCAAGAACCGCATCCATCCAGCCACCGCATCGTTCATGGTCATCAAGCTCTACTTTGCGCCGGTGTTGGGTCCGATAGGCGGCGCTTGTGTCGCGGCGCTTGTCTTGAACGAGAAACAGGTCCCGTTTGAGGCGGTCCCCGTCAACTTGCACACTTACGAGCACAGGAGCCAGCCGCACCTGTCCAGGCAGCCGTTTGGCCAAGTCCCAGTCCTCGTGCGTGTTTTCTCTAATCTGCTTGTCAACTACAACGTTTCAAGGACGATAACGGGTTCATCCTCTACGAGACGCGCGCCATTTGTCGTTATGTGGCGGAGAAATACCCCGAGAGGGGACCACGGCTACTTCCTGGCCCAGACTTGCAGGAGCGCTCGTTGTTCGAGCAGGCGGCATCTGTAGAATTCGCCAACTTCTTCGCCGTTGTGAGCGCTATACGAATGGAAGTGACAATCAAACCGTGCGTGCTATCTTGTTTCAATGGCGCAAAAACTGACACCCAGTACTAGGCACATTGGCATGGAGGTAGACCAGGGCAGCGTCGCGCTTTTGCTCGGGCAGCTGGAGATGCTGTTGGACGTTTACGAGGGCATTCTTTCGAAGCGCGCATATCTCCTCGGTAACGTATGCTACTCCACCCACCGTTCTAGGACTTGAACTTAAGTAGCCTTGCTTAGGAGCTGACTCTCGTTGATCTCTTCCACCTCATCGCGATTTCGGCAATGAAACTCGGCGCGATTCGTGAACTGATGACCCCCGATAACCGACCGAATGTGGCGAGATGGTGGGCAGCACTCACATCCCGCCCTGCTTGGGTTCGCCTGCAGGAGGAAGGAATCAAGTCCAAGAGCAGTGTAACGCAACCTGAAATGCAATGATTTTTTCGTTCCTTAACAACAAATTATACCGACCATGACTCGCAGCACTACTTTACAAACAACATATTTATCGTGAGATCCATCGTACAATATACCGACATGACACACCCTGCTACCTCACCAAGTTGCTGGGCCGAATGTGCCTCCGTCTGGAACTGTGAGCAGCGGCAACCCATTCGCATCTGACGTCTTGAGCCACACGGTGTTGCCCCACCAACTCTGTATCGTGCTCGCTCCAATCGCCCCGTTCTTTGGGTATTGGAGACAGAAGAAGATCACCACTGCGGAGACGGCAACACCCGAGTCAAGTGCCGCAGAAAGGACGTCTATATCGGGTTAGGCATCACTGGAGTAGGAAGAAAAGTAAGCAAAAGACGCACAGTTGTACTTAGTCCACCACGAGAAGTGTCTGCGACGAATGACGTATTGGAAGATAAACCCGACAATCGCCCATGGAACGTAGTTGTTGCTGTTCGCCGGTGGGATAAGGCCTGTTCCGGAGAAGATGACTGGGAAGTTGACGTAGCGGATGGCGGAGTTGGGCCACTTGAGCGTCCAGAGCCAGGCGAGGACTGGGCAGATGAAACCAATGAGGAAGAAGAACGTCAAGGCGTAGTAGAGTTGGCCATGTGAGACTTGTTGGAAGGGTAAGCAAGCAGTGAGAGCGAGGTGGAAAAAGTGGCGGCATACACTGTCGTTGAGGTCCAATGACTCCCCAAATAATAGACGCCGTTCCAAAGACTGTCGTACTTGGGCAACGGAAGCCGTCGGGCTGGTGAGGGGCACACATATCTCGAATGTTGGTAAACATCCAGGCCTGCAGGATGACCATGAGACGAGTTGGTCAGTTAGGTATGTTTCATGCGAACCTGAACCCCAAGTTGCACCGTTCCAGCGATTATGGTTGCAATGACTTGAGACAAGAACATTTGACGCGGCGGGACTTTCATGTAGTGACCAAGCTTGAAGTCAGACGTGAACTGTAAGGCTTGGGCCATGGTGATCTATCGGTCATGAGTCAAAACAGGGAGCGAGGAGGGGTGGAAAATGATGCACATAACCAAAGGTCTTGAACATCATCATTGCGACTGGGTGTCCCGGGAGAGCGTAGCTGCCATTTCATGAGCCATGATCTTATTGACGGCCAGGACCCACCCAATGATCAACTCAGTAATGACGTTCAGACCGACTTGCTGATTGGTGATAGCTTGGATCATGCCAATGGGGATGACATAGACGAAAGAGATGACAAGCGCCAGAATCAGGTATTGCACAGGGAACTTGGTGTCCCAGACCTCGATGCCGACAACACCAAAGACAAACATGGTCAAGAAAATGATCGCATACCACCACTCAGGTACTTGAGGGTAGACAGCCATCAAACGCGCATGAATATCGGGCTGTTCGTGCATTGCACGACGAGCTTGAGTCCAAATCTACGGACCAGCGTGAGTGACTGACCATTCTGTTGAAGCAGAGATACCCACCTGTTTACGGAAGAACAGGAATGCGTGCATGATGGTGGCGGTAATGCTGGCGAAGCTCAAGCCATATGAGACTGCAAATGTTGTACTCAGGAACAACGGAGAGTATTTCTTATATCTGTGTTATGTCAGCGAAGGGCCTTGAGACTGGAGAAAATGAACATACTGAGCCTCGTCGAACACCTTGTCGGGCGTCAGGATACGTGACACATCGTAAGGTCCACCAGTGTTGTCAAACGAGCCAGTAGTCGAGATCGGCATGTACTTGCTAAACCACGTGTTCGAGAACTGCAACGTTTGGTGAGGTAGAATCCCAAGGAAGCAGAATCAGCGCATACGTAGATGGCGGGCGTGAGTATCCAGAAGAAGGCGACGAATCCAGCAGCAACATTGGCCTCAGCCCACCATGGGGTCGCGAGCGGGGAGCCGATGTATGCGATCTGAGCCCAATCAAACGTCACAAGACCCATGGCGAGTCCCGTGTTGACACCGAAAAGTTGATTGACGACGAGGTTGTCAGGCTAAGCGCTATTTTTAGCTATGCCACAGAGAGAGAATTTGACGCACCCGGATCCAACAGACCCACGAAAAGAACGAGAGGCCGGTGAATATGTAGCCAGGGAAGAAATACCACGAGAACGAGCACGCGAAAGCGATGTAGAAGAATCGTTCACGCGAGAAGCCTCCACGAGTTCCGATACCGGCATATTGCTGAGCATGAAGCGTATTGAAGAGAGCACATGTAACAAGATTGTATGGCCAAACTGGATCAACATTAGAGGGAAAAACGGCGCGGAAAATACCAAAAACATACTCATACTCGGCGGCGCGACCAAGAAGCGCTTCGCAATTCCACCGATGGAAAATCCAATGAGCTGTGTGCTCATCACGATCATCCACTGGTAGCCAAAGTTGAATGTCTGGTTGTAGAAAACTCGCTGGACAGCAATAATGTCGGTTGCGTAGGCAGAAGGGCCACCGACTCCCGCCATGATGGTGACCAGAACGTGTTCCTACGACAAAAAGGCGATCAAAGATATGAAACTCAAGACTTGAAGAAGAGACTAACTTTGATCGAGAATGGTCCTGGATTGAGTGCCAGTCCGAAAATAGAGACATTGGGAACCAATCGCGCCCATGCTCGTCCGAGGGGGAAGGTAAGCAATTGGGCAACAATCTAACCACAAATGAGGCTCCAGAAATACAAAAATGATATGAAGACGCACACTAGTAACTGTAACAGCCGGGTAACGGAAGAAAAAGAATTGGTTGAGGCCAGGAATAATTATAGCCCAGATAAGACCGAGGGTCCATGCGCGCACTGTTGCGACCGGGATGGTGGGGTCATCGGTGTTGGAGACAGCCGACCGAACTTCTGGGTAGGGCGAGTCGTCTTCGATGATTCCTGCAATGGCAGCATCTTTATCGAGGTTGGGGTCATCGAATTCGGGAAGTGCGGCAGCTTCGAGGGCCTCGATCTCATCGACTCTGAATCCATGGTTGCCGTCGAGCTTTTCTACATCCGTGCTGCTGGCTCGTTTTTCGTTCTCCTCGACGCTCGACCGGATGGGAGCATGCTCTTCGACTGCTGACATGGCGACGGCAGGAAGGAGAGTCTCTGGGTGTGGGAGTGAGAGCTGGAGCGGGGGCTGATTAGAGGATGCCTTTTTATATGGAAAGGAAGACTGACGAGTGCACCGCTTGTCAGTAATCTCTGGCCTTCGGCCGCCCCATGGAGGAATGGATTCTACGGCATAGTTTGCCGCTGCCGTGCTGGCCGTGTGTTAATAGTGCTCCACCCACGACCAAAAATAAAATCCTGAATGTATTTACGTACCACAAAGATCATCTCCCGCTCATAGCACATGCCTGAGAGTAGCCAAAAGGTTCCTATCGTGAGCATACTCGGTGGAGACAACGAGCACACGCGTCACAGGAACATAGCGAGTTGATACCATTGTCAGTGCCGGAGTGGGTGGCTCCGGTCCGAGGTGGGGCAGTCCTACTTCCAAACAGTCCCTATGCGGGGGGCGAGTAGCTCGCTCATGAGTTGATGCGTCGATAATAGACAACGCAACTCGGTTCTTGAATGCAGTCAATGGTTGAGAAAAGAAGGCCGAAAACTTGACACGTGACGGTGATCCGCGTCATCAAGGCCGCTTTGCCCTTGAATATAACTTAAACATGAGCAGGAGCAGGCTTTTCGATTCAAGGCCTGAAGACTTTCAAGTAATGGCCCGCTCTGCGATGTGGAAGCCCAATACTCAGCACACGGTGGAGTGGGAAATTGGACGACTTACTGGCGCTGGGAGTCCTTCTCAGTCCTTGTGGATAGAACTGCTTCTTGCTTCAACTTACAAATAACCCACCTCCACCACGCATGCAGAAGCCATCCCTTCTTTTCCTATGGACGAGGTCACGGAGCTGGTGTGTCTCTCTAGATCTTCACGTTGGAAAAGCGTAAATTGACCTCCGTCAGTGATGCCCTGTCGACTTTGAGTAGCGCTAACTGCCCCAGCAGCACTCGTGTGTCGTCGTCCTTCAGCGTGGACGACAGCCCGAAACCGATGGAATCGAACCTTCTTGATTACCTCACGCTTGCCTCGACCCAGCATACTACCGCTTGTCCCGCAAATTCAACCTACTAAGTATCATCCGCCCGCGCACTAGAACTCGGAGCCGTTAGAATGCCTTTAAAGGCAACTAAAGCGCTACAACAGGAGGCGTGTACTTCCGTTACACTGTCGAAGGCTGAAGGTGGTGTTTTACCTTTTCTATGCTGAAGCAGAACTTCAAGTAAGAAAAGAAGCAACAACCCTACTTTTGTTGGGACGGCTTTGAAGGCTGGAGGCAAGCTGGAGGTCGGGATCTCTCGACATCGACGGAGGCGCATCACGATGGGCGAGCTAGTTCGTTTTCACACCCTCCAATTGCTCGTTGACCATTATATTCATGATGAGATACGACCGCACCCGCCTCCGCTAAGCCATTTGAATGGCTGCGATAACAATTTAAGTCGCTGTCTCATTCCAAGGCGAATCCTGAACAAGCAAACAATTTCTCAGGATGGGGTCGGAGGACGGCACTAGCGTGGGAGCGCAACTACATTCCAAGAATAACTCAAATAGCCCCCAGACCGGTAAGCTAAACAACCGAGGCTTCACGAGGGACCCGATGGCTAAAAGAGTTCACTTCCGACTCGTTGGCATCCCGAACGTTGCCCTTGGCTTCACAAGCTATCTAGACGCCGAGGGAAAACGAAAGACCCATTCAATTTCTCCGATCTCCGACCCAAATCGCAGTATTCAATGATAAACGAACTCACTCGAGGCCCACCGTTAAGTATACCTGCCAGCACACATCCCCGACATCAGCCTTCAATGACTTGACTTGTTGTGGCGGCGATTAACAACGCACGCGCTTCCTGACAGCCGTGTGCAAGTAGTCCTGGACTCGTTCCCATCCCGCATCTTACAGCTGGACCGGACTGCATCGCCAGGGACCTGATTACTTCTCTCCGAAGCACACTTGACCCAATGCCAGCAATGATGCCCGGAATCCTCTCTCGCTCTAAATCTCCTCCTTGAACCTGTCAAAATACGCTCATGACAAGACATCTATCGTTCGTGCCTATCCTCTTGATGACTGTAACCGGCGTTCTCCTACTGGCCAGCTCGAGCGCCGAAGCACTAAAACGTCTGCCAAATGCAATTCTCAGAAGGCCCTCAATTTCCGCCCGAACAGCAACATTCATCTTGGTTCCTCGAGCTCTCATCGACACCTGTTATTCGACCCTGATCCTGGTTCTTCGGTGGTGGGGAGGCTATTTTGTTTTCGTCAGTGGCTTGCCAACGAGTCGCAACTATGGTGCGAGCAGCAGGCTGCCAGTGAGCCAAGTTATTTATACGATACTTCCGACAAACCGCCGCCTCCAACGCGCGACTGGATCATTTCAAAGGTCCGGACCCGACGTCGGCTCTGACCGACACCGACATCGGCCGACGCCCAACATCCGACACACACAAAGGTGTTACCAGCTTCAGTTCACTCGCATGGTCCATTTTGTTTCGTCAGATACAACTCATTTTCAAGAGCAGCTTCAATGAATCCGTCTAGACGTCTCCAGCTACTCGGCGCCAGCAGCCGGTCTGCGTGGCAACCCATCACCACGATACCCGAGGTTGAATTCATCTCTTGGCCAGGTCGTTGAATTGAGAGAGCGATGTGTATTGGGAATCCGGTCTTGGCAGCAACCCGTTCGTCGACCACCCGAAACCCAAAGGATAGGCTCACCGGAAGCTACAGCACAAGCGACGAAACACCTCTGAACGTCAGACTGGTCGGCCAATTGCTCGCTGGCGACTGCGGGCTGCGGTTCAACTGCGGTTCAAACAGTTTCTGTTATCCGATAAGTCAACTCGCATCAAGTACGATCCTTTTCAATATTGGTCGTGTGCTCCCTCGTGGAAGGGCAATCGTAGATGAAACACATGGAGTGCGGAGCGATAGACATGTGCCACCCACATCGCAAAGCGAGGTCTTTCTGTCTAGCCAGCCATTCTGGAGGCTGGACTCCTTATCAGTGGAGTACCCAATCGAGCTTGGAACGCACTTCATCGGGAGCTTTACCCTCGTCTTAGAGCTGAAACAATTTCTTTTAAAGAAGGCGAGTCGGTGGTGGGAGGGATGTTATTCGTGGTCTTTGTGTGCGTCCCAAGAGCTCTTTATGATGCTTCTTGACCAGGTGAGCACGGTCTTTTGCAACTTCTGATCCCCAACACAAATGAATGACAAGTGCGCGAATCCCCAGAAGCTGTGGCCCATTCGTGCCTGTCCCTGGATAGGAAGCACAAGTTTGAGATTCGTTTTTCAGATTTGCCAGATATTGGCCAGATGGGTTTTCGCAACCAAAGAACACTACATACTTATCATTGATTGGGGTGAGTCTCCACTCGTCGTCCATCTGAAAGTCACGATATATTGCGCCTGAATGACTGTTGCCCTACCATCCTAGACTTAGCCGAGACATACGGTTGTGATCGTTTTTGAATCATAAGTATCCAGGGAGAGAAAGGGCGAGAAGAGTGGTTCCCGTCAAAACGGTGTTCATCAATATGTTGGGCCTGTCAAGCGGCGTATATCGACTGAAGATCGTTACTTGCGATCACTCATCGGCGAGTGGGTGGTAGGCCTTGGCATAAGAAGGCTAGCTCTCCGCTGGCTATTGTTGGAACTGTCCTTGTCTATGCCGCTGGACGTCGCCAGCAAGGCACGCACGAGCAATAGTAGTATTGGTATATGTACCAGATTGACATTCTCCAGTCACCGGCAGACTTCAGAATTGCAATTGACATTCGAACAACTGAGCATTTTGTCATTTGTGTCGGAACCAGTAGTTTCAGTGAGTCTTGCTGGAGCTTGGTGGGGTAAGAAACAACCAGAGAGCCTCTATTGGCTCCACCCGATGAAGTTGCGTCGCTATGTATGAGCTCAGTCAGAGCCACCGTACCCTTCGTGTGCGATTGCCTTGGCGTTGGGTGTGGAGAGAGATTTGCCATTCCGGGCTTCGGGGTTTGATGGCGATTTGGTTTCGTTATCGCTGATCCGTCGCTCTTTCATTGTGACCGCAGGTGCAGTGACTTTGCTCTTTACTCTTTCTCGAACACATCGGTCAACATCAACTATGAGCTCTGGTCGTTGAGGAGGTATAACGGACACAGAAAAAGCAGCGATTGTTCGTGACGGTGAGAGGTGGCGTGCCTGGACAGCTGGTGGTGCTTCTGGCCTTGCCGTTCCAATGGGGATAGGTGGGCTTATCCATCAGAAGTAGCATATGGGCGCATGCGAGCGATTCGCGACCCCCCAATTCGTACAAGAAGGCAAATGAGATCAATTAGCCCCCAACAGCGTTTCCTTCTCTCCATCCGCTGATTCCTGCTTGTTCACCATGTCCGCTCTTGCAGACGACAAGCACGCTTCCTCCGAGAGCATCAAGGATGTCGATGCTGAAAAGCAACACATCACTGCCGCTGAGGCAGAGGCTCTCGAGGCTGCCGCCCTTCCCGAGTTTGACGACCCCAACCTCGACAAAGATGCCGCCATCGCTGGTATTTTAGAGGACGACTCCCCATATCCCGAGGTCCGATCTGCCGTCGCCAACACCGATGACCCAACTATCCCCGTCGCTACCCTCCGTGCTTGGGTTCTCGGTCTCATTTGGGCCATCATCATCCCTGGCCTCAACCAGTTCTTCTTCTTCCGTTATCCTGCGGTCACTGTTACAAGCGTGCGTCGTCAAAAAAAAAATGGCTTCGTCGCTGAACCCTCGCTTTAGATCGTCGCCCAGCTGCTCACCTTCCCTCTCGGTCGTGCATGGGCTCGTGTGCTGCCTAACATCTCGATCTTCGGTGTTCAACTCAACCCTGGTCCATTCACCATCAAGGTGCGTCACCAACATTTTTTTTTGTTCGTTCTACATCTCACTGTTCCTTACAGGAGCACGTTATAATCACTATCATGGCTGGTGTCGGCGCTGGTTCCGCCTACGCTACCGATATTGTCGCCGTCCAGAGGGTTTACTACGACCAAACCTTCAACTTTGGCTACCAATGGATGATCGTCATGTCCACGCAGCTAATTGGTTTCTCTATCGGTGGTATTGCGCGTCGTTTCCTCGTCCAGCCCCCGTCGATGAGTATGTTGTTCTGCTGTCTTCACCAGGCATTTGCTCATCTGTGCACCAGTCTGGCCCTACAATTTGGTCACCTGCGCACTTTTCAACACCCTCCACTCCCAGCAGTACGCTGGTGTGGGTTCTCGTGGTGGTTACTCGCGTGAGAAGTTCTTCTACATCGCATTCGCTTGCGCCGCCGTCTGGTACATCCTCCCTGGCTATCTTTTCACCGCCCTCTCCTACTTCTCGTGGGTCTGCTGGATTGTTCCCGACAACATCGTCGTCAACCAGCTGTTCGGTGTCAACTACGGCCTTGCCATGGGCCTCATCACCTTCGACTGGGCCCAAATCGCGTACATCGGCTCGCCACTCGCCACTCCCTGGTGGGCCGAGGCCAACATTGCTGCTGGCTTCGTGTTCTTTTTCTGGATCCTCACCCCTGCCCTCTACGTGAGTTTGTTTTCCCCATATGGTTTCTTGCTGCGGAGAGTTGGTTCCATTGATGCTGATGCGTTTCCGCTCTTCAGTTCAGCAACACCTGGTACGCCAAATATATGCCCATCTCCACTGGAGGCTCCTTCGACAACACCGGCCACTCGTACAATGTCTCCCGCATTCTCACTGCCGACAAGGTCTTCGACGAGGAGAAGTATGTCTAAATTTGTTCTTTCTATTCTCAGAATAGACGCTTACGTCTTCCCGCTGTTCAGATACAAGGCTTACTCACCCATCTTCCTGTCGACTACTTTCGCCATTTCCTACGGCTTGTCATTCGCCTCGATTACCGCCACAATCACCCATGCGTTCCTCTTCTTCCGCAAGCAGATTTGGACGCAAGCTCGTCGTGCGATGCACGAGCAACCCGATATCCATGCGCGTTTGATGGCCGTCTATCCTCAGGTCCCCGAGTGGTGGTACGCCATCATCTTCTTGACCATGTTCGTCTTCGGTGTTGTCGCCATTGAGGTGTGGGATACCAAGTTCCCAGTCCAATACTTCATCCTCGCCCTCGTCATCGCCTTCGTTTATGTCATCCCCATCGGCATGATTCAGGCTATCACCAATCAACAGGTTGGGCTTAATGTCATCACTGAGCTGATCATTGGGTGAGTTTGCTCTCCAGACGGACGACGTTGTTCTAACCCATCGATAGCTATGCCCTCCCTGGTCGTCCCGTCGCGATGATGATGTTCAAGACTTGGGGTTATATTACCATGGCGCAGGCACTGACTTTCACCTCGGACTTCAAACTTGGCCACTACATGAAGATTCCTCCCCGCCAGATGTTCTTGTCGCAAGTCATCGCCACCGTCGTGGCTGGTACCGTCCAGCTCGGTGTCCAAGCTTGGATGTTCACCAACATCGAGGGCATGTGCGACCGTAGTCAGAAAGACGGCTTCTGGTGCCCCTCGACTGGTGTGTTCGGTACCGCATCTATCATCTGGGGTGTCATTGGCCCTGCTCGTCAATGTCTGTTTCTATCTCTTGCCCTAAGCACTTCATACTGATTTAATGTGCAGTCTCGCACGGCCAAATCTACTACGCCCTGACCTTCTTCTTCCTCATTGGCTTCCTGTGCCCCCTCATTGCCTGGATCTGCACACTCAAGTGGCCCAACTCATGGCTCCGCTACCTCAACTTCCCCGTCATCTTCTCGGGTACCGGCCTCATTCCCCCGGCCAACTCGAACAACTACGTGCCATGGGCCATCGTCGGATTCGTCTTCCAATATGTCATCCGTCGTCGCCACTTTGCGTGGTGGACAAAGTACAACTGTAAGCTGGCTTTTTTATTCCATTGACCTGCTGCTAATCACCCCGGTAGACGTCTTGTCCGCTGCGCTCGACGCTGGTCTCGCTGTCTCAGCCGTGCTCATCTTCTTCATCCTCCAATACCCGAAGAATGGCACGATCGGCGAGAACACCATTCAAACTTGGTGGGGCAATGTGGTGTGGCAGAACACTGCCGATGGCGCCAAGACGCCGATGCTCAAACTCGCCAAGGGCGAGACATTTGGCCCGACCTCATGGTGAGCGCGAGATGTATTTGGTGGTGGTGTACTTGGGATATAGGGGTTGATATTACTGTAATGTCTATAAAATATGATCGCTTTTCTTGCTCTGTCTAATCGTGGGAAGTTGCCGATTCCATCTGGTCCGACCACGTCGGCGTCAGTTTCGCGTGACCCTACCTCACTCGTGCTAGTCTAGTGAACACTCCACTATCATTTGAGTGTGCAGCATGCGGTACCATGTCCGGCTAAGATGGAGTTCCGATTCAAAAGTGGGGTACACGTTATTTTCCCCGATGCTGGGAGTCGGTCGTTCATGCGCTGCGTGGCTTGGCGGCTTCGCGAAGCAGAAGACTGTCTACAGTATTTCCAGGTCCAGGTCGGATTCTGTCAAGAGGTCTGGCAGCAAAAATGAAAGGCGGGCCGCGGGCAAGGATGGTTTGTTGAGCGTAGGGTATACGACATCGAAGCCTTTTTAGGGAACAGTGCCACGGATTCCATCTCTCCGTAAGCCAATCCACGCTGGCCGTGTCGTCAATGATTCCCACCATCGCGCCACATTCGGTCGAGCAGGGTTGGACATGATGTCCAGGCCTGAAGTGTCGATGATAATGGGCATTGTGTTGAGGTGGAAGAGGTCGACGAGCGAGAGCTCCTTAACATGCGATCAACCATAGCCACAGGATTGAGACGATAACCCACGTTGCCTGCGATGTAAGCTTGTCTCGACAGAATCCGCTCATACACGTCCAACTTGGCGCCGAGTTGCGCCAACAGCGGCGAAAGCGCAATGGGGTCGATAGGGAGTCCGCGTAGTCTACGGAGAGGCTTTCAGCTTGCTGTCCTAGCCACAACAAAAAGAGTTCGCACGCTTTCCCCACTGTTTCTCCAGCAAGCCGCACGACGAAGATGTGGAAGTCTGCAAACTCGACAGATGCAGCCTGCTCAAACAGCGCCCTTTCCCGGATGGTCGGTCCTGGAAGCAAATTGGGCCCGTGTTCTGGGTATTTCTCTGCTAGATAACGGCAGATTGCGCGTGATTCGTAAAGGACGAAACCGTCGTCGTCCTAAAGTTACTTTGTATGCAGTAAAGAAAGACCAAAGGAGCACACTCACGATGACGGGGACCTGCCCGAATGGCTGTCTTGCAAGGTGCTCGGGGCTCTTTTGCCCTTGCCGGCTGAGATCGACATGGATGTGTTGGAAGGGGATGCGCTTTTCTGCAAGAACCAGCGCAACAAGGCCGGTCCCTCCACTAACACGACCAGAGGAGAAGAACTTCAGAACCATGGCGGTTTCACTGTCTTCGGTGTCGCTTGGGAAGGGAGATGGAGGTCAGTGACAGGCCGTCAAGCCGTGACCGACGCGTATCCAAAGCCCCAGCAGACTGCGGTCGTTGGGTCCACTCTGGAGCGACCATCTGGCTATGAGTTCTGGGCCCTGCATCCTAGGCGATGTGCGTTGCAAGAAGGGAAGACGGAGAGTCACGTGGTCGCGGATCAACGCGCACAGCATTACGCGATCTTCCTTTGGCTTCGACATGCTTTGAGGAATGTCGAACGCGTTTTCTGGTTACACGTACCAGCCTCTGAACGCAACAGAAAACGAGGCACGTCTCGCCTTTTGCATCCCCTTATCGATGGCCAATTCTATCCATTGTAGGGTTTCGAGCAATATGAACTACAGAACGGCGATGAGTTGTCAAATCTCTATGAAGCGGACGGGATCCACGATGGCCTGGTTTGCCCCACGGAGGAAGAGCGTTTAACGCTGCGGAGAGTTGCTGACAAGATTCCTTGGAGCGCGTATCGTGTGTGTTGCTCTATCTGCCACGCTAGCGCACTGATTTTGTATAGAAATAGCGATTGTTGAGCTTGCAGAGCGTTTTTCGGTAAGCAAACCTCGCTAATAAGCCGTTTCTTGGGCTCATATCCATTAGTTTTATGGGGCCGGTGTTGTCTTCGTACGTCTTTCGCCATCTTTTGGCATATCAGCTTAATTGACCAGCCAACCAGACCAACTTCGTCCAGTATCCACTCCCACCAGGCTCCTCCACTGGCGCTGGAATGCGAAACGGGCAATCAGGTGCACTGGGCCAAGGTTTGTAGACCATCCTGTCATGGCACAACAGGTTTTTTGACCATTACCCAGGTCAACGATTCGCGGCAGGCGTTGCGACTATGTACCAATTTTGGTATGTCACTCTCATTCCATGCATATAGGCTGGCTTAAAGGTCAAAAGGTGCTACCTAACGCCTTTCATAGGCGCGTATATTGCTGACGTCCATTTGGGACGCTTTGCCACTGTTTGCATTGCTGTTGGGATTGCATTCGTTGGGCATGTGATCTTGGTCATTGCTGCACTACCTGGGGTCATTGGAAAGACCGAAACATCGCTATTCTACTTCTCGATGGCACTTGCAATCATGGGGCTGGGTGAGGATCTATCTGTCTCCCTCGGCTTGTTCAATATGTTCATGAATCCAGGAACGGGACTATTCAAAGCAAATATCTCACCACTGGTCGCTGAGCAGTATAAACGGACGAAGCTTTTTGTGGTCGTCACAGATAGAGGGGAGAAAGTTCTTGTCGACCCAGCATTGACAGTCTCGCGTATTTATTTGGTAAAAGCCTATTCACGTTTTCAACATTACTGACCATCTGACAGTATTTCTATCTAATGATTAACCTCGGTGCACTCGTTGGACAGATTGGAATGACCTACTCCGAAAAGGTGCGAAGCCTGGTTCACACTATGGGCAATACTCCCATTTTAACTCCATCCGCAGTATGTTGGCTTTTGGCTGGCCTTCACGCTCCCGACCATCGTCTTCCTCATCTGCCCTGTCATCCTCTACGCAGGCCGCAACCGCTATTCGCGTACTCACCGCCCAACATCTTCTGTCTTGCTCACGTTTATTCGTTTAATGCGTTTCGCATGGAGAAACTCTTCATTTCGACACGAGGAGTTCTGGGAATCCGCGAAACCCAGTCGTTTGCCCCCACAGAGTAGGCCGCATTGGATGTCTTTCGACGACGATTGGGTGGAGGAAGTCCGCCGAGGAGTCAGTGCTTGCAAAGTATTTCTGTGGTTTCCAGTCTATTGTATCCATTCCGCTTCTTTCTCCTCGAAAGATAGTGATGAGCTCCCCTCTAGGGCTTACTATGAGCCAAATGAACAGCAACCTCACGTCACAAGCTGCGACGATGCAGACCAATGGTCTCCCAAATGATGTTCTTTCGAATATCGATCCGCTGGCCTTACTCATTTTCATTCCATTATCTGACCATTTTGTGCGTGCAGTCCCATCGCGATGACAACTTCTGACTCGCGAACCAGTTCTTTCCTGGGCTTCTTCGACGAGGTATTAGATTTACGCCTCTGAAACGTATAATATCAGGTTTCTTGATTGGTATGGCTCTCTTTGCCTATAAACTTAGGTTTAATCCAATGCTTGCCAGCTGCTGCTGCGATGGTGTGGGCTGCGGTCCTGCAGTCCAATATCTATAACGCATGTCCTGCTGACCATGACTTGGCTCGACCCTAATCGCCTTAACTAGACCAATCCTTGTGGTTCATATGCTGCAACTTGCACGGACTCTGCCGGTCGCCCGCTGGTATCACCTATCAGTGTGTGGGTCCAGTCTCCAGCGTGAGTGGGGGCTTCGAACTGGTCAACAATGAATGTAACTTGATCTAGATATACCCTCATCGCCTTCTCCGAAATTCTCGCCTCCGTCACAGGCATCGAGTACGCGTACACCAAAGCTCCAGAAAATATGCGGTCGCTCGTTATGTCGCTGTTCATGGGCACGTCCGCCGTCAGCGCGCTACTCGGAGGGGCATTCTTAGGTGCCGCTACGTTCGTATGTTGGATGGCTGGTGGGACTGATGGACTACAGGCCTTGCTGCAGATCCGTTTTTGGTCTGGAACTATACTGTCATGGCGTTCCTTGCTGGCGCCGGAGGAATTTCTCTGTGGTGGTGGGTCAGTGTTCGTGGACTTGACAGAGAAGATGTGAGCGACGAGGGACGGATGAAGGATGTGGATACCGAGTCATAGTGTTACTTGGTCTGTAGCTCGGCGTATGAGTAAAAAGAGCGCTCTGCCTGATAGGCGGTGGCCGTGCCAGAGTAACAACAACGAAACAAACAAGTGCTGGGCGATTATGAGCGCCGCGATGGTTGCTGGGCGGCGAGTCAGTTGACAGATGTTGTGAAGAGCAGGGAGCAAAACGTAGCCCTGACGAGAATCGAACTCGTATCCCCATCCAATACTCTGAAACAAGTGTTCGATGGTGTCGTGCCGTTAGACCACAGGACTCGAGCAAGAAGGCGACGGGTTGTCCGTACTACGAACTGCTTGCACTCATTATAATGAGACAGTGAGCGTGCAGAGACCACGATATTAGGGGGATAAAAAGTGGCTTAATCTCGTTGTAGGCCGAGTGCAGGCAGATTCAAGTTCAATGTAAACCTTGAAGGATGACAGACCAAACTGACGCGCTCACGTGACCGACCACCGACCCAATCATGTCAAATATAAGAAAGTCAACCACCACTCTGAAAATGATAAAATGGAGCGTGCTCATTTGCTGGAGGAGATCGTTGAATGATCGTATATTTAGTGTTCAAGTTTCAAGTCGAAAAAACTGAGCTGCTTGGCACTGGCAGAGGGTGTCCATATCGTTGCGGATCCAGCATGCAGCAGAAGTATGCATTTAAACATACTCTCATATGAATACAAACAGAAATAAAGTTGTAGCTTTGGTCGAGACGACAGGCCGTAGACCAAGGCAGAAGTCATGCGAGGTCACATGGCGTTCATACTACGACATCGCTCTGCGGATGTCACGGAAAGAATTCTCGTCCGGCTCGAGAGCCGCATTAAAGCAGGAGGGAATTGGCCCACCTCCCTTTCATGTCAACACCACTGTCTCCGACTCGCACTACCTAGGGCGCTATGCAGCAGGCCAGGCTGGCAATGGGAGACAGGATAAGGAGACTATCAGGGGACTCTCTGTCAAGCTGTCATGCCTATTAAAGATGCGATTCTGCAAGTCATTGCTGCCCAGGCTCGACCGCGGCTGATGTGGACCGCTGGAAAGTGATAAGAGCAGGTGCAACCGCGCGGATCCAGATGCTCACCGAGGGAAAGGGAACCGGGAAAAGGCAGCCAATGGGTCCAGACGGTATGCGGACAGCAGGAGCAGAAACTCTAGAACCGGTAGCCAGGCGCCTGACAAAACGCCACCCACAAGAGGCGGGAGCCAACTTGAGAGAGAGTCTGGGCACCCAACTCCAACTATTTATCCTATCCTGGATAAGAGACACGGAAGGCTTCGGATGTTTGATCGCCATACTGGCGGGTCGGGTGTGATCAGCGTTGGAGCTTGCGCGGCTAGACAACGGCAAGAAAGAATGCTAAGGAAAATTTAAGGGGCTTACTTTGAAAGTTGTCAGCTATGTAGATGCCACACTTCCACGGCCTGCAAAAGACCAAAACAAGAGTTGTTCTTCGTGCACAGTAAGCGAAATACGGGTGGCTGTCCAGCTACACGAACCAAGGAAAATCTTTAACGGAAGATACTTGAAAGTTGACGCGAATCGAAAGTGCCGCTGGACCCACTAGTACCAGTGCTCAACAGGTCGAAAATCCAGGTGGAAAGTAAACTGATAATGGGGTTCGAGTTGTACCCGAGTAGGCTGGTTATTGTCGAAGTGGAGACTCGGAACCGCCGACAAGTAGCGGGTGGCGGGGAATGAAAATGGGAAATACCAACAACCTCGACAATCGAAGAAGAAAGAATGTGATAATGAGGAGCGTCAGAATTCGATTGCTTTTTGCACGAGATCAAGTCTCAGTCGCTGTTGAAAGAACATCAACTCTGACGCCAAAACATTTTGAGGACCATCTGCTAAGCGAGACAGTCACTTGCGCCACGTTATAGTTTCCCACCATAGACCAACACGGTATCCCGGTCCGTGCTTCCATCGATACTAGCGTTATCTCCAGGGTTTCTCGGCAAGAAAGATTTCAGGCACGAATGAGTTGGTTGCGAAGAAATGGACAGTGTGTCTAGGGCATCAGCTCCGACAACACCTTAGTCGAGCTCCGGATTCCCTCTTCTTCTAATTGAAGCCAGGCAGTACGCCGAGTGAGTGAATTCCACCATCGGGCGACATTCGGGCGGAAATCGGTGGTCATGATTTCTTGCCCAAGGTTGCGAATTATAGCAATTGGTATGAGATGGAAGACGTCAACGAGTGTGAGGTCCTAAGGGACTGCACGTTAGAAGGACGAAGAAGCAGAAACTCAAAAGCGGAAATCCATACATTTCCCGCAAGATATGTTTGTTTTGATAGCACTTTTTCGTAAAAATGGAGCATCACTGCTAGCTGAACCTGCAATCGATCCAGGGTTACTTGATCTATGTCAAGTCCCAGTTGTCTAAAAGTCTCTTTCACCTGTACTAGAGGGAGATTCTGGAGAACGTACGGCTTCATGACCAACTCTGTTCGAATCCCAATCAACACCGAGAAGAAATTGGCAAACTCCACTGATGCTGCTTGCTCGAACAGCGCTTGCTCTTCGAGGCTTGGTCCAGGCAGTAGCCTCGGCCCTTTCTCTGGGTATTTCTCCACTAGATAGCGACATATTGCTCGTGTCTCGTAGAGGATGAAGCCGTTATCGTCCTGCTCTCGTCAGTAGGATTCTATCAGGACAAATAGGATGTGTACAATCACTGGAACTTGCCCAAACGGCTGCTTCGCCAAGTGCGCCCCGCTTTTGTGCTCCCTCTTCAAGAATTGGAGTGGAACGGCTTCAAATGGAATCTGCTTTTCGGCCAGAACGAATGCAACTGTGCATGCCCCACCGCTTGGGCCCAGTAGTGGAGCGAAATAAAGCTTTAGGACCATACCTTGAGTAGGGTGTGGCGACGGGTAGAGGTTCCTTGATTTTCCAGTTATATATTCGGTCTGGTCGTCATACTCGCCACTATTCGCTTCTCATTAACCAATGAAACTGCTTGGATAATGACACACCTTTCTGTCAGTTGCATTCTGGATCCATTCCTGTTGTATCCGCCATCGCCATGTAGATGGAGCGCCTCATCGTCAGTTAGCTTCAGTGAGATGTTCAAGTTATCGTTGTGACAGTGTCACTCACTGTCACATGCGTGATGCCAGGTGATGCCACGATTTGTGCGAGCAATGCGCACAGAAAACTCAAAAAGTTTCTGTTGATATATACCAAGTCTCGATACTGTACCGACAATGTTCGTAGCCTTGAAGAAGCAAGCACATCCAAGTTCTCGATCCTCAGCAACTTCCAGAAAACTTTCTGCGTCCCTTCGCCATTTCTGCCAATCTGTCCAGTATCAGCACCATAGAAAATTCTACGAAGAGGCGTGCTCCGGCTGCTCAATGTAGTTATTGCGGCCTATTTCAACTCACTCCGTCCCTGGTGTGTTTCTCGAAAATGGGGCCTTGTGCTGTACAATACCTAGGCCTCCTCCCGCGGCACTCCCGTAGTCTGTGTACAGCTCGATAATGCGATTGGCAGCTAGCTCCGAGTTGTCACCAACCCTCTCCATGGAAGCCGGTTCCGGTATTCACTTTCAAGTTGGCCTCAACTTATCTAGGTCTGTCGATGAGTGGTTTATTTGCTGTCAACTCTTCAAGCATATAACCCAAACACTGTGTCTTCCGGTCTTACATAAAGGTTCAATCTGCGACATTGAGACTCCCGCTCGCAACGTCTATCTTCGCAATCTCGCCCTTCCTCCCGAAACTGTGATGGACCGGCCTACTCGGCCTTCGGAGTTGTTGAGTTCCGATTGGGTTCCGATACGAGTGTGGGTCCCAACATGAGGCTGGCGCGAGGCGATCACTACTGCCTTGCTATGACATCATTGGCAGCCGATTTATGTTTTGCGACTGGCCAGGTATGTAGCACGAATTGGAGGAAGTGGATGAGGATGATGGTGCAAACAACTTCATAATGATAATGCGCGTGCCGCACTCGCCAAGGGTTAAGAGAGGATGATGATAGTCGAAACCAGGCACCCACCAAGACTGGAAGTAGTTCGCCGTGATGAGATGCCGGATTGAGAAGGCCGTGATCGTCAGACAAGCGCCTCTATAATACGATGCAGACGTCGATGAACGGATTTTCACGAGATATTTTCACAAGATTTTCAGACATTTTCTCGGAATCACGCATCACGAATTTTGTGACCACCTAACGAAGCACTCTCCTGCACTCTCCAAATGCCACAGACCCTCCAATCCATAGTTCAAGCCTCTCTCGCACGGCCACACTGCATCGCATTTCCGCAAAAGCCAAACGCCAGGCGTAACTCAATTCCAAACAACGCATCATTAATAACGGGCAGGACCCACCGTCATGTATTCCCCTCTGAAGCGACTCTCGGTTCAATGGCTCTCGGAGCAGAGTCTCCGTTGACGATCCGTCAAATCCACTCTGTCCTCATGGTTAACCGCTCGGGAGGGCTGACAATGGGGAAAACGGCAAGCAAGAATGTTGTTTTCGACGAAGCAAACGCGCGTCGAGAGCCGCGTAATTTGTTTTTCTCCCTCGGCCTTACACTCCATCCTGTTTTGCGGCAGCCGTACCTGGTGAACGGATAGGTCAATATTGGCCGACTTTGAAGGCTTAAAATGTCGTCTGTAACCAGTTGGTTCGACAACCAGAACGACTACTCATGTCTGAGCAACACGGGCACAATATTCACCGCGGCGGAGCGTGCAACAACTGCAGGTTAGTCTTCCTTCGTCGTTGTTGAACTCCTTTGACCTGGAACCTATAGACGCAGAAAGATAGTCAGTTTGATTTCCAGTTGAGGCTTATTGGAATGTCTAATCTGTTTTTTCAGCGCTGTGATGGCCTTCGACCAGTATGTGGACAGTGCCATAATCGGCCACCGCGCTCTGGACATCCTTGTCTTTATGAGCAAGAGACATCTCCCGCCTACCAAACCTCTGCGGAGATGCAACGAACTATCGGTCGTTTGCGAGCAAAAATTGATGAGCTCGAGAAGTCGAACGGGCTTCCGCAAGACGTTCTGTTGCGACAACCCTACGCTCCATCTGCAAGCCCTGTTCCTGTGGGCCATCAGTCTATTTTCTTTTACTTCAGACTCTCATTGCAATTCAGGAACCACCGTCAAATATCCGAAACTCCTAGTATGCCTGAATTTTCTCCCTTTGTTCAAACTCTGACCGTCTGTGCAGTATCAACACCTTCCTGAACAGATTTGCCAGCAGCGCTTATTTCTTTCTGGATGCGCACCACTTTGCTCAAGGCGCCAATCAATCCCCTGGCCATCCTCATCGCCCCTCAAGTGCCTTGCTCAGCTGCGTTTATCTTTGGGCTTCGGTGCTATCCAATTCATCTCCCCCCTCCTCGGTGACATCCTTCACGACCGATGGGCCAGACGCCGATACTTTTCTTTTGGCAACTCTAGAACAGCTTCCCGGTGCCATCAATCGCCTGTCGTCCGCCCCTCCGGGCTCACAATTACGTCTGCTCCTCGAAACCATACAAACCGAGGTGTTATTGTCGTTCTACTACCTCCACGAAAGTCTCTCTGTCCAGGGACGGTATCACGCGGGTGCAGCTGCATCCCTTGCAATTGGAGCTGGCTTCAATAAACTGGGTGGTCGCGGTCATGGCCCTCCATCCGGATCTGGCGGACCGCCATTTATTTTCGCGCAGCCAACGCAGCTTGGCGGAAGTCCCGCGATGGAAGGCGCAAGTATCGCTGCTTTCTGGGCCACGGTCATCATAAACAATGTCTGGGCCGCTGCTCAAGGCGGGCCTGCGCCGATTTCGTCTTACGGAACAGAAGTGGATGCGCCATGGCCAGGTGGACAGCAGGTAGTTCTATTTTGTGTGCTGAACTCAAATATTAACATCGTCTAGGGAGGCTCGACAATCAAGCGATTTCTGAACGGACAAGACGTTGACGGGCATTCTCCGATTGCCCTGTTGGCAAAAGCGTCGACATTGGTCGAGCGTATTGCTGCACTTACCAGTGGCGGTACGTGTGTGTTAGTTCTTCCTCCCTTTGTTTTTTGACGGGTTTGCCAGGTCAAGTCGATAGCCAGACTTATACCACCCTTGATCAGCGGCTCCACGCATTCCAAGCTGCCCTTCCGCACCCACAAGGGTCAGAGGAGAGCATCCGCATCACCCATCTGTTGGCTGACCTCGCCATCATCCGCTTACATTTGCCACACGCGCAAGGCCATGCGGGCGTTCGAGGAGCACGACAGAAGGCAATGGCAGCGGCTGACCGAATTGCGCTGCTTGCGAGGGAAATTGCGGGCCTCGGAGAGACAACAGTTGACCCCGTTCTTGGCGTGAGTTTCCTGTCATTTGTATTCCGAGGAAAACTGACAAAAAAACCTAAGCCTGCCTGCTCCGCTGCCCACTCAGCCTGTACCCTCGAAATGAGCGCACTCCGCGCTGGCCCACCAACTATGGCACAGCAATATCATGCCGTCGAGCAGAGAGTCGAGGGACTGGTCCGGCTTATGACGCGATTAGCCGATATAAGCCCCATCATGCGTATGCTTTCACCAATTTTTTCTCGGAGCACATGATTAACCAAGGAGTAGGTCAATGTCTCGGTTCGGTAATGACACAAACTGGCCATGGTCATCCACCAGGGTATCGATGAGGTTCATATGCATACAGGTTCATACTACACGCTACAACTACTTTAATTCCTATCGGTCCATATCGCTACCGCTCTCACTACACTACTACAGCTTACTATTACTCTCTCAATAACATTCGGAGATTTATCGTCTTCCTCACCCCCTGCCTCGCCCACGCCCACGCCCACGCTGAGGGGTATGCGCGGGTGTTGACGAGGCGGCTAAGGCAGCAGCGGCAGCGCGGCGAGTTACAACACCGACATGAGGACTGGCCGGCTCTTCTTTAGGTGGAGTAGCTTTCGAGTCATTACTCGCAGGGCTCCATGTTGGCATCGTAAACCCCCGCATTGCCGAGGCCCGAAACGAATTAGCCCTGACTCTGGCGCGAAAAGATGTCAGGTCAACCGTTGGCGAAGCCATCGGGCTGGCGGAAGAGGTCGAACTAGACGGGGAGCTCGACTCCCCGTTATCTGAGATATATTCTTGCTCCCCAACAGCTTCAACCGCGTCGCTTATAGTCGGGCCTCTTTTAGGAGAGGAAATCGGACTGGAATAAGCGCGTTTTCGTCGTTTCGGCGTCGACACAGCTGCGGGAGCAGAACGCGAATACTGCAATGGATGTCGTGGATCTCCACTCTCTGAATCACTTTCGTCGGGAGAGCGGGCTCGCTTCAGCCCTCTGGTCGGCGAACTCGAGCCTGGAAATAACATGACAGGAGATGACGGTGCAAACGCCGCAAGGGGGGAAGTGGGGCAGACGACGGTGGGAGAGCTTGTGGGTGGAACAAGTGGGCTCGAAGAAGGTACAAGAGCGGTGTCGCGCAGTCGAGGGCGCTCTGGCGACGGAGAGGCGACCTGAGACGCCAAATTCCAATCCCAATGCTGTTCCCAAGGTTGTTGTTGGTAGACCACCCCGTTTTCGCGCTGAGGCAAGTTCGGAGAGGGAGTCACAAATGAAGTACTTGGCCTGAGGGCCATTGAAGTTGGACTCGATGTTGCCACGTTGGTCTGGCGTGGATCGATCGTAAGCTCTGCTGGATTTACTATATCGGACAATTCTTCAGCGGGTCGATACGCAATGTGTAGGTGGCGCGAGTTTGTGGGTCCGTGACCAATGAATAGTGAAGGAGGGCTGTAACGTCGAGGTCGGCGATGGACCAAGGTTGCGCTTGACTCCGAGGTTCCTTCTCGGTCATCGTCACATGGTTCGCGTTTGCTTGCCCGCTTGAGAGGGAGGAGCGGCACGGATTTGCGGCGTTGGGGAGGATCCGGCGGTCTGTTTGTCTGCAGATTCTGTAGTATCACCCGTCTACAACCCGATTAGTCTCGACATGGACAATCCCGGCTGAGACACACCGTGACTGCTCAACGGTGGTCGATGCACTTGGTAGATGTTGTATGATGTCCTGCAGAAAGGTCGTGACATTCGTCTGGTGGCCTTTCTTTGCGGCACTGGCAATGTGTGTCTTTGCGCGTGTACTGAGACGCGTCATCCAGTCGAGGAGCAGATTTTCTTCGATGAAGCCAGGGTCGGCATTCGGAAACACGATGGGGACGTCTGGAAGGGTTGGGAGCGTTGAGGTGGGATTCATGATGAGGGCACAAAGCAGGAATGGACCAAGTCCATGCCACTCATCCACATGCAGAAATCCATTGTCGTCAAAGGCAATTTTAGGCAAGAGCCGTCACGTAGCGTAACGCGTATGGAGTCACGCTGATCCGCCCGGGCCGGGCACAGACGATGCAAGTCTGCATGTACTTCTGCAAACATCATGATCATTTCTGGAAATTATCGCGACGGAGCCCTGAAGAAGGGGCTTATTAAGTGGATAGTCAATTACGGCTGGCTAGGGCAAGTTTCTAAATTAGGCTGTGTCTTCTTGCGCTTTGAGTCCAAAGGAATGGCCACAGCGTTCAAAGACCTTATAAATAAATCTACGTATTCGACCCAGCTGAGTAGCCAAATGCCCCTCCGTCCCCAGCCCCTCATTGCGAAACCCGCCTTCCTCAAGTTGCTTGAACTTGCACCAGACTCGGAATTCAAGCCGGAGCCAGTTCTCCCCGAGTTGCAAGCTGACGAAGTATCCCAACCCAACCTCCGAGACTTCCATTGGCCACCCCCACCAGCTTTTGACCCGCCCGCCCATGTGGTCGCCGCCTGGAAAGAGCAACTGGAGAAAAGTCATACCCAGCCCGGACCCTTGCCGTCATCTGTGCTGAATCTGTCCCCCGAAATCCATCAGTCCGTTCATCCACAGCTTGAAACAAGACAAGAGCCAGTGGCAACCGTGAAGAAGGGAGCCATGGGTTGGAAAACGATTCGAAAAGCCATGTCTAGCATCTTCTATCGACCCAAAGCGGCACTACCCGACCAGGTCGACAGCAGCCAAACACTTGTGCGGGTCCCTTCTAAACGCCAACGGACGATGAGCAACAAATCCGCCCGCCCCAGAAAGCGAAGTCACCGAAGGTCTCAGCGAGATATCCACCGCCCCCCTGTCCCAGCGCTCACAAATTCCCTTCGTCGTCGCATAAAGGCATGCGAGCCAATATCTTGCGCTGCACTCGAGTTTGACGCAGTAGTCGCTGCTGCTTTAGCAGAAGATGAAGCTCCGGTTTTGGAGAACGGGGGTCCGGAGCAGGTGTTTGGATACGCTATTTAATGGGAGAAGATGAAGTACTGCATCGTAGTCAATAATATCCAACACTCTTCAAATGAAAACACACCGTATGAGGAAGGACGTTCCGCAAGGACATATTATGCCGTTGTAAACACGGTCACGGTCAAGAGAGAGAGAAAGGGGAGAATCTGGGGGTTCCGAGCGCCGCTACATAATCCATTCTGAGTGTGTTCCACTGCTGACCGCCCACATTTTGACAAAATGGTTCAAGAGCCTTGGTACGGAGAGCAAGGACCACAGTGCATGATGATGGTTGGCAACAAGTTGAATGAGGCGTGTGACTTGATTCGAAGTACAATCTGTTGGTCCTTACTGGTACTGAAAAAAAGTTGAACTGTTTCTATTGTCTCGCTGTGGATGATATCATAAGCGGTAGGACTGTGAGCATGTATTCCAGGTAAGAAAAGGCTTGTGCTGGGCTTGTGTTTAACCTCGTCGCACTCCCCAACGCTGCTTGGAAGCGTATTGACCCCATCGCCTAATGTCCTCTCGCGCCAGCAGTAGCTCGATGGTATGATAATGTTGCGCAAGCACTTCGTTTGGAGCGACCTGATGTACCGCCGTATGACATGGCCTAAGCATCTCGACAGTCAGCCCACAAAGGAACGGCAAAAGCCCACGACTGACCGACACAACCACGCGACCGCATTTAATCTGCTCGGTGGATGCCATTTTCTCCTGAGCGCCTTCTGGTGCACCGAGCGCGGGATGAGGTGGTGATAGGTCAGCGGCACCCGACGCTCGCAGATTTCGCATTCGTCAGTTCGTGTGCTGGACCAGATAGGGGGCGGGGCGCATGCGGTAGACAGGTAGTCTGCAAGGACCTTCTCAAGGAACGGATAAGAATCCGCCTCGGCTGCCACGATGCCATATGTGACGAGCGTTTCTTCAAAGGAGGGAGGCAGCGACGACAACTTGCTGCCGTCGAGCACCTCTTTCGTTTCGTACGAGGCGGTCTGAAGAGAGACCGGCATGGTGCCCCACAAGTCCTCCGCCAGGTAGCTCGTGAACTCGTCTAGGTCTGAACCCGAGTCAGGGTCATGGAGTTCTGGTACCAACAACAATCGACGAGCAATGCAGTCTTTGAGGATGAGGAATTGCGATGCAGAAGGGGACATCGTAGGGCTTCCCACAGGAGATGCTTTCGCTTTTACATGCCCATGAGTTCAAGAGTCAAGTCAAGTGTTCGGCACCGTTTGTCTAACACGGTCACATGCAAATATGTAGAAGACACACGTAGCGATGAACAGACATAAACTACATCCCCCCCGAAAATACCCTTTCCACGACACCAAATGCCTTTCGAAGCATTGTAACATGTACCTTCTCTGCTCTGCGCTGCTGCAAATTCCACAATGACCCGACACTGCTGCTTGAAGCCAGAACAGACACAGACCGGACGCCACAGCCCACCTGCGTGATTCGAGAGGGTTTGAATGCAGTCATAGAAATAGACGAAGATAAAGAGCTTGTCGGCTGGAAGAGTCCTTCCTCCAGTTGAGCGAGCGAGCCGAATGACAGAGAGCTGGGAAGGCGAGGTGAAAGTGCCTTGATTACATGCTTGGCACGGAGAGAACGCAGTGGGGATTGTGAAAGAAGACCAAGCCCGGTTTCTGTGAGTGGCACCTCAAGGAGGCCCAGTCCGATCTGAACGTGGCTCGGCGCGTCCTCTCCAAAACGTACACTTTTGCTCCAATATGAAGCAGAAAGACCCTCGTAAATGGGCTAAGAAAATCCACTGGTCAGACAATGATCCTAGTACCGCAATAGAAGCCACGCACCCGTGTCGAAGAGATAATTTCCTCCACCTCAAAGCTCTGACTCGCCAGACTTGATAGATCTCCAGGACATTTGGGCTCCTCTGATATCGATACTTGCTTCTGATCGTCTTCCTCGGTGTTGTTGTTGGTCTGGTGATTGACCTGAGACAATGCGGTGCTGGTGAATCCAGAGCTCGCACTTGGCCGCAGGGCACGGCGCATTCGATCTTGGACAGCGACGGCTTGAAAACGCTCTGCGACGGTAATGACTTCAGCGAGGGCGGGTGTAGCTGCGAGCTTGAGCGACGAGGAAGAGTCCAGGGCTGGCATCTCTGGCGCGGATGGTGTACTCGGGCGAGGAGGGTTGGCTGTTTGGGTTGCGTTGTGGGGGTTATTCTCGGTATCGGTATCTGACGAGGAGCAATATTCCTCGAGAGCGGCTAACGTTTTGGCTGAGCTAGAGGGAGTAGTCGTGACAGATCGATTTTGTGAAGTGGCAATAGAGAGTAGAGCTGTGGACATTATACGTGATAGGATGGACGGGTTTAGCTCGGATGGTGAGAGTACGAGGCAAGGGGCGAGGAAAGGGACTATCCACGGAAGCAAATTGCACAATAGAGAGACAGGGGTCATGTCGAGAAATAATCTAGTAAGGCTTGCGCTGCGTAACATGAACCTGCTTTTCCTCGATATTGTGAGTAACGACCACATTGTGAAGGAATACATCGCCTCTAGAGTAGCGTCAGCGGCGGGCTTCTAGGTCAATGAGAAAGAATAACTCACAGAATAAACGAGTTCCCAGCAACGGCTGGTCCGTTATCTTGAATCCCTGACACACAGACTGTGTTCCCATTGGCTTTTTGTGGGACGATCAAATCTCGTCCGTCGATCGTAAAAGTTTTCCCAGCGAGGACTACACTGAAGGGAGGTGGATTTTTGGTAGCACAATCCACGACATAATATTCCAAGTCATCATCATATGTTGCCCAAGGCGCGTTATATGCTGCTGCAATGGGTGAGGGAACCCAATTCAACGTCGTTCCCGAGTCAAGAATTGTACTGTTGCTGAAGGTCGTGAAGTTCCGGCTGCCCGAGAAGATATAACCATCAAGAATGATAGAATACCAAGCCAGACGATACCCTGGGTCAGTGATATCGACGGACGGAACGAACAAGCCGTTGCTGTCGGGAGCGTAGCCGATTATTGGCAAAACGACTGTAGTATCCGGTAGAGTTGGGGTTGGCACAATACCGCCCAAGGAAAGCTGACCAAGTTTCGAAACAAAAGGATCATTCATTTGTTGCTCAAGAGTGGGCCGGTCGAGGGAATGAGAAAAGTCTAGCGATAGTGAGGCTCAGTTCGAACCAATGTTGAATAAGGGATGCCTACATGGATGCTTGACCTTTCCCTGTTTGACCGCGTTCACAAAGAAGGGGTCGTAGAGGATATGGTTCGAACCGCCAGCCTGGTGTCTATCGGAAGCGTTGTAGACACTCGTCAATCCTGGAAATGCTAGTCCAAGAACACCTTCAGATACTCCGTCGCCAAGAAACGCGTTTTCGTTGGGCACACCGAACTCTTGCCTGGTTACAGTCACCTGTCCGACAGTAACCGTATCGAACGCAACGAGTCCAGAAAGAAATTCGCCAGATCCATAGCGAACGAAGAATGTCGTGTTAGGAAACGGTTCAAAGGTTGAGGAGAGAGCGGGGTCAAATTGAGTAGGGCCAAAATTGCAATCCGCAGCTGGGACGGCCGTTCCATTGAGTGCGAGACAGCTGAAATTTTTGTGTGCGACCCAGAAATCTGAGCTGTTTGACTACGTGAGTAACCTTTCAAAGGGGCCCCATGGTAACTCGCCTTCCAGTGTCTACAATGACTTGGAAAGTTTGGTCACCAACAGTGACGTTGACAAGGTATTCGGTCTCAAAGGAGGCTCCATCGAGTGTGAGTGCATCACCCTGGTATTGACGATGTCCGGTGCGGCGATGCCCGTGGGCATATCTCTGCTGGATACTCTTTTTGGGACGTTTGGAAAGTAGAGGAAAGGTGATGTCTGCGCGAGGCAAATGAGCATGGGCTTTGATAGCATCGGTGAGAACGGAAAAGACGACAGTCAAAAGAGTGAAGCGCATCTGTGCTGTTGGGGTATGCTCAGAACGAGTGGTTTTATAAACGTCCTTCGCTCAACGCGACGAAGATCTCCACAGCAGTGAAATGATGAGTGTGGCCTGGAGACACCCACCACAGCATAGTGGTTAGCCGGCTCGTGGGAGAGTCGGGAAAGCTATTGGAAGCTGTCGGTGATGGCGGGTGGCTATGATCAATGCAGGATTTTGATTACGGTATGGCCGTCACCGACCGTTCAAATGGTCAAAGCGTTCTCAGTTGACGACCATAAGAACAAGATTTGTCGATGTGACAGTTCAAGTTTGCTCTCCATCAGCCTCCACCACCCTCGCCTTTCGCTGACTCCCGTCGACAACAAAATGGACCCATTCAAGGAATCGATGGCAAACCTGCTGCGCGTCATGAGGACCGTAAAAGAGGTGGCAGATGCACATCTTGAACTGGCGAGGACGCTGGGTAACCGAGCTGACGATGTTGTTACGAGATTCGCCCGGGACGTGCTTTCCCAAATGCCGGTCGTGCAAGGAAGTGTTGATGAACCGATGGGCGACGATGCTATAAATATTGAAGGAAGTGCCTCCAGCGCATGCTTTCCAATGACGAGGTCACTAGTAGAGCCGTCACCACAGGATAAGATAGTGGTCGGGGCGCGGTATGCCACCGGCCTGCGTCTCCCCTGGCTGTTGCTGATCACTTCAGAGCCCTGATTCGGAGCAATCTGATCAACCGCCCTAGCTTGCCACCACATCTCCGTCCACCATCGAGTCTGAGTGATATGGGTCCACCTCCAATAACGCCGTTCCGTTTCGGTCACCCTTCACAGGTTGACGAGCTTGAAGAGATAGACGATAGCCACGACGGCTTCTCGTCCAGATTGCTGTTCCCCACCAAAACCCAACCCGAGTTGCGAGGGAAATCTCTTGCTATTCCCTCATTACATGCCGCGAGAAGTCGCCAGAAGGACACCGAACATCTCATCGACAAAAAATTGGATGTGCCGACACCATCATCACCCAAACAGGATTTAAGGGCCTCAATACCACCAGCTCTGAGCTCGCATCGACCGTTTCGGAGGACGCATAAGAGCCTTACTCTTTCGTTTGGTGCACCGGCAATTCAGGCTTGATTACTAGAGGGAAATTTTTTGTAAACGCGCAGTACAATTTGAAAGAATCCTGCAAGGCGTACTTTTGACAGTTACTCCGAATGACACATCTTCAGCGCAACAAGGTATGAGATATTTGAGGCGGACAACTGTGGTCTAGTTTGAGGACATTAGCAAGTGTGGACATTGTGTGGAAGATGAAAGCAACCTGGTTTGGAAACATGTGATCCCAGAAAACTTTTGACCCCCGCTATATCCTTCGTTCTCAGAGTTATCGCACGTCCTTTCATTGATTGCGCAGTTGCATTTGCTGCCGTCGAGTCATAAGAAAGTCAGCGGGAAGCATAGTAGTGATCACCCCGAGTTCCGAAAGGATGGACGAGATTTAAAGCTGGTATGTACTCACACCTGAACAACACCTGAATGCCCTTTCACCTTGACGAAGTCGCCCCGGAAATAATTGGCTCCATCTTTGACCACCTTGTGGATGGTCAGCCAAACCTTGACCTCGATCACCCTGCTCTCATTCTCTCGCAAGTCGACACTCGATTTCGGCACATTGCTCTTGCTACACCCTCACTGTGGGCTTCGTTTGCCATAGGAAAGGCGCCCTCTACATCCTACGACGATGAACCGACACGGCCAAAACTTCCATCGGACCAAGAATTGCAAACTTGGCTAGCGCGCAGCGGGGAATCGCCGCTATATTTCCGTGTGTATGTCGAGGAAGATGACAATAGGGATGAAGAGGACGAGGCCAAAGGCAACACAATATTCTCGATACTTATCCGCCACGCTCATCGCTGGAAGAACGTGTTTTTGTCTTGCTTCGCATCGACGCTCATAAGTCTGAGCCAACCACCAACGTACCTGATACTTGAGGAGCTTACCCTTTGCAACTCTGACTCTGCATTGGGTGCTGGAAGCGAGCACGAAATCATCATTTCCCCAGGACGAGCACCTCGCCTTACTCGAGTCACTTTATTGGGGTTTACCCAGGGACAAATCCATCTACCGTGGACCCAGCTTACTCATCTGAGGTTTTCCGCGACGTGGGGGGTCGATGACACGGCTAAAGTGTTAAGTCCATGCATTGGGCTACAGTCGTTTGACTGCTTTTGGTGTATTCCCGGAAGTCTCGACCTTGCTATGCCTTCTCTCAGTCCCTTCTCTTCATTGCAACACCTCAGAATCACCAACCAGAATCTATTACATTTCCTTACCCTTCCGGCTCTAAAGCATCTTCATCTCAACAACATCGTAGACATGGACGGAACCTCGAGCTCCATGCATCCAATCATGGAGTTGGTGACGCGGTCTCGCTGCGCAGAGACTTTTGAGTCGCTCGCTATCGACGACGACATTTGGATCTCCCCACTCGCCGACATGCACACGTTATTCAGAATGCTGGTTGGCCTGCGACACCTCTCCTACAAGTTTGACTCGAGCGAGCTACCTGCTCTCCCCATCATTTCCAACATACTCGCAGACGAAAAATGTCTGCCGAATCTCGAAACGCTGGTCATGCGCGCCTGGTCTAAAGACGACGACGAGATACCAAGCTTTCTGAACGCCGTCAGGCCAAGATGCCAAATGGGTCTCAAAAGACTGGAGTTGACAATCCAAACTCGTCCGTCGCTTGTGACTCCACCCGAGTCTCCGCCATATGACTACGAGTATAATGAGGAAGAACGTTATGTGTATGTCCCTCCAACCCCTCAGCAAGTCGAGGAAGCGGAGAAGTACCGTCAGCGGCATCGTGCTCTAGTTTCTCCTTCTCTCGTTGAGGAGTTTAAAATGCTGGGAGGCCCCGCTTTTGAACTTCGCTTGATCACCTCCAGACCTGATGACGGTCTAGATCGTGGCGGAAGGTGGTTGAAAGAAACGGACATAAATGTTTTGATCGATACCTGGAGGCTGATACAGATGAAAGAGGCTATTAGTTGGTGTAGTTGTAGTTTCTGTCGCCCGTAAATAAGTGCTTCCCGCTAGTTTTATGTCCAGAGTTCCAAGTTTCAAGTCAGCGCTCACGTGACGACCAGAAACTTGTTCCACGATGCCACTCTGCTCCAACTGTGCGGCCGCGATTCCTCCACGGGAGCCTGGACTGGAGGCACTAAGGCGTCGTTTAGCTGAAATTGACGCCTTGATTAGCTCGCTCTCAGCGGAGCGCAACAGGCTCACTATTGAGTCTCAATCTGTTTCCTATCCCATCCTGTCTCTTCCGACGGAAATAGTCACGAAAATATTTCTACATTGCGTCCAAGACGCAAAATCCATCCAACAGAAACCAATACCGTCGCCTCTCGAAGCACCTTTGCTCCTTACTCGCATTTGCCATTCGTGGCGCGCCATCGCATTTGGGACTCCTGTCCTCTGGGCCAAGATCAGCATCAACAATTATCTTCTCCCGGACATTTTGGCTGTGTGGCTTAATTCCTCCGCAAGCTATCCACTCGATATAAATCTGGACGTCAGCCAACTAGAATTGTTACCACCCCTCCTCGGCCTTTGCCTTACTTATTCGGTTACCTGGCGAAATATCACGATCCAAATCCCTTCCGCAGCCTACGAACAACTTAGAGCGACTATTTCCCAACCAAATTTCCCGCTTCCTATGCTCACAGACATAGCTCTTTACACATATTTTCCCACAACAAGCAACCCTGTCGTTCAAGATGTTGTCGCTATCCATGATGCGCCTGTATTGCAGAAAATCACCATTGGAACACTCCCCTGGGTCGCCCTGTCCGCTCCATGGGCTCAAATAACCACTTTGCAGTTAAAGTTTCACATTTCCCTCGACGCATGTCTCGAAATCATCACTCAATGCGTTTCTCTAAAGGAACTGGATATCGAAAACGACCTCGAACCAAACCCTGAAACAAGCACTAGTACTCCCGTATCTCCAAACGTCCGCAATGTCCTGGTCCTCCCCAATTTGAAAACGCTCAGATGTCAATTATATAACGCACACTCCATTATCCAGTACCTCACTCTCCCAGCTCTTACTGAGCTGTTTACGCGGAGCAATAACTCTCAGATTACTACATCCGCAATACCTTCGTTCATTTCCCGCTCTGGTCACCCTCCGCTGCAGAAAATTCACCTTTCTATCACGGGTTTTCTTTCTGAGGACATATTCCTTGTCTTGGATGCGCTTCCAGCCTCAGTCATCGATGCCGAGTTCTCGTTGAACATCGATCATGGCCCCGAAATCTTCGAGCGCCTTTTTGATTTGCTTCAACTGAGGAATGCTTTTGCAAGTGGCTTTCGTTTACTCCCCTCCTTAACGACTCTGCGCTTGCTTCCGCGAGGAATAAACGAGTCCCATTATCATACATTACTCTCGGTTCTGCAACTTCGCTCAAAGATCATGGCATTGGTGATATACCAACGAGAATGGAGCGCCGGAGCAATCGACCCTCCCAAAGCTGTTCTCGACGGGTTCCGTGAACTGAGGTCAAGCCGTGGTCTGCACTCAAAACTTACGATCCTTACCAGGCAGACACGACGGCCCTGGGCGGAGCCTAGGGTTGTGGAGTTGTGAATCTGGGCTCACCCACTCAGTAATCTACCCTCGGGCATGACCGCGATAACGGTCCACATTTTAACGTACGACTACGCCGTAACTGTCGCGCGATCGGACAACCCCCGTGGGCCGTGGCGAGATGGTCAACAATTCAGCACTATTTATCGCTACTATCCAACGACGTCGGAAATCCCATGTTCCGAATAAGGAGTCTCGAAGGAGCGCATGGTTTCCGTCACGGTCATATTTTGGGTTCAAGTTTCAAGTTGTCCGAACAGTATCTTGATCAATACGCGTCTGAATTAGCGCCTGCAACTCTCCCTGATCGCCGTTATGGCCTGCGCATAGTTTCATGGCAATCTATTCAATCCGCAGCTCGTAGGACCGCCGATGTCGATGCAGAATGGACTTGGCGCCTCGACTTTGTGGTCAAACAAGTGCTACAACCCGCCTTGGCAAGGCGAACCGATGGAAAGACTACGGCTTAAACTACTGGTCCCAATGGTCACCCACAGATACTATATACGGCTTGGGCCGCTTTCCGAGTCCTCGGTTTGCATTAACATAACGATTCGGTATGTCAGACGGCGACCAGATATTCAGCTCTGAACCTCAATTGCCTTAGATTGAGCCTTGCTAGCGCTGCAGGTCCACATTAATGTCTAGGTTGTTACTTGAGATGTATAGTCCAGCGCCCACATCATTTGAAATCATTGACATGCTTCGGGCCGCGGTCGTTGGAATTTTCTGCAGTTGGCACTTTTCGAACTCAGACGATCGATCCCTCCGAATATCAAAGGAGCGACTTTCATTGGCTGTCGAAGTATTGACTGTACTTAGTCTAACTGATTTAAATGGTCAAGGCTGATTTTTTTCATCTCCGCTCCTCAAACTGGAACATCGCATGAGAAATCACCCAAGTAGCTATGCCCAGGTGACGGGGGTGTTTTCTATAGACACGGCACTGACATCGGTCTGTTTAAAATTAGCAACATAGCAATTGAACCTCTCGAGCTCGTGTGGCGTTAGCTCCGTTGATGCGGTGGACACACGATCCAAAATGTCACGACGAACGAGACTCCTCGAAAACATGGGTCACGCGACGAAGACGACCTCCGATGGAGCGAGAAGACCATAAGTAGGAAGGAGAGAAGCCAGAAGACGAATCGAAACAGGGTTCGTCTAGTAAACCCAGTGTCGTCTAAAACTCTGATTATCAGTAATCTGCCAGAGATATGCGGATCGCGCATCCAAGTCAGGAAAAATTTGTGTTCGCGAGAACCGTAACCGATGCTGAGTGGATCCGATGTTCGCGTGGGGACAAGTTAAGTATACGTAGACACCAAGTGGTAGAAGCTGGCGCCTGGGTACTGGCTCGTCTCCAACAACTGGGCAACCCTTGACTGAAAAGGAAGCACGGTAAATGATACACATTTTCCCCGCATCTGTCCGTATGGTGATTGACAGGACCCCACTGGTCCCCACAAGAAACCCAAAAAAATCGGAACGAAGGCACATGCCCAGTTTGTCTTGTGGCGTTAGGTTCTTGTTGCGGCTGTAGACGTATCAATTGAGTTCAATATGACACTGTCCAGAGACCAACGAGAAGCAAGGAACGAAAGAACAAGCTGCTTTCGTTCCTTGCTTCTCGTTGGTCTCTAGACAGCGTCATATTGAACTACGTCTATACAAGTAGAGCGCCAACTACCAGTGCCAGTAAACCAATAACCGTTGCTGCTGCCAAATTTGGGACAGCCCGGACCGAGAGTGACCTCGTGGTTGTTGTGGACGGTGACGCAAGCGAGACCGATGGGGTAGTACGAGAGGTCGTAGGCGCAGCTGAGTTCCCGAGAATAGTGGCCGAGACCACGGAGCATGGCTCAAGTCCGGCCGATAGAAAGCCAGAAGCGCTAATCCCGCCGAGAGTAATAGATTCAGCTTTCGATTGGAGGGTAGTATAACATAGAGCCGTTGTTGTCGAACTTGAGATTGGCGCTTGAATTGGTTGTGTGCTTATGTTCTCGGAGGCCGAGATGCTGACTGTGAGCTTGTGAGAAATTGAATGAAAGGAAAAATGAACATAGCCAAACGGACAAGCATTACAACCATCCGGATTGCACGAAGCACAGACCTGCTGAACGTTGCCCAGCGTTTCTTGGACAGTCGTGTTATCGAGTGAGCAACTAGTTGACAGACACGATTCAAAGGATTGCATCATGGTGGGGAAGGTACAGATACATTCGTATTGGCCGGGAAGCCTCAATACGCCAAGATTTGCGTAAGAGCGATGCGGGAGAGACGGGAGCGGAGAACTAACCCAGCGCAGCCACCTTGCTTTCCGCTACCGGTAGCGTTGTTGAAGCAAACATCAACACACGTCGAGATTTGTGAACTCGCTTGCTGAAAACTAGGTAACTTGGACGCGGAGGAAAGCCTTGAGAAGGGCGTAATCATTGTCGTAATTGACAGTACGCGACACAGAAAAAGCAGGAGGATCTTCATCCAAGAACGCTCAAATGTCGTGAACATGGAAGGAAGGTGAAAGCACAAACTCTAGTCAAACACGAACAAACAACTCGGTTAACTTTCGATCTCCATAAGGCTGGTACCCTTTTTCGTTATGCGGTGATGCCGTCAGAGTGTGGTAGGCCTTAAAGGTTCGTTCTTCGTCCATCCATGTCCCCAAGTCCCCATTGACCTATATCTACTCATGGCAGAGTCTCTCCCAATCTCTAATCGCGCTTTAAAGCGGCTTGGGCTTCCTCCCCCGCACGCATAGTAAGTATACCAACACTCCTGGTGTTCTCGCGTCTATTGCGCGTGCTTTCCTATGCCGTTGGCTGTCCTAGAGGAACTTCGTACTCAACTCGAGTCGGACCAGCATTCCGTGTTGCCATCGTCAAACACGTCTATTAAACTTCATCCACTCACGCGACCACAGTCTTCCCCCACCAGGCCCATTCTATGACCCCGAACTGTATCCGGAAGGTATCATCAACCTCTCAATTGCCGAAAACTCCTTGTTGAGTGAACGACTAATCGAGGTGCGTACTTATCTTAACACAAACAACTATTCTTACTTTCTGAATTTGGGAAGCACTTGTCCCGCCCGCTATCCGCCCTACGCGCTCAGCATCTACGATACAGAGCTACTCTGATCAAGACTGACCTCCCAACCGTCGAAGACCTTCTACCAGAGTACATCAATGACCACTTCAACCCCCACGTCCGAATCACGCGTAAGTAACTTCTTTCGTCTTCTTGCTTCTTGACTCGGAACATACTTTTCGGCGGTTATTTTCTACGTTCTGACCGCAGTGACAGGTGAGAACTCGGTCGCGGGCCCGGGGATTGGTGCATGTCTTGCCCAACTTGTATGGGCATTGGCTGGTGAAGGAGAAGGCGTCTTGATGAGTGTGGTGAGTGACTTCTCCTATGACCCTCCTGACATTAATAAGTGTGTTCTCTCTAGCCCTTCTATGGTTTGCGATTACCTCCTTCCTTCGCGTTGGGTTCAATTTTTCGACGCCAGATGACTATGTGCGAGACATCACCCATCCTTCTGGCGCAACGCTCGTTATGGCAGATATTCCGGCGACGATAAATTCGCTGTCGATAGATGTTCTTCCTGTTCTCGATGCCAAGCTACATGCCAGCTCACAAGGAATCGGCATCAAAATTACTGCCCTCCTCATTCCCAACCCACACAACCCACTCCCGCAAGTGGTCCAACGAGAAGTTATTGAAGGCTATGCGCGCTTAGCGCAAAAGGCGAGTTGAATCTGGCATCTATTCCAAAGTCTGAATAATGGTTGCAGTATAATGTCCATCTCATCGTCGATGAAGTATATGCCCTCTCAACTTACTCTTCCGCATACCCACCCGAGATCAATGTGCCTTTCGAGAGTATTCTCACCTACGATCTCCCCGCCTTGGGCGTAGATCCTTCTCGCGTTCATGTCCTTGCAGGGCCAACGAAGGATTTCGGTGCCAGTGGACTCAAGCGTCTGTTCTGTTCCCTTATCTCTTGACGCTGAACTGACAGCCATAGTCGGTCTTATCATATCACCTTATAATTTACCTCTACTCAACTTGGTTCGCCCACTCTTCAATGCCACACCAATCTCTTCACTCAGTGACATTGCTTTCGCTCGCGTCTTGCAAGATAAATCATTCACGGAGAAATTCCTCGCCGACAATCGAGTCCTTTTACGAGAGGCATACGAAATAACTGCGGAATGGCTAATATGGCATGGGCTAGAGTGCGTTGTTGGTGTGGTTCTGATTGGCTGTACTCACAAATCATGCTAGGTTTACTCGTGCCAATGCAGCAGTTTATGTCGTTGTCAATTTTGCACCATTTCTTGACCGTATTGCGCGACCAAATGCGGACGCGATTGAAAAGCTCGATGCGGGTGTCTCGGCGCTCATACGTGAGCGAGTCTTCATTGTGCGTATCAATGGATTGAACTCAGCGATGGGTTAATGAGCCGATGCTTAGAAACCCACGAACCTTATGGCCGATCCTGTTCCGACTCGCTTTAGGCTAATTTTCAGTCAGCCGAGGGAGACTTTACTGGTAGGGCTACTCCATCTCGGAGCGGTTCACTCATGCGTCTCACGTAGCTCGCTTTGCGTCGCATTGAAAAGGCATTCAATGCTCCGGAGGCGCCTCTACCCCTGTCTTCACCCGCTGTCCTTACCACATTGCAGCATAATGGTACTGCAACAAAGCTCAATGGACATGGTCATACCAAAGTTAATGGCATAACCTTCACGGTCAAACTCAACAGTAATGTCGGGCCAGTGAATGGCTACAGACACAATGGAGATGCGAGTTTCGGAACTAACACGGTCAACGGCTATCTTAATGGATTCGATTAGTCGGTATCTGGCGCCGCAATGACCAAAGATACGATTTATCTTACTCCGAGATCTTATCAGTTGTCAAATTGTTTTTGTCTTGCTATCACATGACCGCGTTCATCCTCGACGTCATAGCTTGCCTGTTCTTCTCTCGCCACCATGTCCACCTCTTCCGATGCTGCCTCGCATTTTTCGTGTTGCCAAGGCATTTGCCGATACAGCAATATCGACCTTCCATGCCCTGAACGACGCCGACGTGCTTGCTGACCCCAACTCATCATATTCAACCATTCGACACACTCGCGCATGGGTTTACTATCAAGGCGTTAAAACAATAGTGCCAATCTCGATTCTAGGTCGTGAACCACTCCCACAAGAAACAAACGTTATTCTCCAGCGTCGTGGCTGGAGGACGGGACTTCTGGGCTGGACGCTGGGTGGTTGGCTTCGGGGCACGATCGGCAAAGAACTGGACGTTACTCCCGCATCTACAGGCAGTTGGGATGCTGACGTGACTAAAAAACAACGAGCACAGTACACCAAAGAGACATCTAATATCAGGGCGAGCGGCGTAGTTCCGACTGACCACCTTGTCCTCGCTAGCGCATTCGTTCATATTCCTGTGGCTGCCGGTGATGGTTATTTTCGCCTTGTCGTGAAGGACCAAAAACGAGAAACCCTTGCGACGACTCCCGCGTTTCGTGTCGGCTCGCTCAGCCTCAGCTCGGCGCACCCTCGCGGCGCCTCTCCAATAACACTACTTCCAGAGCTCTTATTCAAAAGCGCCTCCTTGACTCTCACCACAGCGATATACGCAGGCTTTTTTGCGGCCTTCCCGTTTCTAAAAGTCGCTTCGCTCCTTCCTGGGACCAGCTATTGGGCCAACTGGGCCCTGCGGCGGACTTACGCATATATTGGAGCCGACGAAAAGCTGGCTGACTTGCGAGAACGCTACCGCGTGGATGAGAGGAGAGCCGAAGTTGAAACAAGGATGTATCGCACTGTCCCCTTCGGTTCAATGGGTGTAAGGACGCTGTATGATTTGGAGGAAGATGCGCGTCTGGGGAGGGGTGGAGTGTTTTTCAAGCGATCCTGAAAGCGTAGTCGTACTACTGTGGATTCTGGAAGAACCAGTGCTGGTATTGCCTGACAACTCCGAGTCATCCTGCAAGCAGCCTGATTCAGACTCGGACTGCAATTTCTAGTTGAATGGCACTTTACCATTGCCTTCATTTATATGATTTCGCGAGTTTGGGAGCAAATGCATCTGTTTGTTTGTTTGTTTGTTTGTTTGTATAGTTCCTTTATGAATCTGCAAACGACGAGATGATGTTGCTGACGAAAGATCTTCGCACGGCAAAACCCTTGCTTTTTGCTTCCAATAGCTTTTAAAAAAGCATCTATCTTCCCCATATATGCAACTAGTGCAGCTCAAGTAAAACTCTTCCGCTCGTGGAGCGCATATCTGATCTTCCTGGATAGCTCGCGACCAAGTACGCATTTGACGAGAAAGAAAATTTGACTTATTTTCCCTCCATTTCCCGGTGCAGGATCTTCCCAGGCGCTGCCCAAGCATACTAGCCATATCACCGGCCGAAAGGTCTCTCCCGGAATCGATTTGAGAGGAGGGAGGGAATCGGGCCAACTTCGCCCCTGTAGAGCAACCTCAACGGAGTCAACACCCCATTGGAACACCTCTGCATTTTCCCTCGCGGCACACTATTATAGACACTATCAGCACTCATAACGAGCAAGAGGAGGCTCGGCTTCCTTGACAAACCTCAAGTTTGCCTGTTTTGGCGTTCGAATCCAACGCCAAATGACCACTTTCACGAAGCAGTCTGATATGCAAAGGAAACGGCCCAGACTTTCATGAAGTATGTGCTCTGGTAATCATGATCCCCATCCTCAGGCCCATACTGAGATTTGTTTGTAGACATACCAGACCTGAGCAAGTTTGGCTTCCCGTTTCTCTCTTATTCGGTTTGCGGATATGTTGCGACGAAGAAGGATTTATTGATTGAGACGCCTTGTCGACGTCGACACAAGATTCACCTCGACTCTCTCCCAGTTGATGTGGTAGAACGCCAGCCTTGTTCGAGCTCGCCATCCTGGCGGGACTTGTGTTGACCAAGATTACCACGCACGTGGCGCGCATTGTTGTGCAGACTTGCAGTGCATTGTCACTCTCTTTGCTCGGCTATAAAACCTGCCAGCTCCCGCCAACATTTGTCACGCGCTGTTTCCTCTCTCCTTCCATCTATATCCCAACCTCCAACGCCATGGTTATCCCAGCAGTTTCCACGGGCTCGTCTTCGGATGCCGAGTCTCTCAATGCCGGACTGGGATTAACCAACATGCCCACGGCGAACAACGAATCGGTGATGGCCCAAGCTACTCGAAAGGGGGTCAACGCAAAGACTAAGAAGCGAAATGAAGCTCCCTACATCGATCTCTCCTGCGTCGCCGAGAAGGGCAAACGCACCAAGCAGAAGGTCGTGGCTCGAATCCGCTCTTATAGTCGCAGGCAGACAACAGAGCCTCCATCACCTGAGCGGTGTTCTGGCGAGAGAGAGCTTTCACCCACTCGTGCCACCTACAAAGCCAACCGAAACCATCAAACTAAGACATGGCCTCAGCGTTCGATTGATGACTCGGAGCCTTTCCTTCACTTGATCTTCCAAGATGCGGATGATCATGATGGACCTACACCACGAGCCCTCGTGCGAACGGAAAGCGTCGACCTCGTTGCCATACTTGATGCTCAGGCTCAGGCCGCGCACAAGCGCAAACACGCAGATTCTGACTGCGAAGACACAGAACCCGAAGATGATGATGAAAAGCGCTACACGAAGGTTGCGAGAAAGTGAATTCAGGATTGGAGAACAGCATGTAATTGTACTTGTATGTATCGAGAGCAACCATTCTTATTCTTTCGCCCTTTTGTATCATACCAAAACCTTCTCGAATTTCGTCACACACCCACGTGAGGTGATGATTCGTGTCAACGCCATCTTCATTGCCTTATATTGTAGAAACACCAGCTCCTTTTCTCTCGAGAAAATCCAGGCTTGTTCACCCACGCTGGGTCATTCGTACGATACGTCCGAGTCTTGGCTTGTGGAACTTAACGTGCCCGTGATTCGCCCTCGAGCTCCCATTTGGTCAGCAGCACAGAGCTAACCGGAGACGGCGTTTGCGGGCAAGACCTGGTCCCCTGGATGTGCGGGCGAAATTTGTGCCGAGAATGTAGTCCCAGGATACGACGTCGGAGGCGGGGTTCATTGTACTCGCGGGAATTTTAAATACTCTGGGTCGAGTGAGAGATGACTAGTCCGAGCTCCATCGCTATAAGAGTCCGAGTCCTCGTACCAGACACCGCCGGTCGCCGAGTAAACCGCCCGAGTTCGACAACTTGAACAAACTCAGGCCTTTTGTTCCGAGATGTAGAATGTGTCACGGTTATTGAATCTGAGTCGCAATGAAGTTTGTTTCTGCCAGTTGCTGATGGTTTTTTAGTCCTGAAGTGCATCAGGCTGTCAATGAGATGCAGGAGACACGTAGATTGCACGTTGGAATCATTGAGGAGTTGTTTGGCCACTTCTGGATGAGCTGGTGTTTTTAGAATCTGACCGGAAGGAGTCAAAATTGAAAAGCACTGTCCTAGCGGCCATATGCATACCGCACAGTGAACTGATCGGTCACGGGTGATGACACCGACAAAGTCGCGGTCATGTGACACGTCTCGCAGTCGTTCGGAACTTGAAAAGACGTCCGTAGATCTATTTGGCCCTATTTACATTATCTTCGCTTTGGGTGAGAATAGTAATTGTTTTACACAGCAATTTAAGTTAAAGGATAGGGTATAATTATCCCACTACAAGTATGTACATAACTTGAAGTATAGTCCATGAGCGGTCTATCTGAGGCAGCTACAACTTGAGGTCCAAGACACTGTACATGCCTCGCTCGAAAGCAAACTCACCGCCCCATCGCTCCGCGTCCAACTGGCTATCCCTCAACGCTTTGAGCAGGTTCATACGCATTCCGCGGGCCGCATCTACATCAACGATTTGCGAAATGTCAAGAAGTTGATCCTTGCAACTCTGGATCCAGCTTAAGTAAGTCACTAGCGTTGAACGACAGTGAGTCTAACCTGAATCGCCTGTGCGATATCAGCATCGGCCATGGCCAACGTCTTGGCGACTTCGCCGTCTTCATTCCAGCGTCGGTTTATCGTCGATCGCACAACCGAAGTGAGTGGACCCAGGCTCGGGAATCCTAGACCGCTCCCAAAGAGCATGCGGGCATATTTGAGTTTGTCCAGCAGTAAAGGCGATGGCGTATCGACGCCGACAACCAGCTCGATGTCTGAATCAAAAGTGGTGTTTTTGTGTTGGAGACGAGCATGGGTGGAAGACATGAAGGTTGCCACAAGCCCAGGAGTTTTTGAAGCGAGCATACCACGGAGAATTGCGCGAAGACTAAAGAAGGCCCAATAGTTAGTTATATCTCAAGCCTAATAGATGGCGGCCACTTGCTCCTCTGGACTCGCGTTGACTAGAACGGTGTCTGCCATCATATTACTGTCGGGGTCATTGAGCCTCTCGCACAAAAGGTGGTGAAAAGAAAACAACGCACACATGGCCATGGGGCAAGGTGGAACGATATTCAGTGCGTGCCATACTAGTATGGGAGAAGAGTGGGCTCTCATGCTAGACTTCGTGCCCTTTTATGTCTCTGGTCACAAACGCTGCTTCGTCGTCGAATTTCTATAAATCGTCGGCAAGTTCTTAGAACACCGGAGCATGATGAAATTGAGGTACACACCGGAGGTGGGACTGTCCACGGATACCGATGATCCTTGCGACGCGTTTGATTCCCGGAGTCGACAACAATGAGCAAGGCGACACTGGTGTCCGGCGCTTCTGGGGGACTTGTGAATGATTAGATCGTCCAATTTGGTGTTTCGCTTCACGCTTGCTTCAAGGCCGGAAATTTAGCAAGTCCCCGATTCGAGGGCTTAAGCTGGAAGCCATCGCCAGGTAGTCGATCTCCACATGTGCTGGGACATGGACTCTGGACGAAGCATTCAAGAAGAAAGCAGGGACTTGGTTATCGCTGAAAGTGGAAGATGCCCAACTAAAGAGGATCGCCGCCATAGATAACCAAGAATAGATTGATTTTACAGATAGCCATTGAAGTCAGTAAATTTCCTACCTAGCTTGAGTGAGGAGCTTATGAGTAATGTTACTAGTACCTACCTGGAGTACACACAGTAGTAGTGGAGTTCGCTACTAGCAAGGGTGGCACATCTTACAGGGTTAACTCGATGTCCTGATTGGTTCCAGTAGAGGCATGTATCGCAATGAGGCGTTGCGCGCCATTGATGCCCTTACATGAGCGCTTCTCAACTTCATTAATTATTCACTGGTGAAATATAAGAACACCGGCTGAAAAGCAGAGTCACGAACCGCATATTCAGCCACGATGACTTCTTGCAATGATTCGAGTCTTTTGTGGATCCATGTTCAATCGCCGACTGATAGACAGGCGAACGGAACTGTCGCAAACAAGATCAACTCGGTCTTCCAACTGAACAACGGTTTGGCGCTGATCTCATCTCGAGCCGAGGTATTTTGCGCGAACGGAGGTTGGAGATGGAGTTTTTGCCACGAGAATTCAAACCTCGTTCAATGTTGTCCGCGTACAGTTGGTTAAAAAAAGACAAAGATGAGCTCAGACCTCATCGAAGAAGTCGGTGGTTCCCGAAGATGAGGTAAGAAGAAGACGGAGTGGGTGCGTTCCTAAAGTATAGCTGTCAACGATATTCTGCACCACAGTCCCCAATCGTCTGGAACAATTGCCTCCCTGCACTCTGAGACAGCACACGGTCAATATCTGCCCTGTCCTCATCACTGAGGGTCCAGCCATAGACTTTTAGGTTATCTTCTGGGTATTCAGTGCACCCAAGTCGCACGCCTTACCAAATTTGCTCAGGATGGAATCTAAACTGAGCCAAGTATGACATACCAACAATCACTGCTCCAACGACTGCATGGTCAAGTACCCAACGAGTTGCAATGTTCGTAACACTGGTTCCTTCGTGTCTCAAAGATATCGTTCGGAGAACGAAGAGGAGTTCTTGAAAAAGTGACCAGCTGCCCCATGCTTTGGTTATTATATCAAGGTACTATTTTTCTCGTATCAGCAATGATATAGCGAACACACTGAAGTGGACAACCTTGCGCTGAGACGGGTTGAGAGAGCCGGCGTAAGGATCAGGCTCAGGAAGTCCAATCCACTTCTCAGCCAGAAAGCCGCCACACTGTAACATCCCTCCGATGAGCATCGGAATGAAACGCTATGATTAAACGCCCACCAAGGTTCCATAAGTCAGGAGTTTAACCCCATGTTTTGTGCAGACGCTGTCGAGTGCTGACAGAACACGAACATCAATTAGCGAGAACTGTGGCAGGGGTATTAGCCTGCTAGGCAGTCAAACAAGATGCCACAGACAAAATACTGACCGGGACCTGATTGGAGACAACCAAGCCGGGAAAACGGACACAGATCTCCTCCGTTCTCAGCGCGTCAAAGTTACAAAGCCCGACATTAGCAATGAGGCCTTCATCCCGGAGCTGAGCCATGATTTCAAGCGCCGTGATGTAGTCGTGGTTTGAATAATCCTGCCAGTGGAACTATAAAGGTTGAGGTTCCATTCGTCGCAGGATGTGTGAAGATAAATATACCTGAAGAAGATCGACACGAGTGGCATGCATGCGCTCAATCCGTTCACGGATGGCGGCTTCGACGGCGGCCCGGGTAATCGGCCCCGTCAAGGGTTTGAAGACACACCATTTAGTGGCACCTACGACGAGCTCGGGCTTCTCGAGCGATGACCGAAATTGACCCTGACAACGATGAGATGCGGAGTGGAGGTCCGTCCTCGGAAACTCACAAAGATGAGCTCTGCACTCCCATAGTGGTCGGCTATCGTAGCGTAAAGGTACGGGCGTGAGACATGTTAGACAAACAAATTTCCTAAGCTTACCCTATGGCCAGCCAAGGAGGACAAGCGACTCGTCAGTAAAACGGAATGTAAGACCAGGACCAAATGCTCACCATATCTGATGATAAATCAGCTGATCTACACGATAAGACGTACTGCGAGCTTACCAAAAGCCGTGTAGCCAGCATCGACGTGGCGAGACATTGCTTGTCGGATTTTTGGGACGGACGCCGTTCCCCAGGCATTACTCGAGAGTTGCCAGAGTCCAACCCAAAGGCGCGGTACGGTGAAATGGCCCAGCTGGAATGTTTCATGGGCAGATTGCATGATCGGTGGGAGCAGGAGGTAGTGGTGGTGGCTGCAGAAGGGAATGCGGATGAGCCAAACAAGGTCAAGATATTATGTATGGCAAATTGGAAGTCACACCCGTCCCGTCTCAGCCATCCGAGTGCTGACGATGATCGGTGACCGGTGACCCAATGTTTCCCGAATCTCCTTGCAGGTACGCGGCTCAACTGTTGACGAATTTGACGTGGAGAACGCCGAGACTCTGACGAGCAGTAACCTCTCGACGGACCGCGGCCAACGCTCCGATAACAGATTCTCAAGGATCCAGTCGGAATGTGGGCGTCTTGGAAGGTGTAAATCCCTTTACTCGGGGTAGGAAAGTTTTCGGTGGACCGTCCAGGGCTTCATCGACGTGAGAGTCCGTCCCTAATGCGAGCAAAGGACCACAAAACCAAGGATATTCTTTACCACGCAGTCTGGGCATCCGCTTAAGAACCGCCGGGCCTTTCACGCGAGAAGTCGAATCACCTGCTGAGGGTGGCGCAGAAGAGCCCCGCTTCAACTGTAGGGTTCTAAAAAATCGATTAACATCCAAGACATTATGAGGGTTGAAACCAAGTCCTAACTTGACTCTGCTCCAGGCCGCGGCTACCAGACAGACCATCATGATGTGCTCGTTTCCGTCGAGGGGATGCGTTTCGTCGACAATGATACTAGCTCGGTATCCAAAGAATTGACCCAGAACTCCAGAATCTTAGCTGAATGAATATTGTACATGCGTTTCTTCTCCGCGTCTAAGCGATTCTGATTGCTAGGCCCGCCTCTGTCAATTGAGGGATTTTTCTCGCATCAGAAAATCAGCAGTGGTCCATGTGGTAAATCATTGTGTGGCCCATCGCACAGGTGTTCGGCATATCGGGAAAGCGATGCGGGCGCGACACGGCGGCGACACTTGCCGAGAGCACGGACAACGGAGGAGGGGGTGGAAGGGGAGCCTCCAAAAGGAAATAACTCTGCATAGGCAATACCGGTCCTAATCTACCAAGAGGCACCACGCGAGTATTGGTGGCCAGGTTCCAGGGTCCTCTTTCGATGGTTCCTCCGTCATGCCGTCCCACCGGTAGATGGAAAGAATAGTCCGAAATTCTTGAGCCATTGACCGCATATATTGCCGAAATCCGTTGAGTTAAACCTGTAACAGTGTAAGCGTATGATCCCTACTGGTATATTTTAGGCGTATCGTAGGTTGAAATTTGGGGGGAATGCGTTGTTTACCCAGCATTCGATGTTCCAGCTAAGGTTTGGAGACATGATGACACGGAAGCGCCGGGAGCAGCAACATTAAGATGAAATTAGTGTTGCATTCGCTCTAAGAATGGTTATAAGTCGTAGCATATCTCGGTGACCGTAGCTCAGCCTCAGGCTACGGTCACTAGCTGCGAAGCATGTCGGCAACAAATTGGAAGTGCGGCAAGCGTAGATGAGTTTGAAAGTGGTGGCAGCTGCGCAGTTATCAGGAGCCCGTTAGCTCGTCAGATACAGGCGCAATGCACGAAAAAGGGTGGAAGTTTGGGAGAAAGAGTCAGTTCAAGCGCTGTAACGGCGTCTCGGCGCCGATCAAATCATCATCAGCTAGCCACGTGAATATCACGGGACTTCTGGACCCACTTTTTCATTTCTTCCTTCAACGATGGTGGCCCTTGTCCAACGACCCGCTCCAGACTTCAAGGCTACTGCAGTGGTAGACAGCCTATTCGAAGAAGTCTCTCTTTCCGACTTCCGGGGCAAATGGTGCGTTACCATCTATATTACTGAGTGACCACTAAACGGACATGGAATGCAGGGTCGTTCTACTCTTTTACCCAATGTAGGAGCATTAACTTGGATGATATATATTTATACTCAACCCTGCTGCAGGGACTTCACATTCGTCTGCCCAACAGTGAGCATCCATTTCCTATGTTGGCCCTCGCTCAAGCGACTCGAAGGAAATCCTGGCATTCAACGACGCTATACCCGCACTGAAAGAAATCAACACTGTGGTACTTGGTGCGTCAGAAGCCAGCGACTGCACTTGTGCTTATTGGTTCATTGGCAGGGATATCGACCGATTCACAGTACTCTCATCTAGCTTGGGTGGGCCCTTTGACTTGTTGAAATGATGTCTGCTAAGCGAAAGTAAAAGGCCTCCCAACCGCGCAAACAGGGTGGAATTGGTCCTGACCTCAAACTTCCTCTCGTTGCCGACAGGAACATGAAAATTTCGCGTGATTATGGCGTTTTGCTTGAGGATGAGGGTATCGCGCTCCGTGGACTCTTTCTCATCGACCCTAAGGGAATTCTGCGGTGCGTCCGTCGTACTACTATCTCGCCTCTATTCCTCAACGTGATGTCTAGCCAAATCACCGTCAACGACCTTCCGGTTGGTCGTTCCGTCGACGAAACCATTCGTCTGATCAAGGCATTCCAATTCACTGTGGGCCGCCATCTCCTCATTTCACCTGAGACTGATTATCCCACTACAGGACCAATATGGCGAAGTGTGCCCTGCGAACTGGAAAGAAGGTGATAAAACAATCAAGGCGGACCCGAAGGCTTCCTTGGAGTATTTCAGCTCGACTGCTACCGTCCGTGTTGTCCATTCCTTGTTTTGATTTGCTGATCATTACATGCAGAATGGTACCAATGGACACTCCAACGGCACTGTCCCTGCAAAGCGCGCCAGGGTCGAGTAGACTCTAGATCCAAAATGATTGCGTCATTTAGATCAGGTAGACACCCAGTTGGAAGTGGATGCTGGGCTAGAAGTAGACCTAGACCGTAGACTTAAACCTATCATATATCGTTAATGTATAAACTTTTCTTTGCAGTTACACCAATTTACAAATCGCAGACCGTAATTGTGAAAGAAATCGGAATTGGCGCGTGTGTCACGGTATCACATGATCGCGTTTGTGACAGGCTCAGGCATCGAGAGACTCCGCCTTCCTTTCCGATGCCTTCTCATCTTCAATCATATCATGCACCACACCCGCATGCTTCGTAGCAGCATCAACAAGTTTTTCTGTCGCAACTTCTCCATCGAATATAGCGGCCGTTTCCTCCAACGTACGGTTTTTGGTTTCTATCAGGACTGGAGACAAGAGTAAGTGTGTCTGTGAGTCTGCAAACGAGGGAACGCACAGAAGTATAAGAAAACCGCTTCACAGACGAGCCAGACGCAGTAAACGATGTAATATTTCCAACTCATCGCGGCTGAATCAACATGTCAATATTTGCCAAAGTAGCGAGGCCAGATGAACTCGCCGAAAGCGATTGGATTGACGTATTGGTTAAAAATGAGGGCCAGAGATATGGTGAAGTTGAAGATGTTGAAGCCCTTGGCCCGAAGTTTGTAAGGCAAGATCTCCAGGGTGTACGTGACAATAAGGGGAGAAAAGGCAATGCTGAGGAGATTTCAGAGATCGCGAGTATAAAGACTGCATAAGACCTACTTGTAAGCCGCAGAGAATAAGAAAATGAAAGCCAAAGCCCCGTGCGCCGCATGGATGTCACCAGCAACACGGAATCTGCCGAAGCACACCGTTTGAAGCGTGAGGAAAAGTGTCATAAGGGATATGGACGTGAGAAAGAGAGGGCGGCGACCGAAACGATCGACCATCGAAGATGCGGTGAGTGCGCAGATCAGACTCCATATTGAGAGGATGCCGTTTATAAGAAGCTAACATGAGCTTGTCAGTCGTCAGACCAAACTTATTAATGCGAGCCACACTTGAGTTGTCGGATCGGTAATCCCCATTTGATCAAGCACTTTGTTGGTGTAATAGGAAACAAGCCCGTTACCGGACCACTGCGAGAAGAAGGCAATAGCGACAATGATACGGACACGTTTCCGATTTCCTGGGCTAGAAATGAAGGCGGACCAGCCAACGTTCTGAGCGACTAAACTATTCTTAAGCAAGCGTCAATTAAATCCCAAACACAAATACCGGTCTTGTCAAACTCGATAGCAGTTTTGATCTCTTGGAATTCGTAGCGGACAAGAGGATCATCTCTGAGAAGAAAGAAATAAGCCGAGCGTCTGGAGAAGGATGATCGACATTTACTCGTTCCCATCGGCATGATAATACGCCAGAGTCTTCAGGGCCTCAGCTTCCCTGCCCTTGTTCACCAAATAACGAGGCGACTCTGGGACAAACCAGATAAGAAAAATCTGGATTACAGAGGGAAGAGCCTGGAGTGCGGAAGGAACCCTCCATGACCATGTGCTATTGATCTTGAATGTCCCGAAGGTCGTCCAAGCAGCTCTATTCTGTCTGAGAAACTCGAACGCACACAACGGAAAACGCACACAATTGCTCCAGAGTGCCACAATGAGTTGTAGACAGATGTCAGAGGTGCGCGATACTTCGGATACGAAAGCTCGGTGATGAGCATTGGCGCTGCGTTAGCTGCAGAATAATGAGGGGTATGATATCAGAGAACCAGGGCACATACAAGCGAATGTGAGACCGAACCCGATGAGGAAACTGAAGAAGATTAAAATCGAGTTTTTTTTGCGACTCGACACACAAACCGAGCGCCGATGAACATCCCCACAGACTGAGAAGCTGTCTGAACGACCGTAGCTAGTATCATGATGACTGCCCCGATAAACACAGTTGCGCGACGGCCTATCCCATCCGAGAGGTAAGGCGCAAAAGGATATCCAGCAAGGGAGCCGATGTTCTGTGCATGTGTCAGCAGCCCTATATGAAAGCGAGTCTATCAAGTTACCTGGATAGCACTGAGTAAACCCAGCTTTCCCTTGGTCGGATTGTGAAACGACTTTTCCCATTGAGGAAGAGATTGCAAGCCGTTGACCATGGAACCGTCGTACCCATTGGTACTCGCTGTGATTAACAATAGAACGATCCATCCGTTCAACGCCATTAAACTAGAGTTTGATTAATTGACCACAAACTCCGGGTTAAGAGCTCTCACCGTCTGTTGTTGTACCACTTTCTACGGGGATCCATAAGGTGCGAGTATGCATTGCTTGCATCTTCAGCAGAACCTGAGGCACCGACAGCCATAACAGCTTCCGGCTTGAACTCGTTCAGAGGGAGCTTTTAAGTCCAATGGAAGGACCGTGACGGTCCGCCGACTAACGGTCGTCCGGGCGGGGGTATAGTGAGAGAAGAAACGACATTCGAAGGCAGACAGCGCTGCTAGATCGCTCAGGGCTTTGTTGAGAGCAACCAGCTGACCCCTGAGCATTGGAGTGTGCCGCCATCTTGTCGCTATTCTGAGGGTGAAATCCCACACGGGAGTCGAAGAACCACGATGAGAAGCGTCGGCCGCCCGACGGCACCAACGACAAACTGTGGTGTGTGTGACTTGGGACAAGAATAAACAGAGGAGCGCTCAATCCCGCCGTTATTTTTTTCGACCACCAAGGGAAGCACTAGCGATGAAAAGGGGAGAACTTCTTTCCAGAAGCCTAGCTGCATTTGGTGTCCCTTCCGCCACTTTCCCAGACCGCCACAGCCTGATGAGTACTTGGGTAAGCCACTTGCATTTTAATACAAAAATTACATGCGCACGTTGTACCAAAGGTGATATCGGCAGGCAATGAGCTTGAGCGTCACTGGTCGATGAGGACGAAGGGAAACGAAGTCGAGGTCAGGTGATGTAAGCCTTCTGTTTGCACCCAACCTCCACGTTTAACATGCAATGATACTCTGGAGTATTGCTAATCAAGTACATTCACGTATGCGACTGAACCCAGCAGAAATACGCTATGTAGATCGCAAACTTGAAGCAAGGCAATCATTTGCTCCGTCCAACGCCTCTCCAACCCCACACGGGAAACGAGGCCACACTATTGATCCAGCCTTGCAAGACCTTCGCTGCGCCGGCATCTGACATGGGACGCGACTGTCTTGCTCGCCAGGTCCACTCGCGGAAGTTGTCAGCATCACCAAGAGCTCCATATGCCATAGCGAGGGCATCAAGGTGTTTCGTATATTGCGTGGACGGCAGCGACCTTGCGCTGCCTGTCAAGTCGGAAGTGCCTCCAGGGCTGCAAGAGCCTGGCTTGGAATGGTCGCAAATACTCTCCAGTCCCTCGATTTCAAGCATGCGAATCCGGCGCGTGTGGGCCTCAATCAGGAGGGAGTCGGAATACATCTTGCCTCTGTCTGCAAGCCAGGTTTCGAATGTGGGGATATTGCTAGCACGAGCCAGCTCGAATCGTGTCGAGTCGCTATCGGTTTCGTTAGGCCGAATGCAGCCGGTGCAGTGGCACGTAAAGTTGTAGGCCGAGTGAAGGAGCGATTGACGGGAAGAGCGAGGAAGCAACAAATGTGTTCCCGGGAGGTAAGAAATGGTGATCTCCTCCCCTGAAGTAATGGGCCTGACAGCGATCAAGGAAAGGGAAAGAGTAGTGCAGTCCCAATGCCATCGTGCATTCGGTGAACAACTACATTTCAATCAAGTCAGTCACGAAGACTTTTCAACACACCGTCGTACCTGTGGTTGCACCGGCTCGTCTCCAGGAAAAGCGCACGATGGGTGGGCAACTCGGGATGGGGAACATCCATAGGAACCGGCAGAGTAACAGGAAGTGCGTTGGTACGAATAATGCCCAACAAAACATCGCACTCTTGGACTGACTTGCAGTTTGCCAGAGTGAGAACGCGCGCCTGCTTTTCCGGAGGCAATTGAGCCAGGAGTGTATGGAAAAGATTGGCTTCTGTCTGTTCATTCAGCGCCGTACCAATAATATACGGCGCTATCATGACGGGCCGTTCAACGACAATCGTAAAGCCAGCGGGTAGAGGTTCGCTCGCGAACATTGCCCGGGAACCGAGGCCTGTTGTGTGGACGAAAAACGACGGTGAAGCGCCCGAGGGCCTCGTCGGTACTGATGGAGACTTTGGTGGTGAAGGTAGAAGACGCTGAACTCCAACATCGAGGACGGTCACGGTGTGGTCCTTGCCATTGTCACCATACGAGACGTTTGAAATAGTATAGGCGCGGCTCTCGAGATGTCCCGCCAAGTCAAAATACGGAGCATCGAGCACCGGATTGGCTCGAACATCGGCATTGAGCTTCACGCATATGGAGAGTGGTGGTGATGGTGGGTTAGACCCACGACCGGAGCCCAAGGGAGCAGCATATATTCTGGGTGGGGAAGGTGGCTTTGAATCACGTCGTTTCCTGGACGCCGGGTCATTGACGTGGTGTGTTGCGGTTGGGATTGCGGTTGGCATCGTAGGGAGAGCGGACGGACGCGACAGTCGATGTCGGCGAGAAAGTGGAGAAGGGGAAGAGGATGCAGCAAGGAGCCACAGCGCAGCCAATGCGTAACATGGATGGTTTATAAAGCCCCACTAGGATTCCAGGCCGTGCGTCGATCACCAACAGCAGTGGCTCCCGGGAGCAGTTTTCCGTTTAGCCCCAACAGCCGCGCACTTCCGTTGAGAGAGATAACTTGTCAAAAAAGATATATTCAAGTTCCAGTTATCAGTGCACGAATGCGACCCGGATCTTTCGGTTTGAAAGGAACATGCACAAGAAAAAAACGTGTCCTACGTCATAGCACGTGAGGAATGCAAAAGTTTTTTATCCAACGCGGCAACGCCCTGGCAAACCCCGGCTGTTATCTCGCTAGTGTTCAACGTCATTTTATCACGCGATAGCTCAGCTGAACTCCTGAGCTATTCTCGTCAATGACGTCGTGTTTTCTCAGATTGTGAACGCTCGCGGCAGCAAATGCAAGACAGATAGGACATTTTTCTCCCTTCCAATCGCGACGCCACACCGTGATTGATTCGATACTGTGGGGTTTTCCACCAGACTCACAGCACAGCAGTATTCAAAAACACTAGATCCAAGCTACCTGAAAACGCGGTGTCGACAGTGGGCTGACCGTCACAACACGCCGCGCTGAATATCTATTAAAAGCAGAATAGATGCGCGACAACAGAGCGGCTTACCATCTTGTGCTCTCACGAGCAGTTTCTCTACTGCTGAATCCAGTGCCGCCCACATCCCGCTTTCAGACGAAGAATGGGCCTCTCGGATTTGAAACGGTTCTCTATGGCGATACAAGACCACCCGCTGCTCGTCCCGCATATTGAAGTATTCCGCGAGGGTCAACACACTTGGCGCTGTCTCGAGTTGGTCGATTCGTAGGCCGCAAACGCGGAGCGAAGGGCAGCATGACCGGAGGAGTTCTTCAACAGTTTCTCCTATACGGCAGATCTCGGGACAAGGTAGGGTCCGGGCGCCGAAGGTGTAGTCGAGCGACAGGTGTGTGAGAGTAGGCAACGCGCATGGCGGCCAAGGCCATGAGGCCCATTCTTCCCAGACGTTAACGATGGTGAGGTGTGTTACCTGGCTGAAGAAGGGTATCGAGAAGTGGGGGTCGGGAGAGGCGACGATTCCATGCCATGATGATATTCGGCGTGGTCGTAAAGAGAACATCAAGCAAGAGAGAGGGCTACGTCGAGGAGATGGAATTCCTGGTCCCGGCTGGGCAGGCAGATACCACGAGGTCACATTCTCGATGCCGGTGCAGACTGTTGCAACACGAACTACGTCTTCAGGTCGCATATCGAAGAGGATAGTCAATGACTTGATTTGTGTGGCAAAAAACGAGCGTTGCTTCGTTCGAGACGTTTCGATGGTGCGAATGAAGTTGTCTGTTGTCCGTTGGCGACGAAGATGGATCGTCCTATACAAGACGAGGTCGATCCTATTGACGTTGTGGTACTAGTAGTTCAGGGTCTCCAATGTAGCAACTTACCAGTCCCGTACAATACGCGAAACAAGCACCAGTTTCAATGCTGTTCGTCGGTCATCCTGGGCGGCTATCTCGAAAATGAGACGAAGAGTGTCGTCGACGAGGAAGACCGGCATTCATTTATGCCAGTACCAATGGTGTGAGGGAAGAGCGCGATGGCGTTGGCCTGTCTGAGCACCGCGTCTTTTATAACCACTCTCAACAAAGTGATCTCCGCGGTTTTCCTTGGTTCCATCTGGTTAAGTGCGCCGAGGCAGCAAAACGCACGGAATCCTGTTACTTACCCGCTTCGAAGAACGACACTTGTTTGAAGGCCGACATTGGATGAGTGACGCCGCTTGAAGATTTGGAGCAGTTCATCTTGCCACGTTTCTTTGAGCAGCGCTTATGTAGTCGACATATTCCGAGGTAAAATGTCAACTTGCTCTCCCAGTGTGGCTCGGAGCGGAGCTTTTCGACGGAGCTCTCGAGGACAAAGCCAGCTCTCCCTCTTGTTACTGGTCGTGGTTCAACTTCCGGGTCTAGTGATCGGCAGACCAAGTCCTCGGAGTCCTTCACACTGGCATATGTAAGTAGTCACGCGCCGTGAAACGCTGCAGGCCGTCAGAGGGCGTCACCACCAGTTGTCGCAAATACTCGGAAGCTCGCGCAGTGGTCCGCCGAAAGCCTGCCGCTGCTGATCCGCGGGGCCATTTCTGTCAACACAATCTTCGCGGAAGGGAGAAGCAGAAGCGACCCAAGTGTCAGTGTTGCGCTGGGCTCAAAATCGAGGGGCAGATGGTAATCCTCGCGGGTGCTATTTGAGGGAGCGGTCCTTGGAAACCGAGGGTAAGGTGGCGGCGAGTCACCCCGCTGTGGTAACATTGGGATTCACTTGTTGGCCGGACACAGGTATAGCGTGGGGTGATATTAGTGTGATTGCCAGTGAGCTGTGTTCATCATCTCGGATGCAACCGAGGACAGGAACTGATCAATTTCAGTAACATCAATCGATCATTGCTTCGGTGATCGTAACTGCGTTCAATGATGCGAGATTCTCGACGCAAAAACAAAAGAGATAGCGGGAATTAGTACGCAAGAGTGCAGCATATATGCACCTGTAGCATGAGATATAGCTTTGATATATAATGGATGGCTTGAAGGAGAGATTTTCGGTGATTACAAGCCCTCATCATGCCGCCATCAAACCACCTCTTGAGGGAACTGGTACATCTCTGAGCGTTACAGGACAGTGTGTAGTGGGGTAGTCGTAGCCTGGATCGTTCCTCTTGTGCCATCTCCACTTTTAAACTCACAAAACCAACCCAAAAACACGGTCCTTATTCGGAATTCTGATAAATAAAATTGCTCTACGAGTTTGAGCACATTGTATCTCTATAGAATCAGCGCTTTCCATTGCTTTGGTGGGGTAGTGGTAACCTGGGTCGTTGCCAAGTCGATTCGCTACTGTTTCGACCCGCCGGGGGTTCGATTCCCCCCCAAAGCATAGGATCTACCAGCTATCAGGCGGTGGGTACCTTTTTCTTACCTCTCGCTCTCTCTCTCTTCCGGAGCTTCCATGGGATAGGGATAGTCTTTCTCCTCTAAAAAAGCCCTCGCTAATGCTCGTTCTTGAGTATATCCATTCTAATGCTGCAAACCTGATCATGCTGATGAAACTTACTATCAGATTCACAGTTTCCAAAAATCCCACCATCTAGCTGCTCTGGATCGTTTACGGGGTACAACTGATACCCCACGGATCTTCAGTGCTCCACTGCATACTTCATTTCCGACTTTGGGATGGCTGCCATTTCGCGTGCCATCAGTATACGATTCAAAGTGGTCTATGTGTGCATCGAGTTTTCGACCTGATCACTCTCTGCTCAAATCTAGCTGTAGCTCCAAAACGCAGGTGGTCGGGATATCACAGTCCTCATAAAGAGGTGGCCAGCGCAACGTTAACGATGCAATTGGGATACAAATTTATCAGACACTATGCAATCCTACACACCATTCAGTGACAAGCATTTGCCAAGATACTCATTGTTCCACAAGGTTTTGACTTGACCCTTGAGAAGTTTGGTCAACCCCTTGACTGTTTCCACAGCGTAGGAAAGATCACCCACATCCATCTTACCAAGTCGTCCATCCCAACTTCGGTCAAGCATCATTGAGCACACCATGGGAGCTGTGGCAGCCCATCAGCCTTCTCTTTTCCCTTGCAAGAGCCTCGCAGGGATCTTCAAGTTGTCGAGTACAGTTCGACTTTGAGCATTGAGCGTTTGCCCTCCTCCGAACCCGAATCCTCTGCCTGGTTTGTTTGTGTGGCTTTGTTGTCAATGATGCGGGCAATTTAGAGCCGCAAGAGCATCATCGTCTTCCACGCACATGGCCGTCAACTCGGCGCCAAAGTCACGTCAACGTGGTTTTTGAGCTGGGAACGCTGGTGTTGCCAGACAAGGGAGGACCCGGGGCTGTTGCCAGTGCACAAGAAAGAGGGTCGACCAATATTCTGTGTAAATAAGTTGAAGAGGAAGTACTAGTAGCTAAAAAAAAAGAAACACGAATCGGAGTGATAACCGAGTCATTCTTGTTGCACACCAATATTCTGGCCCGGGCGCGTCTGCTGCACACGGGCTGAGAGCCAGAAGCATCTGTTTAAGCGGGTTCTATACCTTCTCCAGAATAAGTGGTTGTGCTAGCTACAAGTGAAACTGAGGAAATGTCGTACTTGAAGGGTTGTCACGACTCACCATCGGAGGTGCTAGCGTTAGATTGTTTTGTGGGTGCGGAAAGCAATTTTACTGCATTGTTCATAGTGTGGAACGCGAGAGATTGCAGTCACAGAGCAGGCGTGAACGAAGAGCAAGGACTGATGCGACCATTTGATATTTTGATTACATCCGGGCCGGCCCAAACGATCCAGGTTACCACTACCCCACCAAACTTGAAGTGCGTGCGTCTTGCATATTACGCGTGCGCTGGCAATTCATTTCCACACCGTAGGGCGGCAAAGGCATCCTCCATGTCACGTCTGCCTCACGGCTTACCATCCACTGGTGGCATCAACGACTGGTTCGTCTTGACATCCATGTCAACGTTTGCATCAAAACTGGGCACGAACTACTGCCCGACCGACGATGAATTCTCTCATATTCAAAAACTAATCGAGGAGCCATTGAAGAGCCTGCACCAGCTGGACGCTCGGATTTTCGATCTTCAAAAGGCATTGAATGCTTTACTCGCAGAACGGGATACCATCACATCATTCATCGAGTCTCACAAATCTCTGCTTGCGCCGATTCGACGACTACCGGTGGAGGTTCTCCAGGAGATATTTGTTGCCAGGCTTAGAGGAGCTGTCGATGCAGAATATCCAAACCATCTCAGACAACGCCATTCTCGAGTTCATCCTAGCCCGCATTCCGACACTGAAAGTTGCACGCTTCGAGTTTTTCCGCGCTCCATCACAGGACTCTCACCTAGTCCAACACATCCGATGATCGTCTCAAGCGTGGAAAGCGGACAGCTAGACCTCCTCTTAGAATACCCTCCGCATCCCGTCTATGAACCAGGACCGTCAGACGAAATCAAGCAGGTCTGGGAGGGCTCTTTTTTCGCAGAGGATGAATAGTTAGTGTGCAGACAGCATAAATTCAAACTGATATTATTACTTTTCGTGAATCGCGGAACCTGAAGCTGCTTTCTCGGAATCCTCCAGGATGTCATGGACAGCTCCCGCCTGCTTAGCGGCTGCATCAGCAATCTGCTCCGTCGCGTCCTCGCCGTCGAAGAGGGCCGCCGTTTCCTCGAGAGTGCGGTTCTTCGTTTCGATCACGACTGAGAACGGTGTCAGTGCTATGTGAAGAGAACAAAAACCCGCCAACTTACAGAAGTACAAGAAGATCGTTTCGCAAACGAGCCATGCGCAATAAACAATGTAGTATTTCCAACTCAATGCATCTATGAAACAGACGTTCAGCGCAACGAGAATGAGGATGAGCAGAAACTAACCGAAAGCTATTGGATTGACGTATTGGTTGAATATGAGAGCAAGAGAGATCGTGAAGTTGAATATGTTGAATCCCTTGGCACGAAGCTTATATGGCAAGATTTCGAGCGTGTAGGTAACGATGAGGGGACTGAAGGCAATACTGCAAGAGCCCAGTCAGCAACGACACCACCAACAGTGGAAAACACAAACTCGTAAGCAGCATAGAACAAGAAAATGAATGCAAGCGCGGCGTGTGCTGAATGGAAGTCTCCCGCAACACGGAAGCGCCCAAAGCACGCTGTTTGGAGGGCGAGAAAAATGGTCATGAGGACAGCAGAGGTAAGGAAGAGAAGTCGACGCCCAAAGCGCTCAACCATGGATGAAGCAGCTAATGCCCATCCGAGGTTCCAAATCGACAGAATGCCATTGATCAGTAGCTGTCGGAAGCTTATTAGGGCAGATATTTGGACTGTCAAATGGAACAAACCTGTGTTGTGGGGTTGGTGATGCTCATTTGGTCAAGGACCTTGTTCAGATAGTAAGAAACAAGTCCATTGCCCGACCATTGCGAGAAGAATGCGATGGCGACAATGATGCGGACACGTTTTCGGTTACCAGGGCTTGAAATGAAGGCATGCCAGCCAATGTTTTGTGCAACTGGAGCATAAAAGTGAGCATTACTTGATCGTGACCAACAAATTTCGTATACCAGTCTTGTCAAACTCGATGGCCGATTTGATCTCTTCAAATTCGTATCGCACAAGGGGATCGTCTCTGGAACCAAGTCAGAGAGAAGAGATACGAAGAATCTGGTCTCAACTTACTCATTGCTATCAGCGTGATAGTATGCCAAAGTCTTCAGTGCTTCGGTCTCGCGACCCTTGCTCACGAGGTAACGAGGTGATTCCGGAACAAACCAAACGAGCAGGACTTGAAGGACGCTGGGAAGCGCTTGGAGGGCTGACGGAACGCGCCATGACCAAGTGCTGTTGATCTTGAAGGTGCCGAAAGTCGTCCAGGCTGCTCTGTGAACAGGAATCATGAGTTATGAGAATCAGAACTAAATATAGAGCTTACACAATCGCACCGGAGTACCACAGGGAATTGTAAGCCGATGTGAGCGATGCGCGATATTTAGGGTATGATAACTCCGTTACAAGCATTGGAGCAGCATTAGCTAAGCACGACGTGAATTTTAACAAGAGATCAAATCTCAGTAAAGCTTGCCAGCGAATGTCAGCCCGAAACCAATGAGGAATCTGCAAACATTGAGCCAACAAATTTTGCAAGGTTCAAGACGAACCTAGCACCAATAAACATCCCCACCGACTGTGCAGCGGTTTGAATGACAGTCGCGATCACCATGATGAGTGCGCCAATGAAAACTGTTGCTCGTCGGCCAATTCCATCAGAAAGATATGGAGCGAAAGGATAGCCCGCAAGAGCACCGATGTTCTTAGGTTGCTTCAGTTTGGATACGGGGACAAGATGATGCCATACTTGTATCGCACTGAGCAGCCCTAGTTTTCCTTTGGTGGGGTTGTTGAACGACTGCTCCCATTGCGGGAGAGACTGCAAGCCGTTAACCATCGACCCATCATATCCGTTCGTGCTGGAAGTGATCAACAACAGAACAATCCACGCATTCAGAGCGATGAGCCTTGAAAACGTCGAGTAAGATATTTTAGTTGACAACCCAAGGTTTTCTTACCGTCTGTTGTTATACCACTTTCTTCGCGGGTCCATAAGATGTGTGTAGGCATTCGCCTCATTGTGAGACACGGCCGAAGCACCAACAGCCATTTCAGAACAGTGTGGGGCTTGAGATCCGGATCCAGTAGCGTTCCCTCCTCCTTTTAAATATCTCTCATGGAGAAACGGCCCGTCGTTCAAATATAGGTCGGGAACGAGGACTTGAGGGAGAGAACAGTTACCGAAAAAGGTCGGCGGAAGGCAGCAGATGGCGGGAAGAAGTTTGAGTGGCCGACATGATACTGTCCCTTCGCCATGGTTAGGTCAATTATAACATCCCAATCGAAGTCGTATCGTGAACAACAAAACTATGTCGGGGAAAACTAATAGTGGCGTCAGCGTGAACTCCTCCGAATTAGCAGAGGCTGGGTGAAGAAATGAATATCCAGATTGTACAGGTTGCAGCGCCGATTCTGGATCAGGTTTGCGTATCTTGCCATCATACTATCGATGATAGTTTACCCGAGCAGTCGCCACCGAAAGCCCGAGAATTCGGATGGGTGAGGCGTGAAATGTTTTATGGCTTCACGTTCCGTCAACTGCGTCATGGACAGCGTGGATTGCAGAGATTCGAGGGTTAGAAGAGGTGGCGATAGATAGGAAGGACCTTCAAGTCGAAGTTTCAACCGTGACTGTGCCCTTGCCTAGAACTAGGCAATGTCCGAGTCGGCACGATATGTTTCGCTGAACAGCCTGTCGACCGCCCTAGGTCGCACAAGTCGAAGAATAGCATTTGGCCATTCAACCCGTCAAAAGTGTGTCCAAAACTGTTTTTCAGTTCAACTATGATAAGTGAGAAAAAGCGGGTAAGATTTAACGAGGTCGTACCGCAAGAATATCTAAACGTAGGGTGTGTCTCCCAGCCCTTTCCCAGTGCTGCAGCTTTATATAACCTCATTCGCGAATGGGGGGTGTTGCACCATGACTCCATTGGAGGTGCGTGCGCTGCACGAGATGCAGCTTCGTCGACGTCGAAGAGAGGGCTCTCTTCATGGGCGTGGTGAACCGCCCATATGATGTAATCGATGGCGCTGGTGCTGAGAAGCCATTCGCCGTTGGGTCGGTCGGTTTCTAAGCTGACAAGTAGGCATATTTGTGGGCTACAGATGGTCAGATGTCCGGGCCCGGGCTGTTAGCTAAGAAAATACTGAGCAGTTGGGTCGCAAACGAGACCCACGGGAAGGCCGTCGTAAATCTGAAAGTTGTATGAGAACTTGGATGACAGTCTTTGTGAACCGGGTTCACTTCTACAGGTCCTTCGGGTGGATATGTAGCGCGGAAGGTTCTGGGTTGGTCATAGACCGTGAATCTTTGTCCAATGGCTTCTGGGACGTCAGAGTGAGTAGTGGCTGTGCCAGTGACCTTCAAGGCTTGTACAAGGAACCCATGAGCTTGCCAGGAAGCCGGCTTCAAGTAAGGTTCGAGCTGAGCGCTGCTCTGCAAACTCGCCTGAGCCCCAGCATGGCCGTCCATCGATTTGCCTGAACATTAGAGCCTAACTTCCAAGGACCAAGAACGAAGACGTCAATCTCCAAGCTGATTCAAGGTTCTTCTTCTTGTGCCTTTGTGAGCAGCGCAAATTCAATGTTTGACCTCTATTCGTATCCACTCCTCGCCGTCGTCAATTCCTTTCAACTAGTCAAAGCATCAGTCAAATGTTCCACCGCCTTCTTTGACCTTCAAAATCTTGATCAGCGCTTTGAAGAACAATGAACTCGAGGACCTCTGTCCGGGTATAAAAACTCTAATATCCCTGACATCTTTCTACCTTCTCGTCTTTCTCCTACGATCAGCCTATTTGCTGTCTTTCAAGCCCCCCCTTTCATTCACGCCAACAGTAACGCTCTCTCATGTCCGCTCAACGACTCATGCCCAATAAGTGAGTTTGACTTTCCTCCATACATTACACCAAGATTGATTTCCTCAGCTCTCAGTCCGCTGGCGGGCTGCCCACACTCTCTGCAAACCCCAACCAACCCAGCAAGTATCGTCTCACCAGTCCCACGTACGTGCCACCCCGTCGTTCAAGATGCCACCCAACCAAGGTCTTAATTCACAGGAAAGCCAAAGTCTGGCCAGGCAAGACTACGGGTCCCCTGAAATCTCGTCGTTCCAGCCACGCTCGCAAGCGTTTTGCTGACGAGACTGAGCGTCCAGGCGCTCCAGTGTCGCCATCACCAACACCTTGTCGATTCACTTCCCCGCCACCGGTGTGCCCTGCCGAATATAACAAAGTGTCGTCTCCAACAGAATCGGTCTTCAGTCGGAGTCAAGTCGTTGTCACTTCCAAATGGAAAGATAGCGAGTCCGGGTCACCCACCGCAGATCGGTCGTTTGACCGCCCAGCCTCGAGCCCCGAGGTCTCTCCGCAAACGCTTCCCCCTTTGTGCACCGAAGACGACTCCGACGATGAGGCATTTGTGGAGAACGGAGAATTCAGCGAGTATGAGGAAGAAGAAGAAGATTCTTACTATGGTGATGAAAACGACTCAGAGGAGGCGTGTTCGGCCGTCCATTCTGAAAGCCACGCCAAGCAGCACCCTCGTGATCAACAACTGGAGAACGAGTTTTGGAGCACTCGCCTACACGACTACGTTGCCACCACGGCTCAAGGCGATTACGAAGAGCCGATCAGCTTCCCCTTCACGTTCTCTTCTCCATATGGGGCTCCCGTCTTCCCATCTCCAGCAGTGGTCGCGCAAAGGGTTGTGGGCTATATCCCGGTGGTTTTGGTTTCGGTTCCCGTCATCCACCAGGGTCTTGTGCAGTGAGTACAATACTTACTACATATGACGTGGAGTCGAATCTTATCACATTTTTAGCGATCGTCCTTCCGACGAACATATTTTTGAGTGAGTTGTTAGTGTGCCCGCAATGTCTTCATAACTAATTCGCAATCCTCAGCGCTAGGTTTGATGGCTACTACTACGACTCGGCTGGCCCATATGACTTTCACCGTGCTGTCCTCGATCGTTCATCGTCAGTATATCATTGCTTGTCTTTGCCGGGCTTATGTTCTTTCCCATTCAGAGCTCGAGATCCGCATTCATATGCCCAAGCACTGCCAGCTACACAAGCTCTTGTTCGCCAGCTTGCGCTCGAATATCCGCAAATCAGGCCTGATATGCTGACTCCCCTCGTTCAAGCCCCTTCTGCGAGTTTGATTGGCACTAATCCGTATGCTTGTCCATTTCCCTCATGCGACGACCACATCCTCCCCACGCTTAATGCGGCGCAAGCCCACATCCACGGCTCTCATGCTCCCGCCCGTAGTTGCCCAGTTTCTGGCTGTTGTGAGCAGCGTGGCTATACGGCTGAACAACTTGCTGCCCATATGCATCGTGAGCACCGTGTTGAGCCGGCTCGGGCTCGCACGTGTCTCCAATGCAAGCTTTGCGGCGACCAGTGTGTTGGCGAACAGCGATATGCTGCTCATGCAACTCGATGTGCGAGGGGAAGGTCCCCGGAAGTGACGGAACGACCGTCCAAGCGGGCTAGACTTGCTGCCTAAATTGCAAACACATTTTAACATTCTTTTTTACTGTTCTTTGTCGTCCTACCGTATGAATCACTTCTAATCAGTGCGAATGGAATCGGGTTGGACAAAAACCGCATCAAGTACTTTGGCGCCAGATCACCCTCCTTTCCCTAAGTTTCTCGAGAATTTGTGAGGCGATCAACTGGGCCATCAACTGGGTCACCATATTGGGACGTTTGGTGTTATAATGAGATATATTGGTTGTCCATTCGTCCGAATGTGATCGGTATAGATAATAACAATGTCGTTTGACAGAGGTTGTGAAGATGGTCTTCAACATCCAGTCGAATTTCTCGCAGGGGGCAGTCGGATCGGTGAATCATTGCGCCGAGTGCATAAAGATGCTGGGGTTTGATGTGCGGCTGGTGAACAAAGAGAAACTCGAGCGACGGGAGAAATAGCGACGAGAGGACCTCGGAAACGGCCAGGTTCCCTTTGCGCAGCCAGATTTCCAGATGACGTACATTTGACTTGATCTCAGTCTCGGTCGTGCGGATGTCGTCCGAGTCGTCGATAACATGGAGCTCAAGACGAAGGAGACGCGTCGCGATTTGAATGAGGTGAAATGCTTCTCGTTTATAGAGGCAGACACCGGTTATATGGGTGAGTTGCTTCCACGGAAGGTGAATGGCAGCCAAAACAAAGCAGTCCCCGAGGACAACATGCGTCAACTCTGGGGCGTTGTCGATGATGTGGATTTGATCGTTGGTGGAGGGAAGTTTGTGCGGATCGATGTTGAGGTACTTCAACATCGACATGTCCCCTTTGAGTTCGTCAAGAAAAGAGTGGGGAACGTTGAGCACTACGTGTCTCCACCGTTTAGAATGGAGAAGAAGCCGTTGAAAGAGCTGTCGGGAAACCGCCATCTGACTTTCGGAGCCGTGGAATTGGAAGCTGATAGGAGCTTTGCCGGAACGCTGTAGCCACAGAGAAAGTAGATTGAGCCGCCTTGGGCTGTCGTGTTTCGTCATTGTGTTCGGCGATATTCCGTCCAACCAAGCATATGACAAGAAGTCTAATTTGAATGAGCTCCAGATTGTTGGGGTGGCCACAGAGACGTTATGCCAGTATCGACACACCATTCCGAGAACGAAGGGAGAGCTCTTCCCGGAGAGAGGCGAGAAGGTGCCAATGAAAGACTCGAATATGGTGGATAACAGCTCTGGAGGAAGGGCCATGATGGGGCTCGTGGAAGCACGCATTTGGAGTACGGCTCTGGGACGGCTAGCTGTGGTCGAAGGCGATATTTAAGGATCAGAATCAGCCGATCAATACGACTTGTTTGCGCTGGATGCTGCCGAACAAAACTTACTGTACAAAAAGGAGTCAAACCGATTGGCTGTTTTTCGAAGAGGTGTCCTCTGATGCGATCAGCACATCATTATTTTGAACCACCAGCAGTAAAGCTAGGTAAAACTCGACTGTACTCCCCGAGTCAACTAAGATCCACATCAATACCTCGAAAGAGCTCCTTGGAAAACGTCCGGTCCTTCATCTTGCTCTCAATGCACCGGCTCAGTTTAAACGCGTCACGTCAAGCCTTATGCCAATGCCGGGACTTGATGAGCTCTCGATTGATAAGCCTTGCATGTGCGTGTGTCCCTCATTCAAGTTATTGTATCTCGACTCATAAGACTGAAGACCCCCACACTCAGCATCCATTCGTCTTTTTTTATATGCTGAAGAGTTCAAGAGTCGAGATTTACTGTTGTCTCCGCAACACTAATGGTTGTGCTTCGTTGTACACGGTATCTTGTCGAACTCCCTCCGCGCAAACCCTCCCATAGCAATACTGGTACGCTTCAATGCCGTCACGAGCCTCTCCGAAACGGGTCTGCGTCTCTCCGCGCTGTTGAAGGCATCTTCCCGTGCCATATACAACGGAGAGTCACTATAACATGAATGCGAATCAATCACCTGAATGGACGAGATGACTTCTGGAACGTACGCTGCGCGGCCGACAATGTCAGGTCTGCTAGAAAGGTCCCGTGGATGCTATTCAATGGTTTAACCTGATTTGCTAGGCTCAAGTCTTAGGGAGATGCTGACCTGAACTGGAGCTGAGAGTCCAGACGCTGCGAGGCCTAGAGTGACGGCGAGGATGGATATGGAAATAAAACGCATGGTGGATCAAGAAAGAGCGGAAGGAGGCGATCGCGGATCGAAAGGAGAAAAAACGGGTGAAAGAGAAAGTCAGAGGTGCTAGTTAGTCCCCTCTAGGCGCCTTATATGGGACGTCAGTAACGTACGGCATTATGGACCCAGGTATCAAGGAGTGAGTGGGTTTGTTACGATTGCTCTCCGCATCACAAGTTTGTATTGGTTGTCTCTTGACTATGATCCAAGAGTGCTATTTTCGGTCTTCAAATGATGTAAGTTTGCTCCGAAGTAGAAGAAAAGACTCGGGAACGAATTGTATCGCCTCCCGTATTTCGTGTTGACCATGTTTGCCAATCACATCGCACTCACGTGGCCCGGATTGGATCTGGGCAAGAAAGCAACCAATATTGTACTGATCTATATGGCACATTAGCTCATTGCTAAATTGAACCTTTGGCATATAACCATCATCCGAATGCAGCATACACTTCCTCCTCCAGTCGGGAAAAAATCGAAAATCTTCGTGACCACAGAATCTGCCGGGGGCGTGAGCTGCGTCCCAAACACCATAACAATCCCCATGGAAGGATCGATAAAGTAGTATGTGTTTGCCCAGCCTGAACTGATGTCAGCGAGCAAATTCGGAACCAGTCGAATATTCACCCGTCCCTGAGCTATGCATCAACGTTAAGAATCGAGAAATAAGTAGATCGCTTACATGAACCAGAACCAGCTCTGCGTTTGCCAGGCATGTCTACCATGTTCAGTAAGAGTCCATATGAGAATTGTGTTCCATTCTCTGGCATGCCGATGTTGGGGAGGTATATCGTCGCTGTCGTATGAGCACGAGAACTCCTACTTCGTCCTTCCATGCATTTTTCCCACTGGGTTTTTTGGGCATGGAGGGTTTTATCCGGTGCTCCTGTTCATGGCTGTTGCCAAGAACCGGCCGCTTTCACAGCATTCCCTGGGGCTTGGCTTGGCTTGGCTAGTCTTTGCATGACAATGTCGTTGACTTGGACAGCGCCACCGATTCAGTTTGATCTTTGGACTTACTGGCTGGTATCTAATAATCTATCTTGTATGGGCTTCATGGCTCTGACGAGAGGCTGAGGGGCGACGTACTCCTTGGAGGGTAGAGCTCACCCTCGTTTGTCGTCACCCAGTACCCACATATGGGACCATATGGGCTTATTATTATTATTATTATTAGCAGCGCCAGCGGAAGTCAATGTCGGTATGAAAAGCGAATCGACTGACGACTGCGAAAGAATCGGCTTGGTCGCCTTGCCCACTAAAGCATCCCTTGAGTATCAGTGAGTTGACTAGAGACCCAGACTGACATTTAATCTGTAGCAAGTGTTGAAGGAGCCGCGTATAATCTTTCTGGGATGAATACAAGCCGAGACCGCCGAAATGGACCGTGGACTGCTCGTCGTGGAAGGAAGGGATGTCCAACAATTCCATGCTGCCATCAGCTTTGCGTAACGATAGCTGCATAAGCTTTTCTTTCGTCGCTTGGGACAGCTTGAAGGAGGCAGTTGTAATCCCGAGAGGAGAGAAAATGTGGTCCTGGCTGGGTCATCCATTTGAGTGTAATACTAGGACTGAGACAGAACCTACAAGTACTGTTCCAAGGACTTGCCTGAAAGTCGCTCGACAACGAAGCCAGCACAATCGTGACCAAAGCCATATGCCCCTAGATAAAAAGTCAGTTTATCCGACGAGAAACGGCTGAAATGTGACATACAGTCTGAACCAGGTTCAAACCGCAATGGCACGCCGGGCAAGTCTCCCTAATATTAATGAGCGGGGGCCGTTGCATGCGTCATTGACAGCGACCTTGATAAGCTCGAAAAATTTCTGGATTCCGTCACCCGTGTAGTTGTGGGTGAAGGTCGCATGCACACCGAACCAGGGTGCGGTCGTGTCTTGCTTGCCATCGATAGAATAGTCGAGTCCGCTTGTGTGATTGAGCAGCTGGCCCATAGTGATGTTTCCTCGGACTGGAGCTGTGGAGGCGATTTTTCCGGATTCATCATGCGCCAAAACAAGAACCGGGTTTCTTAGTTCGAAAAGCACTTGAGCCACTGGTGTGTCAAGAGAGATCTTGCCAGCCTCTACCAATTGTAGTAAAGCGATCTGTGGAATGTTGAATAAACGAGCGGCCATACAATATTTCGGACGACTCACAGAGGTGACAAGCTTTGTCTGACTGCAAATCCAAAAGATCGTGTCGTCCCCGATGCTTCCACTGGCTGGATTGTTTAAGAGTCTGTTTCCGGCTGCGCATGAAATCAAGTTCCCCTCTGCATCGCCAATCGCAACGAAGGATGCAGGGAGTGCACCATTGTCCACCCCTTCTTTCTAATGGACGGCGTCATGAGATCGTTGAGGAAACCACCACTACAACTACTCACCAGGATTCGCTCCAGTTTGACTGGGTCGACACTCGACAACATTCCGGTATTCCAGAAGTGGCAACCCCACAACTTGGATAACAAGAGTCAGGAAGGTTCTGACATCCTATAATAATTCCCAGCCCCAATGTTTAGCAGGTGTGGCTGGTCTGATTAGATATGAATTCAAGACTGCGAGATAATGAATTCGACTTGGAGTGCTGTACAGCTTCCGTATGCTTACAGCGGTATTTAGTATGTTCCAATGCTTCCGCCTAGTTTCGTTGATAAGCCGACGTCCTGGACTCGTGGTGGTTGCGGACTTCAAAAAATTTACCATCAGCCACGATCACGTGGATTCTCACGGTCAACCAACCCCAACCATTCAAGTATATTTGGTCCAAAATGCCCCAAGTGATTCAACTCATCGCACACGGGCTTATTCCGCAAGAGCATAAAAATTAACATACATAAACCACGAGATACTCAAATACCGGGCAGGGTAAAGTCAGGGAAGTCCGGCCATAGCCCAAGTTTTCCAGGATCTCCGCCAATTCGAACCCAAGTTGAGTGCGATGGAGTTGGACCATCCAACACGAAGAGCTGATGCCAACCGGGTGGCGATACCGACGCGCTGGGAGGTGCAGTGATGGTGCAAGTTGTTCCCGAGCAGGTGAACGCGGGGAAGATGGTACGACTGCCCATCGTGTTTCCGTGTGTTGAAGCAGTGGCTTGGAGGGATTAGTCAAGCTTTTTGAATAAAATATGCTAACCTGCGATGAGGGTCACTCTTATGGTTGATGGTGTTCCCTGATGTAGTTTCACGGTGATCGTGTGTTTGCTGTTATATGCCCAGTCTGTGTTGCTGAGAGTGAATGATGGTTGAATAAATCCCTGGTCGAGATATGGAGGGACGTAAACCTCAACTCTGAGTTCTTCGGGATTTATGTTATCCTCTGGATCCGAACCGGAAACCAATACGCGGCCATCGGGCAGTAAGGCAGCCTGATGTTGATGTCAATATTCAAGTTCGGATGTTCGACATTGCTAGTACTAACTTCTGAATGATAAAGTCGTGCGACAATGGTCGTGTTGAGGATCGAAATACGCTGATTGACTGGTAGAGCCGGGTCGTAAAGCAACGCTCCCAGGTTGGGATTGGATGCAAGTCCAAACCCTGCAGCACCGGCAACAGCGCCGTTGAGAACCATGAATGTCCCGTCAGCCAAAGGCGTCATGCAGGGCATGACACGACGAGAAGGCTAGAATGGTCGGGTAAACAAGAGAATTCGAAGATATGTATGAGCTCTTGACCATTCGTTCCAAGGTCCAGGTTGCGTTTTCCACCTCTGGTTTGATCGACACACAATTATCGAGGGCGGTATGAGGACCGGGCGTGCTTCCACCACAGAGAAGAATTTCCATCGGATCCGTATATGGTGCATGAATGGGCATGATAACGCCAGCGCCTTCAAGTGGATATGTTCGACCTCCGGTTGCTGGAAGGGAGTCACTCAGGTGATCGCTAGATAGGTCAGATTAGATAACACACGATCATTGACAGCGGCTGGTGCATTGGGCAACGTTCGAATAGTGTCGAAGGTGGTTGCATCCAAGATACGCGCTTCGTTGTAGTAGACTACGGGTGTATGTAAGGACTTTGGGCATGCAAGCCGAAGCAAAATAATGACACACCAACGAAAATGTTTCCACTTGGTAAAATGAAGACGAAGGGATAAACTAGAATGAGTCAGCTCCCAACACTGCCGGAGAAACAAAACATGGGGGGTTCACGGTTGTTAGGATCCGTACGATTCAACCAATCTAGAAAGATAAAAGTGTCTCCCCCCAGAGGTGTCGGCAGTGTTTCGACAGTTGGTTCAGGTTTGTCGTTTGAACCAATCTCCCCACCCAGAACCATGACTGTGCCGTTTGGGAGCATAGCAGCAGCTATAGTCGTGGTCAATGTTTTATCACATTGCTCGTTTGAAAACCCACTTGGATACCATCGCTGCCGCTGCAGTTTCAGCTCTGTAAAATTTTCTTCCCAGTCGTTGGTCCCGTTGATACCAGGGCTTCCGTCGGGAGTATATAACCTCACGCCCTTAGTCGAGTCCTCAGACCAGCCGCCCACGTTCAGCTGCCGACCAGCTTTGTCTGGGAGGATTATGCTACCCGAACAAAAGATGTTGGACTTGACGTGCATTGTCCGCCAGGCAGCAGAAAAGTTACTCGCAAGACTGAGATCGAGTTCATATGCGCCAGTGGTATTGTCGAAGCTGGAAATGTTGATCAAAAGGAAAAGAAAAGGGCAATCGTCATACAATGATGGAGACTTCTCAAGAAAGGTGACCTTGTTGTTGATGTTCACTGTCGCGATTAACGGCGCAATGAGCCTGCCACCACAGTCAGACGCTGCATATCGTTTGTGGCAGAGCTTACCCCGGAACTACGGCCTCCGTAAGGATATATTTCTCTGGTATGCACCAACTCACCGAAAAACTACCAACTGTTAGGAGGCAAGTTCCTTTAATCAGCCCACTCACTTCATATCGTCCAGTAATTTTGGGCGTGTGCCACACAGGACCCTGACCTTGCCATTTGTAGTATTGAATGCGGAACGGTCCACCACACAGGTGAGCAAGGTCACCAGAACAGACGGAATTACAATCACTTTCGGGCCGAATGGTCATTCCACTTGCGGCGACGTCTGAGATATCACCACAGTCTGTAAAACCGGTCATCAATGTGATTCTGCACGAGAGGCAGACCGACAGCATTGGTTGCCTGGATCATTTCAATTTTTGCAGGTTATTGGAACAAGACACGAACCAATCTCCATCCCACCAGCAGTATATCCGAAAGCAGAACACTGGGAGAGACAGTTGGTGGCCGAGTTATTTGCTAAAAGTAGTATCTGCCACGGAAAGACGTTGCCTTCACCATTCGGTTTCTCTTCGAGACAGCCTTGGTATTCCCACAAGTCAGGTAGACTAGTGTTTTGTGGAGTCGGGACTGGTATAATTGTGATATTGCCGTTCGGTACAGTTGAATAGACCGAAAGGCGATTTCCCGCGCCGCACTAGAGTATATTCAGTGCCAGTTGACCTTGCGGATATATTAAACCTACAGCTTGCCTATTCCGGAAGTGAGGAGATTTTAGGAAGATATAGAGACCACACACGTTGAATTCCCACTGCAGGCCATATTACAGTCCGCATTCGGAGCCGCAACAGCGCCTTGTATGAGAACATCGCCACAAACTGACGTATTTAGCTTATGTCATGGTTGCGTAGTTAAGACTCACAGCATTGTACCTGTTCATAGATCAACGGATTCTCAAAGCATAATGTGTACTTACCGAAAACTCGCCTGCAGCAATAGTAAAATTCAAAGCATCGCAGGAGGCAACGCAGCTCTCCATCGTTAGATTAGCAGCATCAGGAAGCTCGTTGTCCAAAACACGTCCATGAGCGCCATCGACAAAGCAGCCAACATACGCCCAAGACCCAGGAAGGTCGACAGCAATGGCTGTTGCCCCACCAGCACCAGCGCCACCTCCCCCGCCACCGTTATTCGGCGGCGGAGGCGGTAGATTAGTGCCAACGAAATGGAATAGCAAGAGACGATTGCCTCCGCCACAACTTCATAATCATGATTAGACGGGGATTGACCGACCTAGAGCGCCAACTCACAATTCTGAGCTATTTCCCGCGCACAACATATTGCAGTCGGCAAGCGGTTCAGGCCCCCCGCCATTCGAGAGAGTATTTCCACAGTCTGCCAATCACAAAAAGTTAGTTTTGCTTCTGAGATCCGAGATCTTTTCTCTATTGGAGGGACTAACAACACTCGTCGGCGAACTCAGTTCCTGGCCGGAGGTAAGATTGAGGGCGACGAAGTGGTGATGAATCGATACGTCCGCACCTGCGTATGGCATTCCTGCGGTGAAACATGCAGCGGTACAAGTCTCAAGCGAGACTTTCGCTGCACCGCCATCAACATTCATTGCATCGACTAGTGTTCGTCCCTGGCCATTGACGTTGTCACTGAGGAAGGAAGTGAGTCCAATTTTTGATGATCAACGAGTGTCGGTCTCGATAAAACATACCTATAGCAACCGAGGCTGACCCAGTCCCCGATAGATGTGGGGATAGACGGTGGTGGAGGTGGTTCGGCTCCGCTCCAGAATATATTCAGACGACCAGCACCTCCACAAGATTCGGCAGCATTTCCGGTACAGGCGAGAGTACAGTCAGAAAGGGAGGCATTGACAGCAGAGTTTTCGATAAAATTATCACAATCTAAGTCGGGCATGCGTGAGGTTGCATTCGAGTAGCATATTCGTAGGACGACATACAACACTCTTGCTGGTGACGTATTAGCGTTGAGCTATAAGAAAGCAAAGACGCAAACTGACATGGAATTCCAGTCCTGCAAAGATGAAGGCTTTGGCGTCGCAAAAAGCGATACAATTCTAGACAGAACCGGTCAATAATAGACTCGTGAGACTGGGGAAGACCGGACCTCAACAGTCATATTCGACGGATCAGTGGTCGTCGCTCCGCTGAGTGTCCGCGCACCGGTGTTATCCCTGGGGATTTGTCGGCTGGAACAGAAAAAAACCAAAGAGAACTGAACGTGAAGCAACCAATAGACGACCAGTTGCCTGGAAGATTCGCTGGCACGGACTGACGACGCATATGCTCATGGTGAAAGGAAGATCCAGAAGCCGCGATCTGTAGAAATTTCATGAGTTCGAGGCGCTGGCGGGAAATCCAAGGGACTTGGACCATGAACGCCATGGTGGCCATGAGTGCCCCAATTCTCATTTGTTGTGAGCTTAACGCTTGGTGACGTTAACGTGGCTCTCTTGACCTCTCCGACGATTTATACTGCAGACAATCTCTATTTCCACGAGCGAGGAAACATTTAGGTTTGTGAGAAAACCTGCCAGATAACGGAGTCAAGGCGGACATGGAGGTTTGTGCTGCTGTCTTCTCCAGGAACGAATATCACGCGGGGGGCGGTATCCGCGATCTGGACTCATTCTGGTGGTCGTCGTCGAAAGACATGACGTTCTGTCGAAATCATGGCATCTTCAAAATATTGATTTACACCAAAGTTATCCTTTTATCCTGAAAAGCGCTAGAATAGGTAGTTTTCCTCCCATTTCAAGAATATGTATGCTACAGTATAGACGAGGAATTTGAAAGGTGTAACTAGTTAGTTGACTACGAGGGCAGGATGGTTTGAGCGACCATGAGCTCTCACTACCGCTCCTCAAACACTGGGAAAGGAAACGATGTCGTTGTGATCATCTAGATTGACTATGTAGTTATTCAAAAACCAAACGTTCACAGGACGGAGAAACAGCATTTTAGTCGCAAATCTAAACTGTGGCAGAGGCTCTGTCGAGTTTAGAATTGACTCCTAGAGCTGATTGTTGGTTCCACTAGTAGTACTTGAGATTCTGGTGGAGATATGATTTGGCAGTGAGCGCTCAAAGAGTGCCACCAGCCAGATAGAGCATTTATAACGAGTCGATGATCTCTAGTGGGTAAAAAGCCAGTATCAAGCGGCGGTAGAAAGCAGCGCCGACCAGCGTTGGGTACCTGAATTATGGCCGAACAATTTCGTTCTCAGCATTCTGGCCGAGCGGACTCGGCAGGGTTGGCCGTGTCTTTCGGACAGGTGCATGTGGATTTGTGTGTCTTCCGGGTATATTCTTGAATTGCAGGAGGCAGGCTTGTCATGTATCCTGGATCCTCGTTCGCAAGACAGAGAACCTCTCGAAAGACAGGTGTCACACGTGACCAATGATCTTTGCTTTCAACTTCCAGCAGCTCTCTGAGCGCACAGCTGCCGTGTTTCGATGCCAGCGGCCATGCTGCTTTATGCCTGGTCTTCGATTAGTCCGAATCCTCGTCTCATGCTGATCATCCATCACATACCCTGGACTGCCCTCGCCGAGTTCCATGTCTTTTGTTGTTCAGCTGTTTGGCAGGCAGAATCCTGTCAACATGGTATGTCTATTCGTTCTTATTCCATGTTTGACTCGTTGCTGTCAATTATGCTTTGCTGGTTTAGTAACCTCCCAATTTTTTTTCCCTTCCAACGTATATTTCGTGTGCTGATGCGCACTTCTATCTCCACCTTGGCTCGTGTACCTATGAGGCGCAATGAATCGGCTTTCGGTCCGCATGGTGTCCGGCCGTAGCGGCGTCATCCATCTGTCGTCTCCTTCCGACGTCGAGCATTTCTCTTGTTCCTCATTCATCAGACAAGCCAGATTCATGATCTCTCGAAAGAGATTCTCCTGCCACTATGCACAGAAAGTATGCTTCGCTCTCTTCCTAGCCCGACGCTAACTCGAAACTCTAGCTTCATACCGAACTTAAACCTCCTCATACATCACGACCGCACAAGACGTTATAGCTATCTAAAGAAAACCACTACCATCCGTTTTTGACAGGTTTATCAGGAAGGACATGACGATGGTTCCGGACAGATGATTGCTTTCCAACGCGATGTTGCTGGTCCAATTGACGCTGTCTTATGTGCGGAGACCTTCCGCTGGGCCGGCCTCGCCGTTGTTGATGGACGTAATCAACGCGGTACCTTCCCCCTGGATGGGTGAATGTCTTCTTTACGAAAATATCAAGACTGGCAAGCGGACAGCCCCCGTCGTCGCCTCATTATCCAAGCCGCCATAACACCAGTCTATAAAGGCAGCCGTCAAAATTCAGCCTCTCTCCAACTGGTCCCTCATGTCCCCCCAGCGCGCCCTGGTTGGGGCAGTCGCCATCCTCTCTTTCCTTAATGTTTGTCTTCGCCAGTCCTACGCTTGCCGGGCTAACATTTGTTCCAGTCATGCAGCGCTTCTCCCAGCAACCACTTTCTTTCTTCATTGCTCTTCCGTCGACAAACCGTCCCCACAAAATTGCCAGGCAACTGGACTTCCAAAGGCTGCTACTCGTATGTTAGCCAAAGGGAGCTCCGATCATTCACATACCATTCTAACAGCGATAACGTGAATGGTGCCGGGCGGAGTCTGTCGGGCGCAAGTTTTGTGAATACGACTGGGATGACGGTCGAGGTTAGAAGATAAACCCTAACGAAGGATGCTCCGGTCACTAACCCGCGAACCCCATAGAGCTGCATCAACTTCTGTGACACCAAGCAATTCATATTGGCCGGCGTAGAATACGGAGTTCGTATATCCAGTTTGGCTACGATTCATTTCGCTGACTTAGCTTCTTTGTGCTATAGCAAGAATGCTGTATGTCATGATCCGTCGCCTGCTTTCACACACCAAACTTCCATAATCCAGACTGCGATAACTTTGTCGTAAATGGTGGCGCAACAACACCACTCACAGACTGCAACATGGCTTGCACTGGCAACCCATCGGAATCTTGCGGAGGTGACCCCGGTTCAAAGAACTGAACCAGGCAATTGACTGACCTGATTATGATAGCTGGTAATCGACTCAACGTGTTCACCAGCGGCAAAGCTCCCCCACCACCGCCAACAATTCCGGCCAAGATCGGCAACTGGACCTCTTTAGGATGTTACAGGTGCGTTTCATCTGGGGATGCCCGCTTTACTGTGATCGGCATGTTCAATAAGCTTTCCATCTTAACAGCGATAATGTCAATGGCGTCAGGGCTCTACCGAACGGTCTGGGCGTTGCGGTACCGATGACGCTCGAGGCCTGTACGAGTGCTTGTTTCACAGCTGGTTATCCATTTGCTGGTAAGCGCCCTTTCATGACCTGGTCTTGAATTACTGACTTGCGCTTAGGTTCTGAATTCGCTGACGAATGTTGTAAGCGAAATGCTTCCCCCACTATCACGACTTCCCAGTAATCCACCATAGACTGTGGGACTGCGATTAATGCCAATGCTGGCCCGAAGCCCACGACTGACTGTGGCATGCTTTGTGCTGGAAACTCGCAAGAGTTGTATGTCAAATCGCCTTTTACTCGATGGATCAGCTAAAATTTGTTCAAGATGCGGCGGGCCCAACCGCCTTTCAATGTACAACTATACAGCAGTGGATCGTCCAACCGGCCCCATAGGTGGTGGTGGAGGCGGAGGAGGAAACAATGGAGGCGGAGGAACCCCTGTGTTTCCGGTCACGAACCTGCCAAAGCCTTGGAGCTACGTTGGATGCTTCGTTGACAATGCTCATGGTCGGATCGTGCAAAATCAGCTACCTGACTCTAGTAACCTCACTATTGAGAGCTGCGTCAGCAGCTGCAGTAGTCTTGGCTTCTCGGTCGCTGCTGCTGAGTTCTCGGTGCGTATTCCTGTTGGTTTGATTTTGCGTTACTCACCCTCTGACCACCAGACTCAATGCTGTCAGTAATTGCCTTAGAACGCGCTCCATATCGCTCACTTGTTGGACCAGTCTGTGGCAATCAATTGATTGCTGGAGCCACTCTCACCACTGACGCCGACTGCAACATGGGTTGTGGCGGCAACTCAACGTATGTGGCCGTCGATCATTCCGTTTCATGTTGACGGACATTTTACAGTGAAGCGGTATGTGCCTCACGACGAAACTCACGGTGGACATACAATTGACTGTTTCGCTTCAGTGTGGTGCCGGGAATCGCATGAGCACTTATTCGACAAGCAAGAATGTCACCATTCTGCCTGTTCCGACAGCGCAAAACAGCAGCATTCCGGGGTCTTGGTCTTATCAGGGCTGTCTGTTGTAAGCCATTCAAGTTCTACCTCCGCTTGAGACATCAACAACTCGGTTTAGTGAGGCCGTCGGCTCGCGTGCTATTCCATGGCAGAACATCTATCCCACCAACAACTCAGCGACGACCTGTTTAAGTCAATGCGCCGCTTTTGGATATACCGTTGGCGGAATGGAGTATGGTCAGGAGTGCTGTGAGTGGCCATCACTGTTTGGATCACGCGTCATTCATGTCATTCGGCAGACTGCGGCGATCTCGCGGATGTTCAAGCCGCCAATGTCACCTTTGCTCCCGAGAGTGATTGCAACTTGCCGTGCCCGGGTGACCCGATTCATCTTTGCGGAAGTGGTGATCGCATTCAGTATTACAAGTGGACCGGTGCGCCGCCCTATGTTTGGAATACACCAACCAACATCGGTCGCTACGAGGTACGTTTTCTTCTGGAACGCCATTGGATCTGACTGACGGTATACTTGATAGTTCTTGGTTCCTGGGTAGGTTATCCTGACACTTGCTTTCAACCAACCATCTCAACATATTCCAAGAGTTGTCGTCCCCCTGATTGCAACTGTTGGTGTTAACGGCAAAGTTGTGTTCCTCGAGAAAACTGGTACTTCCGAGTGAGTCCCACCTTTCCGTAATAAAATTTTCACCAACAAGGATCAGATTCGACAATTCTACCGGCGCCTATGAACTCGACCTCAGTCTTACCAATAATTTCAGCAAGGCATGGCGGGAAATGCACTTGAAGTCTGATGTCTTCTGCTCGGGGAGTGTCGTTCTTCCTGATAAGGCGGGCCGCATTCTTAACGTTGGCGGTTGGTCACTTGATTCGACCAAGGGAGTGCGGATGTATGCTCCCGACGGATCCGCCGGCGTAAATGGGACCAACGACTGGGAGGAAGATTTTACACAACTGGCTTTGCAGCGCCAACGATGGTATCCCAGTGCGTAACTTGGACATTAATGCGAAGATCCAACTTTAGTAATCGCGTCCTGCAGCCGCTACCATGCTTTCTAATGGCTCCGTTTTGGTCATCGGTGGAGAAACGGGCTCTAATGCGTCACCACAACCTGTCGGTCCATTTTGGATTCATTCCACACACCTTCATTGACACTATTATAGAACTTGGAAATTCTGCCCAAACCAGTTGGGGGTGACACCGTGATTGACCTGGACTGGCTTGCACGCACAGATCCCTACAACCTCTATCCCTTCGTGTTCGTTCTACCAAGCGGAAACATATTCATCGGTACGCTAGCTTACCTTACAACGACGAGATCTGACCGGCGAGTTCAGTCTACTATAATGAAGCGCGCATTCTCGACCCACATTCATTCAATACCATCAAGGAACTACCAAATCTGCCCGGATCTGTAAACAACTGTTCGTCATATTTTCCATTTCCTCCGTTTTGCGATAGCTAACGACGTCTTGAAGTCTTGGCAGGCCGAACTTATCCACTCGAAGGAGCGGCAGTGATGTTCCCTCAACATGCACCCTATACCGACCCCGTCCGCATTTTGACTTGCGGTGGTAGCGGCTTCGGGGCGGGCATCGCGCTGGACAATTGTGTATCGATTGAGCCTGAATCGACCAACCCAACATGGCTGCTGGAGCGTATGGTGAGTTGGCTGTCTTATTTTGACTATATTCCGCTTCATCTGCGTCAACAGCCCTCGAAACGTGTGATGCCCTGCATGGCGCCACTCCCCGATGGAACCTTCTTGATCGTGAACGGGGCACACCAGGGTGTCGCTGGTTTCGGTCTTGCCACCGACCCCAATCTCAGCGCACTTCTCTATGACCCCGCCAAGCCCGCGAATCAGCGCATCTCGATCCTCAACAATACTATCGTTGCCCGGTTGTATCACTCTGAGGTCCGCTTACCGCAGCTTCTATCACTCAATTTATCGACGTGGCTTTTTTAGGCAATTCTACTTCCAGATGCGAGAGTTCTTGTCTCTGGCTCTGATCCACAGACGCCTAACTTCCCAGAAGAGATGCGTATTGAGGTAAGGTCTCTCCTTCTCTTCAAAGTCTTTTACTGAATGGATCTGCAGGCGTATTATCCACCCTACCTCACTCAAGGTTTCAAACAGCCAAGTTTCACTATCAGCAATACCGACTGGGCCTACGGAAGCAGCCAGAAAATTATTGTCACCCTTCATCAAGGGACGACTTCTACAATGAAAGTAGCCCTCATGTCAGGTAAGTCCATGCTTCCTTACAAGCAGGTTCTTTGCTAAACGTCGGTCGCCAGCCGTCTCTTCGACTCACGGAAATGCCATGGGTGCGCGAACCATCTTCCCAGCGTTCTCTTGCTCTGGAACCACGTGCACAATAACCGCGCCACCCAACGCCTTCGTCAGTCCCCCGGCATACCATCAATTGTTCATCCTCGACGGTCCCACACCCTCGCACTCCGTCTTCGTCCGGATCGGCGGGGATCCAGGCAAGATTGGCCTCTGGCCCGCCAACCTGACGTCCTTCCACCCGCCTGGGATCTAAGCTCTGGGATTGCACGATTTGCAACTTACGTTGACGACACTCTTTTACTTTGTGGACACTGGTTTTTAAGCTATATAATCACTGTTTATTCCGCACTGGCCTCCACTCTCTCTCTCTCTATCGTAGATTGTAATTCCCTACAACTAGCTAACTGGACTTGTGTGTGCTCGGATATAAGCACGTGGGTTGAGTGAACTTGATCAAAATCCTACCAAAGGACGAGACTTTCTACTTATCCATTCGTCGATAGCATTTCTGGGACCAACTGCAACAACATGTACAACATCACCTGTAATTGTTTAGGTCGCCGACCCCCATATTTGACAGTTCAAACACCCCTCAGTTATCAGGTTAATCCTGGAAACAGCGTCGATTCGAGGTAGATTGTCAATGCGCAGTTACACCGCTCTAGCTAGTTGACTTGGACAAAGACTTGCACTTATCATTGATAGTACTAGTAGGCAAGCGGTTATCACTCCTGTGACCAAGCACTGACTAGGAATAGACAAGTTAGCGTTGGTAACACTTTATATTAATATAAACACAATATGCCATGGTTCGACTAGAAAATCCCGGAGTGAGAACCCTACATACAACAAGAACGATAGAGTATATGTACAACGGTGGTACGTAGACGTGCGCAGTTGAGCGAGTGTGAGTGTCCAAAAGAGGGAGTGTCAAGGGGAGAGAGGACGAAGATGGGGTCGTAGCGCAAACGTAGAGTAACCGTGACAGCGATAGCAAAACGGAGCAGCTGCATGCGTGATTATAATGTACCCAAAAGGAGGAAAAAAAATATGTCTATGTGGATGCGATTTAATGTACCAGTTGGCCAAATAAGTCCGGTGTCATGATAAACCCAATAGAGGTAGCGCGTGCGTGAGAGGGAATCGGGCTCTTCGTCGAGCTCAGTAGGAGAATATCATAAGCCATGGGTTGAGCACAATCGGGAAAAGAATGTGGCCTGACGCGACGAGTCTGCAAGCAGGGTCGTCAGCTACTGCCATACATAAAAGGAAAGAAGGAGACACTCACGCAAGCGGTAATATCACGGCCCAAGATGAACCTGGAATCTGCCATGCTGGGGTAACAACTGGTAGCGACAGCACAATCATCATCGCGATCATGGCAAAGCAGATACAGAGAGCAAGTCGGAATCGCTTCCAGATTTCGGGCACCTCGATCCAGAAGTTGGACCGTTGGACTTCCTGGAATAGCGCGTTAGTTGAAACCACAGATAACGGAGTTGATAAGGGATGAACAGAGAACTGGACAGATGAAAGGCGAAACATGAACCCACCTTGATGGTCGCGCCCCATGTCATGTTGTACGAGAACATATGGGCAAGCAACGCCGTTGACAAGTGGATGCTCAGTCCTCCAAAGAAGAAGAAGCTGGATCCAATGTTAGCGATGTGCGATGGAAGCAGTGTTGTCGCACTCACAAGAAGGGCACCCATGTCAGATTTTCGACGGCGGCAGCAAAGATACTCCTGATACCGAGACGGTATTCCAACAGCGTAAAGCCAACATTTCCCGCGCAAGGGAAGACGATCATGCATGCGAGCCAGATCTCGAACGAGTGCATGTAGAACCCGTCAACATCAAGCGCAAAGCCCAGAACGAGGTAGTTGATGATCGACAAAATCGTTGACGCTGCAATTCCATAATAAGAAAACATGTACGAAGACATGCTAATCTTATAGTGGACCGGAGCGTCCGACCAAATGAATGTCTGACGAGTTGTCAATGATAATAAGTCACGTGAATTGTGGCTTACGCGAAGTTGCTTAGTAATAGGACCCATGCGCCACCAATCCTTCAATGGGTTGAAGATGAGCTCGTTGCATCCATACGAGTACTTCTGCCAACGATTGAGCTCGTCCGCGACCGTCAATGACACTCCTTCTTTGAATCCCCCCTCGCTGTATGTAGCCCAGCGAATGATATAGCCTTGGAGTTGCAACCGAAGGGCCATGTCGAAGTCTTCCGAGACGTTCGACTCCGACCAGATCTTCGTGACTCCGTCGACATCAACGAAAGCGGCGTCCTGAATAGCTGACCAGCGGAGGAAGGCGTTGTGACCGACGAAAGGAGCGACCTCGCCATTAGCACATCCCATTGAAATGCACTTGTTGATGCGCCGCGTGAAATGTGCGATACCGTTTTCGAAAAAGTGGTGGGCCACTTGCATGACGTCCGACTCGTGTTGGATAACAGCGACTTCGGGGCATTCAGCCAACTCGCGGGCGGCATCACGGAAACAATCTTCAGGCACGATAGTGTCCGAGTCGCAAATTAGAATGAGCTCTCCAACGCGCAATGAACGCGCATTGGCAGCCCACGGCCGGTGTCCACTTTCAACTGCAACCTCCTCAACAGCCAATGACAACGCACGATCTTCCAGTGACTCGTCTTGACCGAGTTCAAGGTCCTCTCCCGCGCTCTCGCGTTCTTCGAGAGCAGCAATGTGGGCCTCCATACGAAGAGAGAGAGCTAGCCCGTAGTTCATATTCGATGCCTTTTTGAATCGACCTGCTCGGAAGTATCCACCAGGTTTGGTGTCATGTTTTGGCCGAGCGACCCATCCTATGCTGTGGTCTGCATAGAATTGGATACGTTTTGAACGTTCTGCCTCTGAGATCAGTTGCAGCCCATCATCATGAACGCTGAACTAGGTTAGATGAGCCATTGAGCAGTAGTATCCAGACATACAATATCGACGAAGTTCCTCCTTGACGTGCGTAGGTTTGCATAGCTTTTTTGATGGAGAACACGGAGGGTGCGCTGCGAAGAACAAAATGCCGTTAGCTAAAGTTCTCAAACGGTAGATTTCATTTGATTAAATGAAGGATTGCGTCACTGTCAGAGGCGGAATCGCCAGAGGCAAAAAGCAAAAGGGACATGGAACATACATCGTTTCTTCCAAGCTTTCCTTATAGACGGGTAACTCGACGGTAACGTGCGGGAGTGCTCGATCGACAGCTGGATTGGGCTCGGGACGGACGGCAGAATAGTACCGGGAATTCTCGTGGTACTGAGCAACGGGACCAATCCTGTATGACTATTAGAAGAGAGGCAAGGAGAGCAATGGTCGGATTACGCACAAGAACGAAATGGCTCCAATAACTTGGAGCGCGAAGAACTACGGCGGATAAAGTTAGAAGGCGGAGTTGGAAGTGGCGTTGATACGAACCAGAGCCACGCAGACAAGGAAGGGAGCCGTAACCATGAGGGCGAAACGACGAGCGTTGCCATCCATGCGCCATTCTGTCAGCAGGATCTCGAAACCACTGCAGATAAAGACTGCCCAAGCATAAGATTCTCGGAGAACTGTCATGCAAAATAAGCTTACACAGCGAAAGCCCAGCACCCAACCCTCCGTAAAAAGGAGCAAAGAGTCGGATAGGACGTGCCTCACGGCCGGAGGTAGATTGTCTCTCGATATCTCGGGGGGCCGGTGTTGTTGAACGTTTTCCGAGCTTCCAACTCCACCACCATCGTGACTTGGGGGAAGGCGGAGCAGTGGTAGCCACAGTGGTGGCAGCTTCGGCAACGGAAGGGAGAGAAGGAGGGGAAGGTTTTTCGGTAAGGTTGACATCAGAAGCGGTAGTCGATGGTGCAACCGAAGCAGGGACTGAACCAGCGGTGATGATGGATGCAGACGCCGTTCGAGATCGCCAGACGAGTTTGACCAGCTTTTCTTCAAAGTCGGCACAAAGTGGAACAATCGAGTCGATGTCGTCTGACCAGACAATAAGGACTCGTTCGTCGCGCTAGCGAGAGATAAGTTGATGGTTGAACCGGAATGGAATTGAACGGACCAAGAAAGCACCACATTGCTCTTTCTCGGCCTGGGGGAGATGGGCCATCGTGTCCAAGATTTGAATGCGGGTATCTCGGTCAATGTAGATGGCGGTGGCATCGTCGGGACTGGGAAAGTATAAACTTATTGAACGAAAAACAGATGGTTGCTTACACAGTGGAGAGGGCAGCGTGAACGGCAGCACTTCTGACCTAGGAAAGAGAAATTAGTGTAGTCTGAGACTCTAAGGGAGAAAGAAAAGTATACCTTGATAGCTACGAGAGGGTTGAGAGCCCTCACTGCAGCCTCAAAAGGAACGAGGAACGGATTTTCGTAAGGGAAAACCCTGAACAAACCCGACTCAACGCGCAGGCAGACACCTGCGCTCACGTTCTCCTCGGACGGCTTGAACCACGCGTCCCCTTGCGTCTATGAAGTAGCTTTAACAGTAAATTGGGATAACCGATGTGCGACCAACCTTTTTGAAGAGGTATTGGACGAGAGCGTCAAAGCTATCATAGTCCATGCCGCCGGTGACCACCGTGAAGGTCGATTAAGGGAAAAAGAGGGAGGAGGGGCCGGAAACGCGTGATGCTGTCGTTGAGCTTGCTTATGAGGCAAGCGTGTTGCGTGATGGACGAAGAAGTCGGCTTGACAAGGTGCCTCTCAAACGACAGGTTGTGAGTTGCGGCTGGAATAAATACAAGATGTGGACGAGATTGCCTTTCAATCTTGCCTCTCAATCTCCACCGCTCGATTTGGTCATCAAGAAGCGGTGGAAGAATCCTAGGATTCACAGGTCGTTACTCGGCAGAACATGTAACAGCGTGGAGCCGCTGATTTCTTCTTCCGCCCCAGCATGCCAGTCGAGGCCTTTGTTATTTAGCTACGATGGATGGACTAGCAAGCGGCAAGAGTGTAAGAGCGCGCCAGCAACCAGTCCGAGTTCTAGAAATCAGCGGTTGAGATGAGGAAGGGTGTGACCAGCGAGGATCAGTCACACTCTTGGCTCATCAGAACCAACAACGATGCCGAACTGCCGTTCCAAAACTCCGCCACCACTCTGTCGAGTACCATTCTGTCTGTTCGGTAACAAATGACTGTTTTCGTCCTGCATATCTGTTCAACACAACACACCGCCAACGTCCTGCCCTGGATGTACACCTGATGGACAGCCTCTGCTCGGAGCGGTTCGGACTCACCTTTGGCTGGACCTCTTCAACATAACTGTTCTCGATACGCCATGATCGGGCCTCAGTCGCCTTCAGCCCGCTCTGCGTCTCTATGTAAGCTGGCGACGCTTTCGCAAGGCTTAATTTGCGGATGAGTTCATACCCATCTTCTTACGGGATTTATGTTGAAGAATTGAAAGACAGCGCGTCAACAAGGATCCACGGCAAGTCCAACGCCGCTCACCATATATGTATTGTCACGCAAGCTCTATAACAGTGCCTCACCTGGTCGGTGGTCAATTAGCTCCAGAGAGAGACAAAGTCGCAACGAATCGAATGAAACACCGTTGCCCACCGCATCAAAGCCGCAAATTGCGCATTCAGCCTCTCAGCGGGAATAGCCTCAAAAAGTTCCATTTACCATTTTTTCCTTATCGCTGACTAGGACATGTATTGCGGCTGCCACATATCTTCTCCAGTTTCAGCCAGAAACCCGCATTTATCGCCCGCCTCGGCCCTGCCAGTGATACTCTTTGTCGGGTACACTCTGCCTGCCCTCCCTTCTGCGATAATGAACACTCACCACTTACGGCAAATACAGCGCTTCATGGGTTTCGTCAGTTTTCTTGCTGTCAGGACCCACGACTCAGGACAGGCACGCAGACCGAGCGTCATGCCAGAAATCCTGGATAGCTCATCTCTGTCAGCTCGATGGCCCTCAGTGGCATCGCCGCAAATCAAAAGGTCCAAAAATAACAGAAGAACACGGAATGCAGAATCTGTCTGTCAGCTACTTATCTCCAGTGCAAGCGTGCGCAGGATGCCGCCAGGGCCAACAAAAGATCACTCTTAGCATTTCGACCTCAGACTGGAATAAAGTCATATCACTTTCTTTTCGGATTATTTTTGGGTGACCGATTAACTGCGCCAACTCATGGTTTCAAGCAGTCATCGTTCATGCAACCAATCCAAGCTTCGACCGTCGATGAGCAAAACTTTACGCAAAGGATAAATCGTAAGGCAATCTGGCTTACGATGCAGCCTGACGCCTGGGGCCTTCCATTCGGCCTGTCGCGTCGGTGCGGTTCCGCCAGTTTTTTCGTTCACGATCGGATGTAGCGTTTACAACAGAACGATGGTAACTTGAACTTCTCTTTGCTTGGCCATCCTTGTCAAGACTGACATGAGTATTGGTTGAAGGCTGCGTGCGTCACGCGAATGGGAGGTCATGCTATGGGCCCTTGCACAAGCCCTGCAGGAGGCATTTTCTCGACGACTTGGAAGTTGGTAGCAATCGAAACGAGTCTCTGCAGCTGCTTTCGGCTAAGCGGATATCCTACCGAAATCGTGAGACGCACTCCAGCTTTGCCTCGCCCTCTATCCATCCAACCCGAGGCCCGCATGCACCAATCCCTGTCCTCGTATCAATAAACCCTCTCTCTCCATCTTGCAGATGCGGAGAAATCAAGCCTGGGAAAGACCGAAAATCCGCGCAGGTCCGGCTACCTTGTGACTCCGAGAGGCTGAGAGTCCGTGCAAGTGTGATAGAAGTCTGGAGAGTTCCGCCAGTGGCCGATTTGTTCAAGAACGCCTAAACCGTGTTGCGATCATCCTCCTTTTCAATTCCCATTTCGCACCCTCGAACGTGGCGTTCTCGGAACAGAATCGTATTCCCAAGGCATCGAAAACGACCGTCTGCTTGCAGTTCAACTCGATGACCAGCGCCACACTGACAGTCCTCGCTTGAACTCCATTGTTTATCTGATTAAGGACATCAACTCTATTCTTTGGATCGCGTGCATTTCGAACTCCCCAAGTTCACAGTAAACCAATGTAATTCGCAGAGGTATCTTGTTGTCACACAGGCCAACAATTATTGAATGGCAACTACATCGAGTTGCAAGACCGGAAAGCAACCACCAAGATGCCAGTTGGTTGACTCAGACATCCGAACCGAGCAACCCTAGAAGCAATACAATGCTACTTGCGCTGGCGGCTCCTGGCGGTCATCACGGGATGAAGTCTCGATCAAGGTCGGATTGAGGGAAGAGGGTAGGCAATTATGGAGCCAGGCACCAAAGAGAGAGCCGTTCTCAGATTGACTGTGCTACCAACTTGAAGGGTAATTTTGAAAGCAACGCTAGCTACAAATAGAAAGCCTGGCGAAGTTGGTGAACGTGGTTGTTCCTGAAGTTCTGAACATCCCGAAGGCCAAGTTTACCAGTCTGAGCGCATGAATGACGATCCTCCGACCGAATTAAACAAGTGCTTCAATGGCCATTGGGCACTTAGCGGCCGTCAGTCGTCATTACTGCACGAACCTATTTGCATTTTCGTGATTACCAGATGCGTCTCCCAGTCGTTCCTGAGGCGGCCGAGATAGAAATTTGCTTGTTCGTTGCAAATGACCATTCAACGCTGAAGAGCGAGTGTTCCGAGCAACGATGCTGATTCCATAGTTCAAATAAACTCGGTTCTTTGGAACAACAGAGCAACATTTCAGGTTGACCTGGTCGACTGGGTACCCGAATTCGTCTATCGTGGTGGTAAAGTTTCAAGATAGAAGACGATAGCGCCGGGCTGCGAAAAATATGGCCATTTTGAGAGTTGGTTCGCATCGCTTAGACGAAGAGGCCAGTTCCACGAGCATATCGGTGCTGGATTGGGGTTCCAAGTAAACAAATCGGTCTTGGTATTGAGTCCGCCTCGGGGAATTGGGGATGAGCAACAAAACAGGGCGCCGACCAGAAATCTGTGCATCAGTAGTGTAGTTGTGGAGTGGGAAAACGACACGAAGACGACAAAATCCCAAATCAGATGCGATACGCACCTTCGCCGGCGGCTTTTTTGAGAGAAAAGATTGCAGAAATGCGCGGTAACAACGATTAAAAGACTAAGAAGGGTTCAGTTTCGTTTATGACATCCTGGTTTGGTTGAAGTTCCCTACCGGTGTGCCAATCCCCACAAAGATGAGGTAGCTTGACAAGTATAGCTCCCGTGTTTCTCAATGGACACGAACGGTCCGAGCCCTTCTCTCAGCCCTTGGTTGAACATCGCGCGGAGAGCTTTACACACTCGCCGGTCTGCGATAAGAGAGACCAATGATGGAGTAAAGAGTGTCCTTGTTGCTTCTAGATCGGAAGGTTGTCGACAAAGTGCAATTGGCACAGTTATGGTGGCAAATGCAGGTTCAGACGCTTCAAGTTAGATACAATACGATTCCGCTACGGGACCGCCGTGGCTCAGCGACTCAACGCATTCAGTCTTTGAGTCGGGCCTCCTAGAAAACAAACTTGAACTGTGGTTGAAGCCGCGGAAATGACTGCCCATATGAGAGATACCACACCGGGTAGGTTAGAACTCTTACAACGCCGGAGATTTAGCAGCGAACCCGAGAAATCTCTCGAAATGTGTATGTATTCTGGGCCGAAAAAGACTTGAGCAAACACATGCGCGAAGAACTTGAACGCTCGAGGATATGAGTCGTAGTTTCCACCAAATTGGGGGTGGTTGGGCATATAAGCCTCGAAGTCCTCACAGTCAACGTTGAGTCAAGGTTGCAGGATGGGATGCGGGAGTATGTGGAAGTCACACCACCGGAATCCCGCAAATTTCCGCAGTCGGTGATCGGAACATGCTTGCTGAGAGGCCTTTTCCACTCTCTTCCACAAAAACCTTGAAGGCTCCTTATTTTACATTCAAGTAAATAAACGCAGGTTTCATGCGCGAACGATGTGTGCCTCCTGGACCGACCTGCAGCAAATTCAGAAGAATCGCGATCACATGAAAGTCACATGGGCGACAATCAACGATTTACGCAGGTTCTGGCCCTGACTCTTCATCTGCACCCAGTCTTGCTGTAGATTGCATGCTCAATGAGCTTAAAAATCATTATCCAGGACCTGGTGTGCGTTACAGGTTGCAGCCACAAGTCCGTGCTAGGTAGATTGGGAAACATGAGCGACCAAGTGGGCGCTGTCTTGGACATGGCTGAAAATAGCTGGTATCGGTTTACCAAAGCGCCGTCCCAGTCAGTGCCAGTCATTAACGCCGGTTGCACCGCACTCGATTCAGAGAAGGGTTTCTCGTCGGGTCCAAATAAAGTCTTTAAGCTCTAAACAAATTGAATACCCTCAGAGGTATTGGCAGGTTGCCAGTGCTTGACGAGCTGCTTAATGGGGATGGACGGGGTTATATTGCGGTTTTCGATCCGCTCGGAAGACATAATGAAAGGATTTTGATCGGGATTTTGATTGGATTCTGTTACCATCAATCTGTCACGTCTGTGTTTTTTTTTCCTTTCGACCATCTCGGTGGCAGATGGGCGATATGCGGTGGCAGCGCGCAGGCAGGCAGAAGTTGCCCCTTGATAGGCCCATATCTTTGCCTTATGTCAAGTCCATTCGAGTGACCGGCCTGTGTGGCGTGTGGTTACGCACCGAACAAGACGTACAAATCCGTTCAAATAGCTTCTGGCAACTTGTCGAACCTTTCCACTCGCCGATTGCCTAAAAGACCTTCCCTCTTTTTTTCTGCGACCACCGTCCAATGGCTGCTCGACCTGCCCCACTCTCTTTTGCGTCACTACCTCCTCACGCGCCGTTCGCGTCGACACAACAGGCAGGCGAGTCGGAGCCACCCAGTCCATCAGCTACTGGTCCCTCTCCACCCGTTACCCCAAGAACGTTGTCGTTCCTCACCCCCTCCCATTCACACCGCCAATCGAGACCCATTCAACCCTCAGACCCCTCCCACGTCTTCTACAGCTCTTCCCCAGCAAAACCCTTTCTCACCACCAGCTTCAGTTCGCTCATTCTCGGCCGGAGGCGCTGACTCTCCTGCATACCCCTTTGCCAGTCCTGAAAGCACTCGCGCGTCCAGTCTTATCGACGTCACTCATGGACGTGCGTTTTCTACGTACTCGATTGGGACTCTAGCTGGCCCTAATGAACGCGGTTCGTTCAGTCGCCCCACAACAGCTTCTTCTAGTGCACTGGCGGGAGGCGGCAGTACACCTACAACTCGTCGCGAAGCATTTGCATCGCCGCCTGCCCGCCCAATGACCATCTACGCCACTCCCAATACAGCACGTCTCCGTCGCGACCGTCCTAAATCGACTGCATTGCTTAACCCTGCGACGAAGGCCGTCCAGGAGGAAGAGGAAATCGACGAAAAAACTGGCAAAGTGAAGAAGAAGAAGTTTACTGTTCGCCCTAAGCTCAGTGCGAAACTCGATAAACCGTGGGTCGGCACCAAAGACCCCTCTTCGATTTGGGCCTATCTAATTACCTATTTCATGGTTTTAGTTGGTTTGTCACTTCTTACCTTTATGGAAAAGATTAGATCTGATATCGCATTAGGTCTTGCTTGTGGTGGTGTGCGGATTTACACTGGCTGGAAGTCGGTCATGCTACTCAAAGGCAATCTCTGCCCAGTCCTTATTGAGGACTTCACCAACAAGACCACACAAGACCTGTTTGGAACTGGTGTCGCTGGAGAGGGAGGCACATTCTTCCGTGAAGTGGACGCTAGCGGCTTTGGGTACGTGTTACTTGCTGCATCTCTTGTTACATCTAAACCGAGCATAGGAATGGTGAATTTGAGATGACGACCAACTCCGATCGAAATTCGTTCATCTACAACAACCAGCTCTACCTGGTTCCGACTCTTACCTCGGATGTCATTCCCACGTCAAGTATTCTTGACGGCGCCATCTACAACCTCACGGGTTGCACGTACAACATCACTCACTCCTCCGGCTATTCCACTTCTGGACATGGGTCTGTCGGGATCAATACGACGGAGGGCGAGCAAGCTGACGGTGCTATCGCGCCCGATGCACTTCTGGATCTCCCTGCTTACCTTGCAGCCTGCTCGGCTGTCTCCAATTCAACACAAGGCAAAATCCTTCCTCCCATCATGAGTGCTCGCATCAGCACTCGTCGTTCGGCTCGTTTGCGTTTCGGGCGTGTTGAGGTCAAAGCCAAACTGCCGACGGGAGATTGGCTTTGGCCTGCAATCTGGATGTTGCCTGTCGGGAATGTGTACGGTGGATGGCCACTCTCGGGAGAGATCGACATCATGGAGGCGCGGGGTAATGGTCCCAGTTATCCTAAGCAGGGCATCAACTACGTCCGCAGCTCGCTGAACTGGGGCCCTGCGACGTTCTTGAATGCGGTTGCCAAGACATACGGCTGGAAGACGATGCGCCGGGACCGTTACGATGCTGATTTCCACACTTATGCTTTGGAGTGGGACGAAAACTTTATGTGAGTTTCTCTCCTTCCAATTCTTGATTTTAAAAAAAATTAAATTAAATTCCAGGCGGATGTATGTCGACTCGCGACTTTCGCATATGTTTGAGATGCGCTTGGCCCAGTCATTCTGGGATTTCGGCAACTTCCCCACGGTTGTGCAGAACGGGACTGCAAGTGTTGTTTTGGACAACCCATGGGTCAATGGAACCAAGGCCGCGCCGTTCGATCAGCCTTTCTACTTGATCATGAACGTCGCTGTTGGGGGGCACAAATGGGTGGTTCCCCGATGGTCCTGAGAAGCCTTGGTTGGATGGGTCTGCAAGTGTGTCTTTTTCATTCTCGTCTTGATCTATTGTTGATTTTTCCCCTTTCAGCTGCGCCGTTGGACTTTTTGCGCGCGCAAGACAAATGGTACCCGACTTGGCCTCAAGATATATCCAAGCGCGCGATGGTTGTGTACGTCTTTTTATTCTGCTTGAGCTGTGGAAGCCTGTTGATGGAGCCTTCACAGCGATTCGGTGAAGATGTGGGAGAAGTGTTGAACAGTGTCTTGCAGACAAACATGCGGTATATTTTCTACCTCCTTTAATTGTGTACGCTATTCCCTTCGCGTTATGTCACCATCACCCTTCTTGGACTCTCCTCCTGTTGATACGCCGCGCTTGTATACTATCTACCTAGCCGAGAATCTGGCAGAATGCATAGATTTTATCGCCCACGACGACGAGTACGGATCCCGTTATAGTCATTTGAAAATCTGTGTAGACGGCTAGCACTGCTAGACGCTTCGAGCAACTGCATTCCATCTTTTAGGTGGTTGTCAGGTTGACGCAGAGCTGTGGTTGTACCTTGGGGGGGAAACGAAGAGAGCGCACGCAGTACAAGATGTACCTTACTACACCAAGTCGGTATGCCTGGCTTGGTCGAAGGTTATGGTGCTTTTGATTTTGACGGCGCACACCCGAAGAGCGATTGAGTTTAATCTTATTCATGCTAGTAGTACACTGTACACTTTTAGAGGACAAAGACCTCTCTTTCCTACCAAAGTTGGTCATAGCGCCGCACTACACCATCATCTGCCGCAGTCCAGACGCTATTGCCAGCCGCACGTAAACAGCGAACAGCATCACAATCTGTCCCAACGAGCTCTCCCGCGACTCTTGGAGTAGACGAGCTGTCAATAGACGCGATGAATGGCAAGCCGTCATCCGTTCCGACTAGAAGTTGGCCTCCGTTGTTGGCCCATTGCAAGTCGGCGATGCCGGCTTGATTATTGCCTCTTGCGAATGACACAAGGACGCGGCCTTCGCTCAGGGCACGGGTGTCGTAGACATCGACGATTCCCTTGTTGGAGCCAGTTGCAAGCAGACTATTTTCTGGTGAGTAGCTTATGCTTGAGAGTGGGGCAGTCGCGCTGCCGCTGAAGACTGTTTGCCGGGAGCCAAGATCGATAGCTTCAAAAGACTTGGTTTGTAAGGCGCAGAAGAGTAGTTTATCGCTCGTTTCGACTTCTCGGGTATCGGGATTCGCAACCGATGGGGCATTTGGCAGCACTGTCCCTCCTCGCTCGCCAAGACTCATGCCCGTTATTGGTGCGAGACGGCCGGTGGCGCCACCGGTGGTAAATAAGTGAATTTGGGCTCCAGAAGAGACGTCCCATAGTCTAATGGTCCCGTCTAGGGATCCAGAAACGATATTGCGGCCGCGCGAAACTATTGCTGTCGATGTGACGACGCGTTTGTGACCCATAAGTGTGCGAACAGCGGACAAAGAGCTGGAAGAAGGCGAGGGTTCTGCTGGGAGGATGCAGAGAGTGAAATCGGCACCGGCGGAGAGAAGAACGCGTGACGAAGGGAAAAATCGGAGAGAGCTGGTGGTGCTCTTGTGGATTTTACCAAACGCGGTCTCGACAGGCTGGATCTTGGGAGTCGTGTTGTAAATGTGGACAGAGCCGTCCAAGAAGCCGCTAGCAAACTGGGAACCATCGGGAGCAACATCAAATGCTGTTATTCGGTGCGGCTAGTCAAGAGTAAATGATTAGATAAAGGAGGACAAGGCCGTGGACTTGCATGTTGTGGATTCGAGCGATTGGGGTCAGCATATAGGTGCGAGGGGACCAACAGTAGAGTCTCTTGAATGCCGTGCTGGCTGGACTGCACGGCATATTTCTACGAGAGATGCTAAGAGCGATTTGCAAAGGAAATCCAGAGAAGGCAATGCTCACATTCTTGCCTTGCTCCTTGATCTCTATTCCCAACGAGCCATCGAGCTTCACAACATCGCGTTGGATATCATCCAGGGTGACGCGTACTTTGGAGTGGATACCTGGACCATCTCCATAGCATGACAGCCAAAAGGTGTCTTGTGGCAAGCCTCCAGAACGAACGTCCGAGATCACCTCTGGAAAGGTATGTTGTACGTTCAGAATCGGCAGTTTGGTGTTGGTCATCGAACAAGAGCACGAGTGCGTGACCGTCTCGCCTATTTTTATGCTACGTTCTCGGACAAACACGCAAAATATCCGCACATCGTTTGTTCACCTAATGGCGAAGAGAGCAGCCTCAGACCACGTCTCCCCTGCGCCAAAACGGATAAAGACCAGTCCAGCGTCGCCGGAAGTGAAGTTTAAACGAACGAACTCTGAATGGAAGGTTGGCGCGCATGTCTCTGCAGCTGGCGGCGTCGATAATGCAATTACGAATGCAGCGTCAATTGGGTATGTTTCTTCTCCCTCCAAACCCTCCATAAACGAGACTAGAGCAAACGCATTCGCACTATTTGTCAAGTCACAAAGAAAGTGGACCTCGCCAGCTCTGACAGAGGCGACAATAACGAGCTTCAAGAGCAAAATGAAAGAATACGGATACGACCCGCGCCATGTCCTTCCTCACGGAAGCTACTTGATTAATCTTGGCAACCCAGACGCGTTTGTCTCTCCGACTGCGTTACTTGAGTGCTGCTCATATACCCAAGAGAGAAACGAAAAAAATCCTACGACTGCTTCTTGGACGATCTCAAAAGGTGCGAAGCGCTAGGATTGGAACTGTATAACTTTCAGTACGTGGTCTACCGACGTTATGCGTAAACTTACGAGTGCAGTCCTGGGTCGACGGTTGGGGAAGCTACAACAGACGAATCGATTGCGCTTATTGCCCAAGGCATTAATGACGCACACGCTGCTACCGAGAAAGTGGTCGTCGTGATCGAGAATATGGTCATCCTGGCGCATCCTTCCTTCGCTTCCTCATCCTCAATTAGGCTGGAGCAGGCAACATCATTGGTGGCGACTTTGCTCATCTTTCCCAGATAATCCAGCTGGTCAAAGATAAGACGAGGGTCGGAATTTGTCTTGACACTTGTAAGTTGACCTTCTCGAGTATCATGCCCACTGATTTCTGCAGGTCATATGTTCGCGGCGGTATGTGGTACCTCTTAGAAAGAATTATACTCTCAGCCAGTCTGCTGCAGGGCTATGATCTGCGAACCAAGAAAGGCTGGGGTGATTCTTGCTTTTCATTATCTGGTATGCACTGTTTGAGACCTTTCTGGTAGATGAGATAGGTTCACTCTTTTTCTTCGTTTCCCGATGTCTTTTGACCTCTCAAAAAAGTTACCGATCTTGACCAACAAGTCGGTTTATCCTTCCTTCGTGGAATGCACCTCAACGACTCGAAAACTGAGCTCAATTCGAAACGCGACAGACACGAGAACATCGGACTGTGCGTCAAGTACTTTTCGTTGCAAAAATCCGCTGATTTGGAGCATAGCGGGCATATCGGCTTGTCGGGATTCCACCACATCCTCAATGACACCAGGTTCCAAAACATTCCCTTGATTTTAGAAACGCCTAGTGGGGACGAGAAAAGGCCAGGAGAGGTGTGGGCAGTGGAGATCGAGGCACTGAACCACTTATCTGGATCAGTGGGCAGCGGGGAAGAGTTGCAGGCAACAACGAACACCGTCAAAGAGGTGGTACAAAGGGTATCTGGAACAAAATTGAAGAAGAGGATTAAGTAGCTTTAAAGTAACCACCGGCAGAAACTTATACTTCTGCATGTTATGTAAGCTAACCCAGTTTCACTTCACCACCACGATCTCCTCGTTCCTTCGCAGCCTGTTACGCCCAATGGGCTCAATTTCTGAACCTATTTCTGGAAAAACCAAACCTGGGGGGTATGACTTCTACCGGGAGGTCCTTGGCAGCCCCAAATATATTGTTGCGCCAATGGTGGATCAGAGTGAGCTGGTGAGTGGACATCAGTGGCTATCTAGCGTGAACTAATGTACACCCTCCAAGGCATTTCGAAGACTTTGTAGACGATATGGCGGCCAGGTATGTTTCGCTTTGAGGACTGCTTTCCCCTCTAATTGAGTCAACGCAGCTCATCTACACCCCGATGATCAGCGCCAAAGTGCACCGTCGTCCCTTGTCTCCCACAACGCTCTAAATTGCTTTCAGCAATATGCGGACCCCGTTAAAAACGTCACATACCGAGCCAAGAGCTTCGACACCTTGACGGGCGAAGAAGGCGACCCTGTGACTGACCGACCGCTCATTGTCCAGTTTTGCGCCAACGACCCGGAGGCCTTATTGACTTCTGCTCTCGCTGTTCAAGAGCATTGTGATGCGGTGGATATCAATCTTGGCTGCCCCCAAGATATTGCGAAGAGAGGGCACTACGGCGCGTTCTTGCAAGACGAGTGGGATTTGATTTTCCAGCTCAGTGAGTTCCTAGCTTGCTCCCGACTAGGCAACTGAAGTCAACCAGTCAACACACTTCACAAAAATCTTGACGTTCCAGTTACCGCCAAATTCAGGGTGTTTCCAAGCATCGAGAAGACGGTCGAATATGCAAAAATGCTTGAGCGAGCGGGAGCACAAATTCTTACTTGTCATGGGCGGATAAGGGAACAGAGGGGGCAGAATTCTGTGCGTTCCTTCTTTCTTGTCTTTTTTTTTTTACAGCTGAGTGGTCTTCAGGGTCTGGCTTCGTTTGAACATATCAGAGCAGTCAAGCAGAATGTCTCTGTGCCTGTTTTCGCCAATGGAAATGTTTTATTCCAGGAGGATATCGAGACCTGTTTGCGTGAGACTGGTTGCGACGGCGTTATGTCTGCCGAAGGAGTTTTATATAATCCCGCGCTCTTTGCTGGATTAGATCCTGCATCTCCCTTATCCACCACCGACTCCGAGGCCGCCCTCCTGAGGTTACACCCTCCCGTTATCTCTCTCGCCCTCGAATATCTCGAAATCGTCAAGTCATTGAAAACTGTAACCAGTGCTAGCGCCATTAAAGGCCATCTCTTCAAAATCCTTCGTCCCGCGCTACCAAAGCACCCAGATCTACGAGAGCGCCTTGGTAAGGCCCGAATAGAAGGTGTAAAGACGATGGTCAAGGCCAAAGTTAAAGGTGACAAAGAGGCGGGCGGGGAAGCGGGAGAGCCATACTGGAAGACTGGATTGGAGGACTACTTTTCGATCGTCGAGGAGCTCGGCGAGCGAATGCGCATAGATGAAGACAGGGAGCGCGGTGGTGCGAAGACCAACTTGGAGCTCGTTCGGCCACAAGAAGGGACGGGACTCAAACTCCTTCCGTGGTGGTTAGCGCAACCGTATTGGCGGCCTTTGCCTGCTGTAACGGGTAAGTTGGGGCATAAATCGTGAGTGTAGTTGGTTAACATGTCAGTAGAATCGCTACAAGATCAAGCGGACGGCAAGCGAAAGAAGAAACGACCACATGTGGGTCCGGAAACAACTGCAGAAGCGCCAGAAGAGAAGCGAATGAAGTTGCTGGAGACAAGGGTACCATTGGAGGTGCAATGAAACCTGCTTCATAGATATCCAAGCAGGCATATACTAGTAGGGATTTATGCAGTGGGTGAGTGAATAGAAAAATAAACAAGCAATCTTTGAGACTTTGTTTGCAGCCAAAATGATTGCTTGACCCATGCTAGTAGGCAACAAGAAATGTCTGGGTCGAGAGACGAATGCGCTAAATCATTAGTACTTCGATACGCCACCGATTCAGACGAGTTAGATGCAAGCGAAGCATTCCTAAGAAGCTCTTTTCCGTAGACCTCGTATGAAAACGGCCACGCGTGTTGAAAATGTGTGAGAGTGGTCAGAGACTTCCTGCCTTTCCCCATATCATATTGTTTCTATTTGGCAATTTTATCAATCCGGTATGGTGTATCGGCTAACATTGGTGCTTTTCAAGATATTGGACGCACTAGCGCGGGGTTCGACTCCCCGTACCGGAATATATTTTGAGGCATTCTGCTTTTGCTTTTCTTGCGCTCTACCACGATGTCATCTGACGACTACGTGGCTCTATTTCCCGAATTCGGTTCTGAAGAATTTCCATCCTTAGGCACAGCCAAGTCTCATCGGAAACCTAAGCAACGCCATGTTGGCTACACTCTCTCCGAAAACATAACCTCTCGCTACCCAGTCGAGCTCCACGATTACGTCCTTGACTTTCTCCATGGACACCGACCATCGCTGCTGGCTTGCAGTCTTGTCTGCCGCACCTGGTATGTATCGAGCCGATACCATCTCTTTCTGCACGCTAGCACTGTTCGAGTTGATCGAAACAACTTTGCCCAATTCCGTCAAGCGATCGAGGACAATAATGACTGGGTTCGGTCTATCGGAAGCCTTCATCTGCAAAGCTTGCCTTCGTCGGAGGACGCAGTTGAAGAAGGGAAATCAATATTTCTTTTCAACGACGAGCTTTTGCATTTGACCGGTTTGGAACGCTTGCGGCGTCTTACTCTATCTTGGCGGTTTCCTGGCGACTTTTACCCAGCTCCTCTCTCGGCTACTTTTATGACGGGACTGAGCCAAAACTTCACCCACATCAGCGAACTTCAGCTCTTGCGTGTGCACGTCGATCGGTTCACCCATGTCCTCGACATTTGTGGCGTGCTGCCCAATCTTCGGGCGTTGGCGTTGTTAGATGTTATTTGGAGTACGCCAAATAATGCCCCCCCTGAGCATAGGATCGCGTTGCTCGAAAAGCTTGTTGTCGACTGCGTCTATTATCGTCCCTCGGTGCTGCTCCAGTGGCTCATCCAGCCTAATGCCGTGCCAAGCCTCCGCTGCCTCGCGATAGGAAAACTCGACACCCGATCAGATGCTGTCCTCGCGTCTGAGGTGCTACCTTATATCGGCCCTCAATTGAACCACTTGATTCTCTACAATGTGCCAGCAGAAGCCGACCTGACATGTTGCACGGCTCTGCGGACTCTCGAGATCACTGGTCTCCTCTGTGAGCAGCGAGGAGAAGCGGTGAGAAAAGATTCGACCGACAGGTTACCAGTGATATTGGAGCAACTGCATATGGCCCCCCTCCAGCGCATCGTCTTTGTCATCCGCATTCAAAAGCGATCCGACGTCCACATGCTCCCTCTTGAGCGCATATCTGTCCTCCTCGCAACTTTCCGACTACTAAGGAAAGTGGAGCTCCACTTTCCCGGCGACAAAATGTGGCTTTTCAAGGTCCTTAATGAGGCATTGGGAAAACGGATGTTCTCTTTACTAGTGGATGACATGCACAAGTCAAAAATGCATCGATATTCCATGGATCGTCCAGGAGAATAATGAGGGGGTATCAGGATACAATATGTAGTTAAAAATAGCTTGGTGTGTCTAGCCATAACCAAAAATCACAGACAGTATCTCCTTCCACCCTCTCTTGACCACGAAATTGATTCCACTCACATTGTCCCTTGAGGCAAGCGCATATTCACCTCCAAGCCACTCCAAGTACTTGGCATCCGCGCTACTCAGTGCGCCCAGCTCAAGAGCAACCAAATCGCGCGGTGTCAACACAATGGTAAGCTCGGTATCGTCGGTGGCCTGCAGTTTCGATGCAATCACGGCCCCGAGCCGTTCAATTTGCCAGGTGGTGTGGGCATGCAGGGTTTGTAGTAGCGAAAGTGTAGTCAACACCTGGCTGGTGTCATGCTCAGCTTCGTTAAGCGTGCCAGAGGTTGCAGTTGTATCCTCGCGCACAATTCCTTTGCTGCTTCCGGGGACGGGAGAGGATGTGACTGTTGCTCGACTGCTGGCCCAAGACATGGCGCTTGTTCGTCGCATTGCCTTGTTGGTGACGATGCCACTTCCTGATGCGACTCGAGGTCCGCCCTCGATACCCAGCCCCACACTCCTGACATGTTTCGAATCTGCTTCATTGAGGGAAGCCAAATCTCCGCTCTCGGCTCTGCGTGAAACGGCGCGGTAGCTGAAATCTTCATCTCCCTCTAACCTCACGCTGCCCCAATTTCTAGCCCCATCGGCTGTGGAATAGGAAGGGGTAGAATTACCTCTCCATGCGCCCATCCAAAGCCCAGCACAGATAACACAGACGTCCTCGTATACGCGCCAAGCGTCTGTCCAAGCGGTTATTGAGTTGGGTTTGGAAGAGGTAGATGCTGGGGAGCAGCAAGAAGCGTGTGAGGATGAATCGAGTTGGAGAAGGCGATTAAGTTCATTCCAAAGCTTCACATCACTCCATGAAAAGCGTACGACCGAAAGTCGGTATTGGGGTCGCAAAGACGATGATGGAGATGACGGTGCAACAGGTTTGGAGGCATAGAAGGTGGGACGAGTGGCCTTGAGAGGTGAAAGAGTGGTTAGATCAATGAGAAGATCGTAATAAGAAGGTTTTTCAAGGAAAATAGCGTCGGTGGTGCCTATTCCAGAGTGAGTCACATGTGCAAAAGGTTGTTGAAACTTACAAGCTACCCATCCTCGTCCATTCTTTCCCTCTTTTTCAATCATGTCCAGGTCCATCAATGTGATCATCCCAAGAACATTAATTCCCTGACGACTTCTCCCCTCTGGACTTGATGTTGACGACGAGGACTCGACCTGCAGCTCGAATGCCATATCGGCCGCAACGTGACACAATATCGAGGCGGCCTCTACTGGGGGGAGGGTGTAAATGAGAATCCGTCTTCGGCCCACAACATGCTTGTGTAAAATCAAGGATGATGGGCCCAGAATCCGGAGGAGGTGCGGAAGATGAAGGGTCGGTGTTGACGATAGGGTTGCGGGATCCAGCTGTTGGGAGAATAAGCAACGCCTTGGGGGGGGGACCGAAAACTACTCACTCGCTCCAACAACTCAGAGCTCCAACCACTCCAGTCGCCGGCGCCGTTGAGATCCGCTCTGGCGACCTTGCGGCTGTTGAAAAAGTCCCTTGCGGGTGCCCAGTCCTCCTCTTTGGGATTCGAAATTTGGTTACTCTCGAAGCGGGAGTAGAGGAGAGTGGTGAGTTCCTTAAGAGCCGCGGTATGTCGCCAGGGTCGCGGACGATCGGAACGGGCCAGCAATATTCCAAGAGAGGAGAGTCGGAAGCCACGGTGACCCTGCTCTACCGTCTTGCGACGTCGGAAAACACAAACGCCCTGTTGTCCGTCCTTGGTGAAGTAGATGACGTCTTCTTCAACAAGGTGCAGACCTGACGGGAGAGCACTGAATTCGAGATTGTCAAGCGTCAGATCTATGTGGTTGGTATATAGGGTGTACAATGGAGAAGAGTGAAACGAACCCTCGCTGGCCTTGAGAGACCAGTCAATAATATTGCCTTGAGTTGGATGGAAGGACGCATGGAAGATGGCGACTGTGAAGCTCGGTTTGTATGTGTAACGAGACAGATGCGGCATTGCTCACCGATGTCCTGAGGAGGGCGCCCTCCCAAGGCATCGACTGACATATCCACAGCCGAGGCAAATGAGAGCAAAAGGAGAGGGCGGCGCGACTTGTCACTGTGACGGGCAACCCCAACTTTAGACTTGTTGGCCATGGCTCAGCAAATCAGCGTCACCGACCTCGACCTTCCGCAGCTGGCAGATGTCCGCAGGCAGCTGGAGGAGGTCCCGCAGTTCCCTCTCATATCATCTCAGCACATTCTGACTCCGAGAGATAGGAACTCAATCACCTCACGAATTCGTTCGCCCAACTCAAACAAGCCCAAACAAAGTTCAAGAATTGCGTCGAAAATGTGAAGGAGATTAAGCCGGCAAACAAGGGTGCGGTTCAGGCAAACCTGTGGTCACGATCTCACATAAGCCTCAGACAAACCGATCCTCGTCCCACTCACAAATTCTCTCTATCTACCTGGCAAGCTTGCAGATGCCCAACATGTTATCGTAGACGTCGGCACGGGTTACTTCGTAAAGAAGGTACGGACCTCACTCCGATTAGATTTCTGCCAAATCGACCTCTATTCAGACAATTCCGCAAGCGACACAACATTATACCGCCAAAATCAACTACATCCAATCCAATTTAGACACGCTGGAGGAGACAATCAACAAGAAACGGGAAAATATGTCGTATCTCGTGAATGTAATGCAGTCAAAGCTGTCCCAACAGATGGAGGGGAAGCCAATACAAGCATCTACTTGAAAAGATTCAACAGTTCCTCAAGGTTAAGCCTCACATCTGTTTCCTCGCGGCTCTGACTGAGGGCCATATTTGTGACTCGGCGCTTTCTATCCTGGAGCTGATCTTGTGTTAGTTGAACCCATGCGGCAATCGACTTACTTCGAGAATTCTGTCTTCGACTGTCTCCTCCACGCGCAGTTTATAAATATGGACATCCCGTTTCTGGCCAACGCGATGAGTTCGATCGAAAGCCTGTTCTTCAACGGCAGGATTCCACCACATGTCGACCAAGATCACATGGTTGCAGCAAGTCAAGTTCAACCCTACGAAGGTGTAAGCGCGGGCAAGGGACATAATGAAAGGAATGAACCCTGGCCCCCAGCTTTCAAGGAGACCAGGATGACTGTGACACGAGCGTCGTCTGCTATCTCCTTCAAAGCGGCTGCGCGCTCATTCGTGCCGAGTTTCCCATCATCTATTGAATCATAAGGCGAACGGCAGCTTTCCAAGTCATAAGCACGTACAGCGTGTAAAGCGAATATTCATCGCCAATAAGAAAGGCTCCAGGAGGTCGAGAAATGATGTCCATTGAGAAAATATGACAGTTTTCTGGTTCCCGCCCAAACATGCGATTTTCTTTAACAGACGGAGAATCTGGTTGACCTTTGTAGACGCCCGAAATGGACTAGAAAGATTCTCAGCTTGAACTTGAAGCGCCGCACAATTGATGCAAGTGCCTGGCCAGTCTTTGCCAGCCATATTTTTGCGGGTCAAACTGGGTTGACCATGATCAGTGGACAGTCAAAAACGAGGGTCATAGCCTTACCGAATCGCGCATGTACCACATTTATTCTCTTGATCGGCGGACTCATCGTCTGTATCCTTGTCACCATCCAAAAACACTTTTGGCATGACACTCTCTTCGGAATCGAGCTCCTCAAGTGCCTCCTTGTAATCTTCGAGGACCAGTCGGGGATGATCACATGCTGCCGTGGTGTTAATGAAACGAATAAGTGAATAGAACGCTTCGCTAGACCTTGCCTCAACCGCAGTAACATGACCAGAATGTTTATATACTTCGTTCCGCCATGGAGATCCGAGTTCTTCATGATTCGCTTCACGATTGTGTTCGAATACGCTTTCAGTGCCTTATAGAAAGCGAGCTCGTCGTCGCTGAAGTGACACGAGACCAGGGTGACGGTCCGAGTTGGCAGCTTCAACTCGTCCAGTTGGGTCTTGAGGCGTCGCAGTAGTACGTGCTTCAGCACAACCTCCAACCGCTTGTAAGATGTACAAAATACTGGTAGCAGAACAAAGATGCACCTGTAAGCGCTTCATCGCGAGACCGGCGTTGCCATTCCCTTTGTCGATTGGTTTGGAGATTTCGCTTTGGAAGCGAGTCCAGTCGTTCACAGGTTTGATACGTAAAAAATGAAACAAAGAGTAGAAATCTTCGACAGCGTTTTGCCTTGCTTGAACTTTTAGGGTAGATATGAATGCTCAAACAGGATACCTTACATTGGGGTTGCAGTCAGGCACCAGCGGAATCTTGCTTGTAGACTGAAGCACGCTTTAGCTGTTTCAGTCTTACTATTTTTGATGGTATGAGCCTCATCTAGCGAATTGAATATCAACGGTGGACATATTTGATGAGGCCACCCACCAAGCACGACGCGCAGCCACTTGGTGCTAAACAGGGCAGTAGGTTTCTCCCGGGTGTGCTCCGACCGGACGATACCATAGGTTGTGACAACAACATCTGCTTTAGCAACTACCGCAAAGTTGGTATGGGAATTAGGCTGCGACAGGAAGACCTACGAGACAGTCGCCCGCGAGTCGAATCGTGGTACTTGATGACGCGTAGCCCATTGGTTTTGGTCTGTATTTCCGTTGCCCAGTGCTCCAGCACGGCAAGAGGAGCAACGATACTACAAGCCGTTAGAGAGGGTGGCATCAGAACGCATCGGTGTGCTCACAGGGTGGAATGGCTCCAGCCTTGTGCTGCTTCTTCCTTGGTCGGCAGTCTATCGAGGATGCATGCAATCGTCTGGAGAGTTTTCCCGACGCCCATATCATCACAAAGAAGACCGCCGAACTTCTCTGGAGGATTCTCGCGCTGTCGCATCCAAAGTCGACCTTTAACTTGATGAGGTTTCAAGCGGACGCCATCTTTGAAGCCAGGTAGGGTGGACTGGTCGCCGGTGAAGCTGCAATTGAACGCTCCGCTATCGAGGAGCTTGCGCAAATCGTTCTTGGCCTCCTCCTTTGTTCGCGACGGCGCCTGATCAGGGAGAGGAATCTCTTCACTAGCATCCAACCAGCTGGGCGGGGGCTCGGGCTTGATTAGCGGAGCTGAGGTTCGAGGCATGGATGACTGTAAGTGGCAAAGTCCCCACGCGTAATCTCATCCCAAAGAGTCATAATCTGTGGCTTTGTTCCAGCTTCGGTCATGGTTGTGGTCAGTTGGCATCAAATGTCTGACGTAAACATTACATAAGACCACACACCATGCTGAAGGTCAGTGTAGGCGGTAAGCAAAACAGTTTATTTTTTGGACCGTGAATAATCATAGCCACAGTTATCCAACAGGAAAGCGCGGAACCTCGGAATGAGCTACGCTCAGCACAACTTGTCGGAAGAACGTGTGATTTGCGAGGTTGCGACAACTGGGAGAAACTGCAAAAGTGCGCTAGATGCAAGTATGTCGTCTCTTTCCTCAGTGCTAGTGATTAACGCTATACGCATCGTTTCAGAATTGTGGTGTACTGTGTGCGTTATCCAGCAGTCTAGTCGATTACAAAATCTCATCTTTCTTTCTTGCAGAGCAAGCAATGCCAGAGTATTGTCTATGCTCTCCATGCCGCTTGAGGAGCACGGTTGATTTTGGATTTCAGAGGCAGACTGGCCAAACCACAAGGCTGCTTGTCAACACTCGATCGCCTATGCTCCGCTTCCCGACCCCGAAACTGGTGGTGAACCTCCCCTTCGACGCAATCTCCGTCATTGGACTGCACACTTTCAGAATTCGATCATCATCGCCACTATTATGGCTCTCGATTTGTACGGACACCCGAAGAACATTGACGAGAAGGGTTTCGTGATCCACCTGCTCCCGCGACCTCATCGGGATGTCGGCGCACGCTTCAAGCTCGATGCCGCAGAAGTCGTCTCCATGTCTACCATTACCGAGATCATGAGCATGCAAGAAGCAACCCAAGCAAGGGGGCCAAATCCCGGACCGACCGTATTAGAGCTTCACAAAATACATCGAGACAAGTTGAAGGCTGAGACAAATAACCAGGAAGACTTCGCGACCGTTTTGGTTATGGCTGAAAACTCTGGTGAACATGCATTCCCCGGAGGAAAGGCAATGGAAATCAGGTGTGACCATTGTCTAAGAGAGGGGTCCTCCGTATTCATCGACTACTCTAGGTTTAAACCAACACAGATTATCAAAAAACTCGTGAGCAGCCCGCAGCTGCGAGACCCCACCCGCGACTGGTTAACCTCCCTCAAAATTCAGATCGACAATAATTATCCTGCGCTTGGCGTCATAAAACCTTGACTCTGAGCTTGTAAATAATTTTCTTGTGAATCCAATCACGGTGGCTGTGCTGTTGATCAACTCTTGCTTTCAACTCTCGTGAACGAATTTGACGAGAGTATTGACTGACTTCGGCTACGCTCGTTGCTCTCGCGGTTGCACCGACAGGATAGGTCCGTACTCAAGTATCTGATGGACTTTGGGTGTTGTTGACCTGTCGGGGTTGCGGCGCGTGTCTTTCACCGATGTTGCTCCTCCGGATGATCTTCAGCCTGAAGACTCAGCATGCGGACCGTATTCATTTACCACCCTTTCAGTCTCCGGTAAAGGGCTTAAGAACACATATGGGGACCCACGAGTGACATAATGCAAGAGCTACATAACGCGGACACGTTCTGTGAGTCTTGGTCAGTTGCACCTATGAGGCTTCTTTCCTTGACACTTTCTCTTGCTTCTAGTCTTTTTGGTATGTGTGGTCTCAAATCCTAGTGAATTGTTACATTGAACTTTTCCTCTAGTCGCCGCTTCTCTTGTTGAGCGACCCGACAGGATCCCTTTCGATGGTCAATATTTGAAACCGAATGCATCGAACACAGCCGTTGAGTGGTGGTGGGGGCATGCTATAGCCGAACCAACAGGCAATAACCCTCCAGCTGCCTTTCAATACCTATTTTATCAAGGTCAGCATATATCTGACATGGTAGCATGATCCATAACGCGCGAATAGGATACCCATTTGCGCTCGGACCGCGGGACCCCACCCTTCCCGAGTTTTACATCGTGGTAAACGGCTTCTTTCCAAATGGGACTCGGTTCTCGGGGACCATCCCTGCCACCTCAGGCACCGTAACCTCCCATGCCCAAGAAGTCGCTGGAAGCTGGGGTGGTGCAGGCAGCTTCAGAGGCTCTCCGGACTTGTCCACATTCACCATCCATCTCGATGCGCCAGAGTATGGTTTCGTTGGCTCCGTCAAGCTCACCTCGCGAGCGGCACACCACTTCGGCTGCAATACCACTTCTGGCCCTTACTTCGAATCCATCCTTGATCAACACACGACGCTATCTGCGGCCGAAGAAATTCTTTTCACCAAGCTAGGTTGGGCGATCAGTGTTCCAGGCGCTGTCTCAGAGGTCGACATGAAAATCAACGGCGCCAGACTCAGGTTTACTGGCCAAGGCTACCACGATGCGAACTGGGCACCCGCTCCGCTAAACACAGCGGTCGATTCATGGTTTTTCGGCACGGCCTCCGTCGGCGATTATGATCTGTCGTACATCTCTGTTTCCCCTTCCAACTCAACCCGAACCCTCAACACTGGCTATCTCGCGCACAAGGGAATTGTTCTTCAAAATCAGTGCAGCCTGGAAGGCACCAAGTCAAAAGACCGCAGTGTCATCAAGCCATATGGACTCGACCAAAGTTCATCTGGCGTACCTGTGCCGACTGGGTTTATCATTGATTATATTTTGGGGAATGGCGAAATGTACTCGTTCAATCTGAGCTCCGTTGGCTCCTCCGCACAAAATCCAGACGAAGTGGTGTATCATCGCTGGGTCGGCCAAGCGAGCGGTGGGAAAGTTGGAGGAGTCTCTGAACAAGGTCTGACAGTCTTCGAATGGTTAAATCCAGGTCTTGTCCCATACTCAGTTTAGAGTACCAAGAGCCAAAATTTATCCGTCTTAGACGAGCCATGAATTCCAAATTTCGAGGGCAGATCCTCGCCAAGCAACCGTGAACTATATACTCAATAGTGGCTACTACTTTATTTCCGAGCGTTTGAACAAGAGTCCAGCCAGTACGCATCAAGTCCCATTTCCGAGATGATGGTACAAATTTCTGCACATTGGGCACCTAAGAATTTTTTGGTGAATGTTTTCTTCACAACGAATATGAGACGAACGCATGAAGCCAGATGATGTTGCGAAGTGGTCCATAGTTCGAATCAGTGTCTTGAGGGACATAGCCGAAGTCTCGTATGTCATGCCCCGAGCTTTGCTATATCGAACGTCGTCGACAAAGACAAAACATGCGGATACCCAAACACACTAAAGCTTAGAATACGCAAGCAGAACCAATAGAGGGCGTACAGTAAGGATAAAGTCCGGTTCGCCGAATTGACTCAAGTCGGTGGATGAAAGTCGTTGGGTAATTGACTCGGCAGCTCGCCGAGCATCGTCGGATGGTCTAATTCCTTTGTGATCGTGTTGTCGAGATAACTGGATCGATGCCCCTTGTACGAGCATATGCGCAACGAATACTTGATTGGGCTGCTCTGATGGCGAGAAAGGGTGTAGAAATTCCTCTACAACCCGGGAAAAAGCGGCTAATTTGAACGAAAGAGATTCATACTCTTAGAAGATGTTAGCATAAGAGGAAACAATGTGCATTAGGGACGACAACCTTGTGCATCTAGGCTGCGATTGGCGGAGACTTGGAATAGAATGCTGGCCTTCGCAAGCAGCGCTGCGGCACTGGTGCCGCGATCTTGACTGGCCGAGTTATCGGCGAGAAACTCATCCACGATGGAGTCCTCATCCTCCATGTTCTTCTACAAGGATATTTGGTTCGGGACCGATCAAAACGAAAGAAAGAAAGCCATACCACCACCTGACAGTCAGGCCACGGTGTGTGGATCGTCACCCTTCCGGTCCCTGTAAATTGTACATCCGTGGTCTTCGGTTCAAAGCTTGCCCTGAATGCGTTCAGGCGGACAACAGCCCAAAATGCGTTGGCTGCATCCGAGTTAGAGTCCCTCACCCGATGTAGACCTGCGCTAATAGATATGCTGACAGCAAGGCCTATCTGGTAGTGTGCTTCAAGGAGACGCGTGTTGCGAATAAAGTAATGGGCTAGTAGCACTATGGCTTGAAGAGCATGCAGTATCGTTGTAGGGTGCGCTGGTGTTGGCCTTGTCCCTCCGACGATGTGTTGTGAGGTAGAGCCTGACATAGCGTTTGCTACACTCCTGAGTGCATGGGAAAGTAACGCTGGTTCGTATGCCGCCAACGCCCCGTTACTTTGACGGTGCCTTGACACGTGAAGATGAATGCCCCATAGATAGAGAACATGGAGAATGACTGGTGGTAGCAGGTGAGAGGAAGCACTTCGTGCACCAGTAATAGCGTCGTGGAATTCGCGCACGTCCATGAAGAATCCGAAACGGGAGGACACATGAATGAAGTTGTGGGCCCTTGTGAAAGATTAGACACAACACCAAGTCAGAGGAACGACCCGTACAAAGCCTGGAGAACAATAAAAGGCAGATTCTACGAGACCAAACTTCAAGAACGTTTCGTATCAGCAAAATCAGGCTCACCAAGGGCATTGCATCTGCTGCAAGTCGGTCTATTGACGTCCCGTTTACCTGTTGATAGTCTAGCAGGACAGTGAGCCTCCGCTTCAAGAAAGGTCACTTCAAGATCAAACAAAAATGAGTCAATAATGGTCCCAGAGCCGCGGTATTGTGGACATCGATTCGCTTAGTCGATATTGGCGCAGGTCTTGCTTCTTTTGAATGCAATTGAAGGCGTATCCGCGTTCGGAGGGTGGATATTTTCTCTGGATAAGACCTCAAGCCTGGCCTCGAAGCAATTTTCGGCACGAACCTTCTAAAACGTCGATACTGCTCTGGCCTTCCCCGTATTCACAGTCTTTGAAAGCAAAAGAATTTTTGGCGCACTGGCTGCAGATGGGTTGAGACCTATCACACCGCTGCCGCCTTCTGAGTAAACGGCTTCACCCGTACACTGGCAACTAGCGCGCACAATTTTTTTGAGACTGTGGCATTGCCTCAAGGCGAGATATCGTAAATAGAATGCCACACACCGGCAGTTCGTGCATGCTCTCGTTTGGCGCAGCGAGAGTCGTGGGTTTTCAGCAGAGTAAACGATCTGGTTGTCCATGGGGTGGGCGTGCTTGAAGGGAAATGGATCATTGTCGCGTCTTTAAAAGAGTTTTGCAGGTGATGTAATGGAGCCTGAAGATGTATAAGCCGCTGTTTACAAACCTTCTTGTCGCTGGGATGACTCGACCTAGATATGGGCGGGACCGAATTTTTATTCGCACTGCACATCAAGGAGAGTATGGAGCGGCTTGTGTACCACGTAATGTCAGAGTGCTATAAGCAAGCTCAACGGTTGGATTCAGCTATACATGAACCAAGTCAAGCCCATTGCAATGATCGGAGAAGGAATGGGTAAACCCAGATCACGGTCACGTGATGATCACCGTGATCAAACAGCCGCGCACTACGAATTACTGTAGAGAGGTTTCATCGTCGTATCGCTCCACATATTCGCTACTGCGAGAGCCGCTTCCAGTACATTTGAAGATTCGAAAAGGAAGACAAATAATCAAAAAGAGCGCACAGTTCGGTTCAAGATACGACAGGTAATACTTATGGACACTGGCACGACACCACAGGTGAATTACAGGTCACCATGATCACATATCCACGACCGTGGATGAAGTGGTGACCCGAATCTCCCCAAGAGAAACGGCGTACTCCGTGTCGCTACTACTCTACAGAAAGGATTAACGACGGAAACCAACAAGCAGTCCGATGTCTAGCATTAAGTACACACCTTCTCGATGACCTTGCTGTTCTCGTCCATCACAATTCCGCCAGCACCAGCGACTGTGTTCTTGAAATACGCGGCTAGCCCTGCGCCGGTCATACGTCTCGAATTGAGGGTCGCGCTATCTCCATTGGAAAGCGACATCGACATGTGGGCCGAGCCAGCGGCATAACGCTCTTGCAGCGTTGTCCGTGCGTTGAGCATTCCAACTGGTCATAAAGTATATCAGCATCAAACAAGCAGTCAAGGTTTGACTTGCAGAAAGTACAAACGTAAAGCTTGGTGGTGTTGATATGCACCGCTAGCCTGCATTCAGCGAATAAGAGAAGGCCCGAGTTTAGGTGGGAACGGACCAATACAAGTGGCCTGAGGAGGCGAAGAAAGTGATTAACAATAAGAACTGCGCGAGGGTTACGAGGATGCCGCGGTTGATGACCAGGTGCATGAGTGAGCGGAGGAGGGACGACGTTCTGCCGATGGAGTTCAGTCAGGTTGATATGGTGGAAGACTTGTTAATACTTGGATATGCCTGTCTTGGCCTCCTTCAGAAATATGCAAAGCGCAACTGTGGCTACGATGTCTGCTGCAGCGCCGAAGCCTTTCGCCACACCAGCAAGAATCTGTTCGCAGAGGATAAGAAAACAAAAACGAGAATAAAAATGGATAAGTACGCCAAATGCCATGTTTCGGTGCATAAAAACATTATGCGGAAACGTAAACATCATCACGACGCAACCTGTTGCGCCAGCTGACAGGATAAGTCATCGGACGAAGAGCATGAAAAGCACCAATGCAAACCTAGGCCTATGGTCGCGAACAGAACGACGAGTGCTTTCATGACCGTCGCAGTTGATCCGGCGCGGGGACTTTTAACTGGAAATATTGGGGTCACTTGATGCCCACGTTCAGGGAATTCGAGTACCCATATGCAGCTGGTACACGAAATACATTTGGGACCTAGATTTAATTAGGTTGAGAAGAAAGTACCACTGAACGACATACGTGAAGGTGATGACCGCGGAGATGAGACATTCGACGGTCAGCTCCCTGCAAGAAGTCAGACGGGAACCATGGAACAAGTGCATGCCAACTTGGTGACGGCTCCGAGGGGAGCAAAACTACCATAGTGCGGAAGCTATCAGCAGGTAAGAAAAGGCATACTGATATTACTAGTAGCCTATGGCACACCATATAGTAGTACATCGACTGGCAGATGAGTACCATCGAAATGAGGTCCAGCGTTCTGTTGTAGAGTCATTTTCACTATCGCAATGACCATGACCATGTCACGAACATCATTATCGCGGCCTGCTTCATCTTGAATATTTCGGTGAAAAGACCTGAAGACAAGACTCACCACCAGACGTACTCCGATTTTGTCGTTATAGCGCGTAAAGTAGAGGTACCCCTGCAAGATGCTCACACCACAGAGTCTGAAAGTCCGAGTGAGCTCTGTACTAAGGAAGAAGTAGAGGTTGGATGTACACCAGGGCAACGCAGAACCCTGGCAAAGAAGGGACAAAAGATTAGCGGCCGAGAACGACCACGAAGTTGAGCAGGAGAGACTGACCCCAGAAGACGGGTCCAAAGATTTGAGCATAGGTGGGAGAACCGTGGTCGGTGATGGCGAATAAAGAGGTGGCGGACATCGAAGCGAGCACAAAAGCCCCAAGCAAAGGAATGCATACTTATATAGCTCAAACCTGTCTCTGGTAAGTGCGCCGAGCGGATTTCAAAGTAAAAGTAGCACACTTTGTTTGGCATACCAAGTAACTTTAGTAGTCGGAGCGGATGGAAGTAATCGTCAGAAGGATGGTGAGGTTGACAGTGCACTTGTGCGTCCTTTGCTTCGACTTCCGCGCGATGTAATGGAGCTACGCCACCGCCACTTCTCTTCCGTCTTCACTTTTGCAGAGGTCTCGAGCCCAATTCCAGCGGTGCTGATTTCATAGTCATAACATCCGAATCGGCACCCGTCCGGTACCGTATTGTTCCTTGAGATGACGACCAAGATGAAGTTGAACTTGATTGCATCAGTTTGCCATCGACTCCACCAACAACGGATACTTACTTACAGAAGCTACATATTCACTTCGAGTTTGTCAGGCACTGGGCTGAGCGCTTATGTAGCAGCTCCATTAGCAAGTCCTCAGCTTAATGTTCGACCTTCATTGACTGGAAGCACTCAGAAGTAGTACTTAGTCCAGTTATAGCGGGTTACAGATTCTTTGATGGCCGTGGATTATGTGATCACATAAACAACGTGTTCCTCTACTTGTCCTCTACTCAACGCCAACGCACACAATGCTAGCCGCCCATAAAGGACACTGGGGTGCTCCAGACTCCCCCTGTCCCTGCTTCACATAATTTCTCTGATTTTTCCATTGTCCAACTGTCGCTCAGACGTAAATGGCGCCGCTCTTGCGCCATTCCACGCATGACCTACAGAGCCATATATAGCAGCCGCGACTTCAGACTACCTAGCCTCCCTCTTCACTCTTCATGTCGCAATTCCACAGGTGCTTTCTTTCGCCTCAGCCCGATCGCAACTGAGATTTCTTTGCAGAGAGCCAGAATTTGACACGCTCCAGCTTCACGCTGGACAGGTTGCTGCTTTCCAAGTTATCTCTGTGTTCGCGCTGATGGTCTTTCAGACCCCTGATAAAGCGACCAACGCTCGGGCTGTCCCGATCTATGCGACGACTAGCTTCACATTCAACGACACCGATGTAGGAGATCCGAGCTGCTGCCGATTTGCCGACTCGTGTTGATAATAAGCTGTAGCACGCTGCTGATTTGTTTGCGTTGCGTGCAGAAGGAAATGTCTACAGTCGAATTGGAAGTGCGTTTCTTTCGCTCTTTACTCAAGAATGATTTTTGAGCGTTTTGTAGATCCTACCGTTGTACTTTCCTTTCTCCTTGTCGTCCGCTTGTGTTCCCTGTTGATTCGTGGTAGGACGTTTTCGAAAAACGTATTGCTGCCCTTGAAGGTGGAAAAGCCGCAGTCGGAACCTCTTCTGGCCACGCTGCTCAGTTCTTGACAATTGCCGCTATCGCAAGGCCAGGGCATAATATCGTCGCTTCGTCAGTCTTTTTCTCGTCCAACTCCTGATCCTTGATGCTAATCGGTTCCAGTTCGTATCTATATGGGGGAGTAAGTTGTCTTTTGTCACTGCTTCCGGTTCTCAGTGTTTAAATCGCCAGAGTTTCAATCAATTCAAAGGTATTCTCCTTGTGCTTGCCTTCGTGAAAATTCACCAACTTGATCAAGTTACATTCCCTACTTTCGGAATCACGACCAAATGGGTGTCTTCTGTTGACCCTGCTGATTTTGAGGCCGCCATCGATGAGAACACGCGGGGAATCTTTGTCGAGAGTATCGCCAACCCCAAGTACTCGCTCAACAACATCCCCAAACTAGCTGAGATCGCCCATAAACATGGCATCCCACTCGTTGTTGACAACACCTTTGGCATGGCTGGTTACTTAATCAAGCCCATCTCACATGGCGCCGATATCGTCGTGCATAGCGCGACCAAGTGGATTGGCGGCCATGGAAACAGCATCGGTGGTGTTATCGTCGACGGTGGCAATTTCGACTGGGCAGCATCAGGCAAATTTCCTCATTTCACAGAGCCCGCTGAGGGGTATCACGGACTTAAATTCACGGAAACTTTTGGCACCCTGGCGTTCGCCGTCAAGGTTCGAGTCGAGGTATGTCCCAGTCACCCTTTTGATATTTCGAACGCTTCAAAATACCGAACAGCTTTTGCGTGATGTGGGCGCTTGTTTAAATCCCTTCCCCGCATTCCTCTTCCTTCAAGGTCTTGAAACGCTGAGTCTTCGTGGCCAGCGTCATTCTGACAACGCGCTTGCCCTTGCTCAACACCTCGAGAAGCATCCCAACGTCTCATGGGTCTCCTATCTTGGGCTTCCCTCTCATGCCTCCCACAATCTCACGACGACACTGCTCCGTAAGAATGTGTACGGAGGCATGCTAAATTTTGGCGTCAAGGGTACAGAAGCGCAGGCGAAGAGTGTGATTAACAACCTCAAGCTTGCGAGCCACTTAGTCAATGTCGGCGATGCCAAGACGCTGGTCGTCCATCCGGCGTCCACCACGCACTCGCAACTGACGGAGGAAGAGCAAGACAAAGCCGGCGTCAGCAAGGACTTGATTCGGGTGGGTCCAGGCCTTTTCTTTTATGTAAGGTTGGATTTGTTGATTGATGACACCCAGGTCTCGGTTGGTATCGAAGACATCGAGGATATCAAGGCAGACTTCGACGCTGCACTGCAGATTGTATTTGGTTGAACGAAAAATGTTTATATTCAAATTGTACAATCCTCCGAAGCAAATACCGACGAAAAAAGCAAGAGTAAAATGGGCACGAAGTATCATGGTCCGAAGGTCTGCGCAGCTTTGCGAATGTTTTCTATCGCCTGCTGCCCGTTGCTCAGAACAGCGGCCCCATCTGAGCCTGATACGCTCGCAATTTTTGTGACGACATCCTGTTTTCACCGTCAGCAATCAATATGGAAGCGAGTGTGCAAGGAGAACTGACGGGCAGTTGGCTGACAATGCCGCTGATGATGGTTCCAATCGTGCCCGAAGGTAAAGTGAGTCCACTGTTACCGAGGGCAGAAAGTTGCGACCCGAGGACACTTATTTGGTCAGATATGCGATTCATAAAGCTGGCAAGGTCGGGATATGTGCCAGAGCTCGGCTAGTCGCAATGAGTCGGCGGCACTGGCAAAGGGGAAGAAACGCACGATGCTTGAACTGGCTTGGCCAATTTGCGTACTCAGGTCTTTCAGTGCTGTTGTCAAAATAGTGCCGATTGAAGCGCTGTTTGGGCTTTGGCCGCTCAACGATTGGCCAACGACGGTGAGTAGGCCAGATAATAACCCGCTGATGTGGCCAAGCGAGTGCAGAGCTGCCAGGGGAGGAGTGGTGGAGATGGCTACGTTGGTATCCGCGTTGGTGTTCGGCGTCACACTGGCGTTGACCGCAACTACTGGGTCGGGGCTACTGCTGGGGACAGCGAGAGAGACGCCTTGGCTGGCGTGAAAGCCGAAAACTCGGTGCCATGAGCCTGGAGCTGGCGGACTGATGATCCTATAAGGTTGCGGCAAAGGCGACCCAGCAACGAAGATGGCTGTGTAAAGGGCCACGAGAAGCGACGCAAAGTTGGCACGCATTCCAAAGGACTTGACGAGTAGGGGTAGGGTCAGCGAGTCGCCGCCTTTTATTTTGAGCGGAAGAATGTTTCACGCCGGCCCCGCCCCAGCCGCGAGACTCATACATTCAGCGGGTGTCTTAGTCGCTTCATGGCGGATGTGCTTATTCGATGACAGATAGTCGACCCCCGGGTACAACATATTTATTCAAGGGCAAAAAGAAACATTGAGTCACGGCTGAACGAGTTTGATCTGGGCAATGCAGGTACTCAGAACACTATTGGCTGAAGCCCATGCATCAATGACAGTAGATTGGAGGGTACCAGCGTGAGGTGCAATACGCTCGAAAAATGTCTATTGAAAATTGAATATCAGGTGTCGCAATGAAAGTCATAAACGTACTTGTGAGGCCCCTTGCAGAGCCATGAGGCGAGGTAATAAGGATGTCAGATCCGTTTTTGTGGGTAGCACGCGGGTAAGCGCCGTTGTCTGGTCGCCGATGGCTTGAAGCTGGCGTGCAAAAGAAAGAGCACGCCCGCCGAGCTCGGTTGAATCATTCGCCAAGCTTTTCTGAGGGGAGAAAAAAACAATCAGAGTGGGACCGGGGAGTGATATAAAAGTACGCACAAGAGCACCAGAGTTTGCTGAGACAACACTTCTCAAGAGTGTCTGGAGTCGTTTATCCACCTTCTGGAGCTTCATATTGAACTGTTGCTTGCACCATGACTCGGAGTTCCTGTTAGGGGATGGCACAATGACATACTGAAGATAAATTTGAGCCGGTGCTACTGAAAGTCACAACCAGGCCATTTAACGAGTTGAACATTTTGTTAAGTGCGCGTAGTGTACGTGCTGCCTGCACCGTAAGCGTCGAAAAGACGGCAAGGGCCCGGCCGCCCGGGAGACATCGGGAGGAGTCGCAACTGACGCGATTGCGAGATCGCTATGTGGAGGCAACGGGATGCCAGTTGCTGTAACACCGCTAGGGAGCGCAGTTGGATCGCGTATGAGGCTCGGGTCAAAATTGTTTGCGAGCGATGATAGTCCAGCGAATTGAGACTGAGTCCCGTCGAGAGGGAGGGGGGAAGTCGAAGCTATGCTCAGAATGGCCAGGATGACGAGGGTGAGAGACAGCATTGGATGGGTGAAGACGGTCAAGCTTGATGGAGTCGGAGTTGTTGGTTAAATAACCAGAAGCGAGACATTCGCCCGTCTAGTGACAAGCTAGACCAAGACATTCAGTTGAGACCGTTTAGAGACAAGTATGATTGATCACGTGTAACACGTGTATATACAATGTAGATGTACAGTTTCTCAGTGAGCCAAGAGGTGTCAGATTCGTGAGATCCACCCACCCGCAATCAAACGTAAACCACCCCCCCCCCCAAATGCGGAAATCCCGTGACTTCATCACACTGTCGTGACTTGAGGCTAAGGTTGGAGCCTTGGAGGTTGGGCCAAGGTGGCGAGCCCATCAGCTTGACAGCAGCTTTTAGAGCTGTTGGAAGCTTAGTGCTTGACATCTGTGTTTATCTTGTGCTTAGGACCTGCTAGCGCAATTTTTCAGAGGCTTGTCACATTGTCACTGCCTAGAGATTGCACTACAAAGTGGCCTATATACATATTGTTCTTGCATGATCGCTAGTTTTTCTGCGGATTCTACCTTGATTTGGAGAAGGCAGTGCGTGATTCAATCAAAATGCCGTTTGATTGCGGGTGGGCAAATCGGCCAAATCTGACACCCCTTGCAGTGAGCTGTGCAATGGGCATGGCACAATCTGTCAAGTATTCTATTCCACTGTAACACTGTCCGTGACAACACAGGGAATGGCGAGGAAACAAATTGGTCAATTAGATTTATTCCGAAACTACATAAAGGACAGCTACAGACATTGCGAGTACCCTTAAAATCAAATGAGCAACGCGTCATGACAGGATAATGCCTACATTGATTTGAAAAGGTGCAGGTGCTTCCAGCGCAGACGGTGCATCCCGTAAATCCATCACCCCCACACTGACCAAGTTAGAACAACATTTGACATCAGAATATGAACGCACTTGTCCGTAAATGGGGGTAGTGCATCCCGTTCCACCTCCGTTGTTGGCCGTCGTGGTCGTAGTCGTGATCGTTGTAGTTCCACCGCCAGTTCCACCGCTAGCAGTACCAGGATTTGTCAGGGTTAAAACACCGGGACGATACGGCAAAAGTCCGTAGTCGCCTCCAGACGATGGAGAGCGTCCTTGGTACAACAATTGCAGATGGCACGGATCGACCTCCATAGTTTGGTCCGCATTGTCGCGCACAAGGTCGCCGTGACTGATATCGTTTGTCCAGCTAGCGCCGCTATTTGCCTTTCCGGCAAATGGAGCGCTTTCGCTTGTTTTATCGGCAGTCCAAGAGCCGCCGAGACTTGTCGCTGTGTAAGAGCGGAAGTAGCGTCCGTTGCCACCGATTGATTCGACCAGCATGAGCCATTTGGTTTGGCCTTTCAGCTTGTAGACCTGGACACCCTCGAAAAGGTCGTTACTTGAGCCGCTCATGACGGTGGTGAACGACGAGCCAAAACTGCCGGGGAAGTTGCCAATAGGCATGCTGGCACGGTAGATGCTGCCGTTGTCGCCCGCGAAGAAGAGATACATGTTGGAGCTATCGCCGATGAGAGTTTGGTCGATTGCGCCAGTGCTGCTGCTGGAAATTTTGCCTGTGAAGAGGGTATTGTCGCCCGACCAGCCGTTTGCGTTTGTGGGATTCGTCGAGGTACGGTAGGAGAAGGTTGCCGAGCCCCATTGATGCGCAAGAATCCAAATGTTTTTGGGGGCAAAGAGGAAGAGAGTTGGCGCTACTGCCGAGCCTGCAGTCATCTGCGTTTGAGTTGCCGACCCCATCTGACTCCAGTCGCTGAAGGTGCTGAAGCCCATCGAGCCCCACGTGGAGCCAGTGTCGTGATAGGTGGCATAAACCAGATGCTGGCCATTATACGGTGCATGGGTGAAATCCTTGAGCGAGGCCCAACCTGATTTGGGTGCTGCGAGCGCCGCAGTGGAGTTCCATTTGTAGCTGGACGGCAGAGCACAGGTTTGTGCAGTTACCACCGCAGCGGCGGCGAGAGCGACGAGCAAAGCTTGTATCATTGTGGTCCGTCGAGGTTTAGGTATTGTCCCATTTTATATGACCTGCTCGCAAACTGAGTTTTCCCGTAGTCTGCATCCGTCCTCGACCTGACCCCGTTGGGCTTGGCATTGGCGGGCCGGCTCGAGCTTTTGAAGACGTATGACTGTGCGGCCTTCAGCTTGGTTGGAGGGATACCTGCAATCGGAAGAGTGTCGGAGGAAATTGACCCTCAGGTGACAATTCTGATATTTGTCAGGATTAGCTCGGAACCTATGCGCCTACACCGCAGGTCCACCTTGGGTCCACCAAATATTTTTATGTGCCCTGTGAACCTGTAAAACGCTGTTCTGTAGTAATAACCCTCTTATTGTGGTCAATTTGAAGACAGCACCGCCCACCTAGATTGAGGGAGCATCATGCTGGTTGTGGCCGCCGAGAGAGGGTGGACTTGCGAGATCTAGCCGGAGAAGACGCGAAATACTGTCACGATGATATAACTTGGGCAAGGACAGTGTCGCATTTTGACGTATGCACTTCGGCCTGAGTAAACAATGAAGATTGTGAACCTTTCAAATGCCATGAAACCGTCTTCTTCTCGCAGACAACTGAGCGGCCTTGAAAGTGTGTTTTAGATACCGTGACGATACCGCACAGTTCAAGTCAAGCTTTTCGTATAGTTGGTAGTCGCGCACACTGGGTATCACGTGATGGTGCTTTTTTTTTTGTACCTGCATTTATATACTTACCGCAACAAGTACACTAACTACTAAGACGCGGTGGCATCCGTCTGGCCGCTCGGTAGGGTGTTGTGCCAGGTTTGGTTCCGGACTGGTTGAGGTGTAGCAAATGGCGGGGAGGGTGTGACGCGGTTTGGGCTGGGATGCAGTCCTGCGAGGTTGTTGGCGTCGAGCCATAGAGCATGGAGTATATAATGTTGTATGCGAGGGATACTTATCTAACACGCCAACAGAAAGTTGAGCCCGGGCCCTGGGGCAATGAGCTCAAGGATATGGCTCCAGTTTGAAGCTCTCAGGCTATTCTAGGCAGGCGACCTACAAGTTGGATTCTGTGATCAGATACAGAAAACCTTCAACTCCACAACCACAGCGTTAAATTCGTTCATCTGAAGACCAAAAAGAAGCACCAGAGGCAGACATGTGTATATGATGGACGACGTTTTACAATTTGTTCAGCAAACTTCTTGTTGCCTTCAGCTCGACAAGCTTAGCTGTGAAGTCTGCCAACGGCAACATTTCGGAACGGACTTTGGTTCCGACATCATCCCGGTTTCGAACATTGACGGACTGTGAATTCATCTCCTCCTCGCCAACAACTTCAAGAAACGTGAGCATCTTCGCTGCGGGAGGAGTGTTGAACTTACCTAGGATAAAGTTGTACTGTGCGACCTCAGCATTGAGGATCTTCTTCTTAAGCGTATCGGCTCCGTTATCCACGTCCACAAACAGTCCAGCCGCCTTGAGGTGCTCACTTACTTTTACAGCGTACTCTTTCTGTGAACCAAAGATTGAGCCTCCAGTATAGCAAAATGAAGTGTGCAACGAACGTAAGGCACCGCAACGGGTATCACCAGGGCTTGGCGAGGAGATAGCCAAAATGGCCATTTGCCAGCAAAGTGTTCGGTGATGATGGCAATAAATCGTTCTAAACTCCCCAAGATAGCACGATGAATCATGACCGGTCGGCTTTCCGGATTGTTGGAATCCTCTCCCCGGTATTTCAGGTCGAAACGGTCAGGAAGTTGGAAATCAAGCTGGATAGTAGCACATTGGAACGACCGTCGCAGACTGTCGCGAACACTGATGTCGATCTTGGGACCGTAGAATGCACCGTCGCCCGGATTGATTTCCCATCGACCTGGGTAAAACTTTTCCAGTGCTTGCTTGAGTTGCTGGAACCGCTCATTAGCTGGGTAACACAACACAAGACGAGGAAAACATTACATCTTCAGCAGAATTCCACGTTTCAATATTTCCCAAGTAGTTATCGGGACGTGTTGATAATTCAAGTTGGAAGTCAAGTCCAAACGTTCCATAGACGTGTTGCATGAAGTCGAATAAAGCAGAGATTTCGCTCTCCACTTGGCTCGGCATGCAGAACACGTGAGTGTCATCTTGCGCAAAACGACGAACACGCGTCAAGCCGGTCAGTGCGCCAGATGCTTCATTGCGATGAATGACACCAAACTCTGCCATTCGTATCGGCAATTCTCGGTAGCTGCGATCTCGCGAGCCAAAAATCAGACAGTGGCCGGGGCAATTCATTGGCTTCAGAGCCCATTGCTCCTTCTCCACACCGAGCACAAACATGTCGTCCTTGTAGTTCTGCCAGTGACCAGAAGTCTGCCAGAGCTTGCTATGGAACATATTCGGGGAAATGACTTCTTGATAATCGCGTTTGAAGTACTCCGAGCGCATAAACTCCAGAAGGGTGTTGTATATTCGCGTGCCATGTGGTAGGAAGAAACAGCTGCCCGGGGAAGCGTCGTTGAAGAAAAACAGCTCCTGATCTTTCCCAATGCGTCGATGATCGCGTTTTGCAGCCTCTTTGAGGAATTCCTGGTGGTCTTCCATTCGCTTTTTGTCGGGGAACGAGATACCATAGATTCGCTGTAGAGAGTCGTTGTTGGCGTCACCGAGGAAATAGGAAGATGAATTTTTGGTGACCATCATTGCTTTGATTCTTCCCGTGTGTGGAATGTGCGGGCCAACGCAGAGATCGATCATAGGACCACATCGATATACCGTCGTGGATGACCCGTCAGGAACTTTTGTCTGGATTAGGTATTGCTTGTACTTGTTGTACTACGAGAGGTCGTTAATCGGAACGGGCCCAAAGAGTGATAACCCACATTGAACATTTCCAGGAGCGTCTCCTTCTTCACCACAAGGCGCTCAAACTTTTGTTTGTCCTTGATGGCGCTGTCGCAGACCTTCTCAAGGTTGGCATAGTCTGCGGCTACAACCGGACGCTCTTGGATGCCCATTTCATAGAAGAATCCCTCTTCTGTGGGAGGGCCGAGACAAAGATGGCAGCCGTAGTGACGTTCAGCAGCTTCGCCGAGAACATGGGCCGACGAGTGCCAGAAAACCTTGCGGCCTGGCAGAATATTATTGACCGAAGACACCAAAGTAAAGAGCAAGCACCTTCTGGGTCGTCAAAATCGAGTAGCTCGAGTTTACAAGACCCTTCCAGTGGTCTCTCCAGATCCCACAGTTCCCCATCCACCTACAAAACAGAAATAAGTTTGAGACTGGGACAGGCTATAGGACGCACCTTGGCGATGACGACACGTTCAGAGAGACTCTTTGCGATCTCTTTTGCGATGTTCATGGGACTGGTTTCCCAACTTGTCCCCTTACGCTGAGAACCATCTAGCATGGTGATCACAATCTCTTCTCGGGGCTGAGCTAGACGGCTTGAGTTCAATGTATAGATATGGGATAGACAGACCTTGAACAAATTCGTCGTACTCCGCTTTGAGCTTGTCAAAAAGTTGTATGCGGTGTTGGAAGAAATCTGGTGGTGGTTGTAGCTAGGATCGGAGTTGAATAGCATGTTTGGAAGGGAGTTCAAGACATACCTCAGCTGGGTATGGAGAGGTTGCATCGGAAGCCTTCGCTTTGGCCTTCTTCTCTGGTTTAGATTGAGGAGCAGCAGTCGAAGAGACAGGCGTCGCCATTGTTCTAATCGAACCTAGGCGGAAAGGAGAGTATTGGATTGTTAGCCTGGGTCTAAAGCGATAAGGCTGATGAGCAAGTGACTGGATCTGCCTGAGGAGGAAATTGCGGCCCAGCATAAATTTCCTTTGAACGTGACTCGATTGATTGATGCTTGCATAATCCTCAAATGGGTCATGATCAAGCAGACGTAGGCCAAGACGTAGGCTCGAGCCTTCAGCAAGCTTTTAGTGGTTGTTGTTCTTATTATTGGCGGATCGACTTATTTGCTTTCAAATACCTATGAAAAAAAACACATGTGCAATGGGTTGAATGAAGAGTACATGGACTAAGTATGTAGTTGTACTGCTCTGACACATCTACAGGCCAAGTCACCTTGCTTTGGTACACTCTGAGTCTATGTGTAGACTGTGCAGACGCTTGACAAGAATCAGTTTTTTTTCAACGACGATTAACGACGATACACACACCTAAAAAAATTGCAACCAACCGACACACAACAGGCATCTCAAAGAGATGAAAGAAGCCAAAAATTATGCCTCTGCCACAGACAAAGAGTAGTCTGAATCGAGTTTCGCATGGCTTTTTCGAAGAAAAAACGACAGTATGCGAGCCGCGAAGTGCACTCAAGCGCAATTCTCTCCCTCTGGCAGAGCCAAAGGAGAGGAGAGTACGCAGTCGCCACGAGGATTCCAAACCAACGTCCAGATCGATGGAGCGCAGATGGTGAATTTCTTGTACCCGTTGCCTCTATGACGAGGCGGCCCCCGCTAGAGCCGATCGAGGGCGACTTGAATTCTCAGACCTTAGCCCGCTCGTGAAAGGAGACTACGAAGAGTCTTGTACGGAACGAGCATCGCGGCTTTGAGTCTGTGGCAGGAGGCAAGAAAAAAAGTTGCACGTGCATCGCTGTCATTGATCTCGTTGCCACTGAACTGTGGAAGCATCTTCTTTCTCCTTCGCCCAGTTTATGGCCTTTCACGGACACAGTTCATCTGCTGTCCATATTCCAGCTTCTCCGCGCTCATTGGAACCTTCTTCCACTCGTAAAAGGAATAGTTGGGGCCCTTCCGATGACCCATTCGAGATAACTTACGACCCCTCGCCATCACTGGCATCCATTCGCTATGGAACACCTCCAGCAGACGACGCTCTGTCATCACTTGCTGGACCCTCCTCTACTGTCTCCCTCTACGGTGATGATGACGAGGCGCGCCTTACCTCACGAAACGACGACCCAAGTCCGACGAGACAACGGACAGTGCGCTATAGCACATCACCTTCACCACTCAAGAAGACTGGTACCGCAATCAAGCATGTCTCCCAGAACATCCGCAGAATGTCAGTCCGGGTAGCAAATGTAGCTTCCCTAGGTCTTGAGCGGTTACCCGACGACAAGACAGACGATGAAGACAGTATACCGGATACCTCCCAATCTCTCCCCCTTCGTGGTCGTACCCTCGGATTCTTGGGCCCAACCAACCCCTTGCGACTCGCATGTTTCAACTTCCTTGTTTATCCATGGACCGAGCTGGCCATTCTCTTTCTCATCGTTGCCAACGCCGTCATTCTTACAATTCAAGCCTCCCGCACTCTCGTTCTATCTGACCCTCCATTAATCATCAAAGGCTATTTTCATCAATGGGAAGACTACGCTCTGTTCGTATTATTCGTCATCTTCACAATCGAGGCTTGTGCTCGTATATGCGTCTCTGGGCTCCTGTTCGACCCCGAATCAACTTCATCGTTTGCTCTCAGGACTTCCCTTTCCCTTGCTACGTCTGAAAAGACTTTCGCACACTCTGATTCCAAACCAGAAACCATCTCGCTCCCTTTCCGTCTCAGTGTCAAAGATGCTGCGGACCGTACGCGTCGAAACTCCCCTTATCTTCGCCATAGCTGGTCCCGTATTGACGCCATTGCTATAGTCGCCTTTTGGACCACATTCCTACTTGCTACATTCGGTGTCGAGAATAATGAACATCACATCCGCATCTTTCGTGCCCTTTCCGCCCTACGAGCGGCTAGGTTGCTTACTGCCACATCCGGTACCACCGCCATCCTCCATTCTCTGAAAACCGCCAGACCACTTCTAGCCAGTGTTGCCTACTTCGTCGTCTTTGCCATGGTTGTCTTCAGCATTATTGGTATACAGACATTCAAGGGCTCTCTGCGGCGCACTTGCGTGTTGGACGCAACTCTCGGCGAACCTGACACTGAATTAAGCAGTCAGTTTTGTGGTGGTTGGATTGACCCAGTCTCATTGAATCAGACGGGATATGTAACACTAACCGGCGCAATCTCGCCTGATATGAAGGGCTACATATGCCCTCTAGGTCAGACGTGTCGTGAATCGGAGACGAATCCGAACAAGGACACGGAAAGTTTCGACACCATATACTACTCTGCTTTGCAAATTGTAATCGTTGCATCAACCAATGGGGTATTTCACTGTTCTTCTGTTGTTAATCTGCTCTAACTTGAAATTGTAGTGGACGACTCTCATGTACAACATCATCGACTCTGAATACTTCATCTCTTCCGTGTTTTTCATTCTCTGCGTCATTGTGCTTAACTTCTGGCTCATCAACCTCTTCGTTGCTGTCATCACGAACACGTTCTCTGCTATCCGTTCTGAAACGAAGAAAAGCGCGTTCGGAGCTACCAATCTGACTGCCCCTGCTCCCGATGTCGATACTGATGATGGATGGATGGTTCAAGGTCGACCCTCGCCACACCATAAAAATATCGCTGCTCTCATTGTCGCATGGACTCGGTGGTTATTCGTGCTACTTGCCCTTGCCTCGCTTGCCCTGCAGGCCACACGTACACCTGAAATTACGCCCAGGCAAGAGTCCATCCTGTACCATGCCGAGCTTGGGATCACCATTTTATTCGATCTGGAAATCGTCCTCCGTTTCTTCGCTGCACTCCCTGATTGGCGGGGATTTGTCGGTTTGACAACCATGAGCAGGGGCATCATGGCTGGGAAAGAGGGTCAAGGAAGACGCCCAACTCATCTGCATAGTCCTGCACAGAACTGGCTAGATTTAGTACTCGCCGTTGGCTCGAGTGTTATTCAAATTCCCTTTATCCAGAGCTCAGCAGTTTATCCGTGGTTCACAATCCTGCAGCTCATGCGATTTTACCGCGTTATCTTGGTCGTACCTCGTATGAAACCTCTTTTGGTACGTACCCCCTTTTTTTTGGTCGTCGCAAGCATTGACTCTGTTATAAGCTTGCTGTTTTCGGCAACATGTATGGTCTCATCAACATGACTTTGTTTCTCATTCTCGTCAATTTTATTGCTGCTCTCGTTTCCGTACAGCTTGTACGTGGAGACATGCCTGCGGATACAACCAAGAATTTTGGAACTATCTTCAACGCGTTTCTCGCCGTTTATCAAGTCTTTTCATCAGAAAACTGGACGAATATCCTGTACGATACTGCGAATGCGGAAGCGGGGTTTGGGCAGAGTGCTATCATTGTGATCTTTGTTGCTGGCTGGATGCTATTCGCAAACTGTAGGTTTTCACTTGACGACGCCATCTGTGCTCACCCGATCACATGATCAGTTATCGTTCTACAAATGTTTATCGCTGTGATCAACGAAAATTTCGAGGTTGCGGAGGCCGCAAAAAGAGACAAACAGGCCAGTAACTACTGGTCAGCTCTGATACTCACCCTTTCGTTCTTACCGACCTGATACCAGGGAAGAAGCTCATCGTCCCACCGCCGGCGACTTAAGCTGGTTTCGAAAGCTTAATCCATACCGCTGGATCCGGGCAAGCCCAGTCGAAGTCAAAGTCGAGGGTTTACCGTCAAATCTCGTGTTGCCAATGCAAAAAAGCTTGGTGGAAGATTATCGAGTCCCTCAGCACGACAGCAGTACAGTATTGGCATCGGAGGTATGTCTCTCCAGTTCAGAAATCACTTGAGCTGACGGTCCTTTGCAGACCAAAACCGGTCGTTCTGGACCAAGACACTACTCTAACAAATCGTTGACTGCATTGCAAAGACTTTTTGCTGGAGATGCAAAGAACGACATTCCTTTGGCTACTCTAAGGCACGCGCGCACGGAGAGCAGTGGTGATGCGCATGATGAGGAAACGGAAAGGCACCTGTGGGCTTGTCGATGACAGTGTTGATACAAACCTGACGATTTTCAGCGAACTTCTTGCTACTGTTCGGAATGAGGCGTCTACAACGAATGAGGAGCTCAATGACGTCCTGTACGAACGTCGAGCCCAGAAAGCTGATTTCATTCGGGATCATCCGTCCTACGACAAAACCTTCTGGGTTTTCTCTCAAAAGAACATTCTGCGAAAAATGTGTCAAAAGCTTGTGCAGCCCGCCGGAGGAGCCCGTATCTTTGGAACTCCCCAGTCTCCTGTTTTGTACCCGCTCTTCCAAACGACACTCTTGTTCATCGTCATTGGCGGCATTGTCGTTGAATCTATCGCCAATCCAGTCTACCGCCGTAACTACTTCCTCAAGCATGGCCTTGTGCGCGGAGCATGGTTTGACATTGCGGAGTCTGCCTTTGGGCTGGTGTTTTTCGTCGAGTTCCTCGTCAAAGTCATCGCTGACGGGTTTCTCTTCACACCCAATGCTTATGTTCGGAGCATCTGGAATCTGTTGGACTTCGTCATCATGGCTGGACTGCTTGTTAACGTTACAACCGGACTCATATTTGCTGGTGGACTCAGTCGACTGACTAGATCTCTCAAAGCTCTGCGGGCGCTCCGCTTGATCACGCTTATCGAGAAGATGCGAACGACTTTTGAGTCACTGCTCATTTCTGGTGCACTGCGTATTCTCGATGCTGGGGTTCTTGCAATCTTGTACATGATTCCCTATGCGGTTTGGGGACTAAATATCTTCAACGGCAAGATGAACAAGTGCAACGATTCAAGTGTCAATGGCGCAACAACATGTCTCAACGAATATACTACCTCAGTCATAGGAGACAGCGGGGCATTTGGCTTTGTGGTTCCGCGCGTCTGGGACAATCCAGCCCCCCTCAACCGTCTTCTCGTTCGATTCCTTCCACTCATCTCTGCTCATCCTCTTCGAGATTGTGTCCCTTGAGGGCTGGACAGACGTCATGGACATCGCGACCAGCATTACAGGCATAAACCAGCAACCACAGACGAATAATGCCCAGATCAACTCGATCTTCTTTCTCATTTACAATCTCCTCGGTGCAGTTGTCATTTTGACGCTGTTCGTCAGGTAACTACAGTCGATTTTTGCCTCATGCAGAGCTTACGAGGATACTGGCAGTATAATCATCGGCAACTTCAGTTCCAAGACCGGCACCGCCTTCCTAACAGCCCCGCAACGCGAATGGATCGATCTTCAGAAACTATTCAAGCGCCAACGGCCATCCAAACGACCACGACTTCGACCCGTATGGGCTGCGCGTGCTTGGTGTTACGATCGTGCAGTAAACAAAAATGGCTGGTGGGCTAAAGGGATGTCTATCATTTTCCTCTTGCACATCATCACCCTCATGTGCGTGTTACTACATCTCTTGCTCTCATCTCCAATACGGTCATTCCAGGTCCCAAACCTTCTCTACGCAGCATGTTATCGACCAACTCCGAAGTATTTTCCTTTCTATGTGACCGTTCCTTTCTCTGAGCATCCGTTAGACGATCTCTTTCTTGCCAGTACCTCAATATACATCATCGACGTCCTCGTTCGCTTGTTCGGTCTTGGCTGGCGAAGCTTCCGAGCAAATGGTTGGAACGTCTTTGATATCCTTATTGCTGGTGGCAGTTTCGTCACAACCCTCATCGTCCGGTTTGGCACAATTGGCTTCGCAGTTCAACAACTCCAAAAACTCTTCCTTGTCTGCATCGCCTTTAAACTCGTTGAGCGCACCAATAGCCTCAATAAACTGTTCAAGACCGCAGTGTAAGGTGCTACCATCTGCTCTCCGTTCGATGTTGACTTGGATTGCAGGGCGAGCTTGCCTACCATACTAAGCTTGTTGGGTCTATGGTTTATCCTATTTTTATTCTTTTCTATCCTATTCCTTGAAGTCTTTTCGTTGACAAAATGGGGCTCCGGCGAAAACCGAAGTCAGAACTTTACTACGATGAGTTCTACGCTCGTTATGCTCACATTCTTTACTACTGGGTATGTTATATCTCATTCAGTTTCCCTCCCACTCATCATGGTTCAGCGAGGCCTGGAATCAGTACATGCATGACTAGTCAGTGATCACGACCATCTCTTTTAGCTTGCTAACCTATTCTCTAGTGCATTGGATTATCCTCGGTGTACCAATGTCAACCAGGCTGACAATTCAGACTGTGGTAGCCCCGGATGGGCTTTCACTCTCTTTATAGCATGGAATCTCCTGAGCATGGTACCTGATTCACACATTACCTTTTGTGCTCTGCTTGACTCTTGTTCAGTATATTTTCGTCAACATGTTCACCGGTGTAGTCGTCGAGAACTTCTCCTACGTCTTCCAGGCGTCTGATGCTTCAAAATCTATCACGCGAGTGCAAATGAGGTCATTCAAGAAAGTCTGGGCCGAATTCGCCAATCCTAAAACTGGCTACCTTGAGCGCAGCCAATTTGTTCCATTCTTTGCGGTGTGTATTTTTTTCCAAGACCGAATTCTGTTCATACCATCGTAGAAATTGAGCGGCATCTTTGAATCCCGAATATACCCCGTTGATTATAGCATACCCAATATCCAAGCTCGCTGCAAGCCTTCCTCGGACTCGGTCTACGCGCCGCATAGCCGAGTTGTCGATGGCATCGACCTCAACAGACTAGAGAAGGTGCTCGGAGAGATCGATTACTCCGCGATTAGGAAACGTAGAGCAGTCTACTGCCGACTTTATCACGAAGCAAGCATCTCACATCAACATGGTCGTGGAATATCATTCACGGACATGCTATTCCTGCTTGCTCACCACAAACTCATTGTCGATCACGAAGCCTTGGTGCTGAAGGACCTGGTTATCAGGACGGAGACAAACAAGTTGGTCACAGATCTTGTTAATCTGGACCGCGTTCGGTCGCTCCTCAGGACCATCTCCCATCGGCGCCGCTTTCTCAAAGCGAAGCAGGAACGGTTGCTATCCTCTGAACCGGATATTCCTGCCATCGTCGTTGATGTGATGCCAGCGACTCCCCCGAATACCACCCGCGACATCTCTTCAGGATTATATTCGACTCCAAGTAGTCCAACCCCACAAAGATTCTTCACACCAGACATATCACTATCTTCGACGACACCCCGTCTCCAGCGAAGCAGTCGCCGAGGCAGTGACGTCAGCGTTCTTTCAAGCAGCGACCTCGGTCACAGATCACGGGATTCATCCATGTCTCTGGATGACCCACAACAGATTCTCCAAGCGATGGAGAACTCAGTATGGGGAGACTTAATGATGGAAGCGGAAGAAGAAGAGCGAAGATAACATTTGTGGTAGGCTGAAATACTTTTTTTATAGTCAGTTAATCATAGACTATGCACTTTGTACAATAGCACATTCGCATTAAACCACTCTGCATCGTTTACGGTCGACCACCTCGCCGCGGACGCCAGACACCAGGTTTGGATACTGTTTGGAATCCTTCTTCATCCTTGGGTGGTTCTTCCTTGGTCGATGTCACAGGAGGAGGAGGATTGGCAGCGGAGGCCTGTTCTTTCGCTGCTGCACGTTCTCGCCAACCACCACCACCACCACCACCACTCGCTGGTGCACCGCCACGGAAAGCGCCTGGCACATACTTTCCGGGTGCAGGACTTGGGCTTTCTGCGCGGGGTGGAGTGCCACTTCCAGCAAGAGCTTGAGTACGTGTCGGGGTCGCAGGAGTTGATGAATTCGGTGTCGTCTGTGCCGCGGACCTCCGCCATACACTTCCAGGCTCAGTTCCAGCGCCCGAAGACGAAGGACGAGAGCTGGATGTAGGAAATATGGGTTTGCGGACAGCAGGAGCACTCTTATCCGAAGCACGTGCCTTTGCACGTGCCTCAGCTTCATCTTCGCGAAGTTGCTGTTGCCTGGCCCGTTCCATAGTTTCAGCCCGTTCGGCATCACGCGCCTTGCGTTGAGCCGCAGCTTTCTCTTCTGCGATACGTTTTTCCTCCTCTGCCAGCGCAACAGCCGCTTCCGCCTCGACTCGTTTCCTTTCCTCTTCAGCAAGCCTTTCTATAATAAAAGTCAATAAAGGTGAGGGGACAAAACAATGATAAAAGAACGAACCTTGCTCCTTTCTGTGCTGCTCCGCCAGCCGTTCCTCCTCCTTTTGCTTCAACTCAAGGGCTACACGCATCTCCTCCTCCCGTTTAGCCAGCACCACTCTGCGTCGCTTGGCTTTTTCATCTTCGATTTTGCGCGTTGCAGCCTCTTTGCGCTTGGCATACTCCTCGCCACGCCTCGATATTATGGCCGCCCGACGCGAGTTATACTCAGTAAGCATACGACTCAAACGTGTCTTGGTCTCCAGGTCTTCTCGATGGGCAGCTTGAGACGATTCAAATCTTGATTCCTGAACGAGGGCAAATGTCTGCCTGTCCGTTTCTTGTTGTCTCGCATAATCTTCCCCAATTAGCGGTCGTTCGTCTTTGCGATAGGCACGCTCTAGATGATCGATGCGTTTGGAGACACCACGTAGCCTTTCAGACATCTCCCGTTTCTCTTTCTCCAATTGTGCAACCTGCATTCCAATCAGACCTTCCGTGTCGAGCGCCGCGGCGGCTGTGTCGTTGGCTTTGAGAATTCCTTTCTTCACTAGCGTTGTCATGTACCGCTCAGCCTCGTTGGCTTTAACTTCAGCTTGTATCTTTTGGACCCTTTCTAGGTCGCGACGCCTAGCTTCCTCGCGCAACCGTTTGGCCTCATCCTCCTTTTCACGTCGAGTAGATTCCGCCCTACGAAGAGCTTCCTCTTTTTCACGACGTACGGTCAGTTCGGAAAGAAGTTCTCGTCGCCTGGCAACGAGTGAACGTCTTAGTGCGAGTGCCTTGCGTTCTGTTTGAACTCCTTGAAGCAAGACTTTGAATCGAGCTTGCTCTTCCTCCTCTGACGATGGAGTCGAAGGAGGTGGCTCAAGAGCTTGAAGAGCATTGTGAAGACATGTTGCAACGCGACTTAGACGGGTTCGAACTACTTCAGATACTCGCGGTTGGACGACAGACTCGAGAATATCTGTGTCGTTAGAGGTTGATGAGGCATTGCCGTCGTCGTCGTAGCCGAGAGCATCAGCAAAGGGTTCGTCGACAAATGCGATGCTTCCGTCAGCATGGTCAACCCGGACTCGCAATTCGCCACGGCGAGCACAACCCATAATATAGCTTTCGACCTGCTCAGGATCAAAGACCGAAATCGGTTTGTCGATTTGCTCGCTGTCACCGGCGCGGAGGGGAGCAACGAGCTCCATGACATAAGCAATGCGGACAGATGCATAGACTTGTGCCAGCTGAGAGAGTAAACGACTGAGAACGGCTCGCTGTAGAAGAGGGAGATATGGTGCGTAATCAGCGCTGGTAGCCAACGCAGAAAACAAGGGAGCCACGTCGGCGCAAAGTGTGAGAGGGTCGAATGTGACTTCAAGAACATCGTACAACTTTCGGATTGAATCTGGTGCGTGCTTAAGGGCGTCACGTGCCAATGCATCCTGTATAAGCCCGGCTCGGGTAGGTGGCTTCGAAAGACCGAGAAGGGCAGTGAGGCGAGCTTGGCCAGGTTCTGCGGTCGAAAGTCCTACTGGAACTGCTAGTGCACTGACAAGCACCTGACCAGCGAGGCGTGCAATATCATCACCAGTCTTTGATGCTGGAGGGACATGAACAGCGTTATAACGGCCCCAAGCCGCAGCGTGATAAAGCGCATTGCCAGACATTAAAAAGATTTTCGTGAGCTTTTCATAGTAATTGGCCATCATGGCTGGACGAGGCGCTTTCTTCGCCATCGTCAACAAGTTGTGGACATCCTCGACTGATCGGAATGCCTCTTGCCATAGCTCAAGTTCGACGGATGTATTGAGTTGAGCAAAACGGGTGTCGAGATGATGTTGGAGGGTTTCTGGGTCAGAGAGATTGATAGAGTGAGGCTGGTGTGAATATTTTGCGACGTTGGAAAGGTGAAGGCGGAGGGTTTCACAGAGACGACGGAATTCGACTTTGCGTTGATGTTTGAGACAAAATTTGAAAGCTTGTTGGGCGATAGTCTATGCTTTGTTAGTATGTGAGAGAAAGTGGAAGAACTACGCACTTGGTAAATATGTTCCAGCCGAGCATTGTTTTTGAGGGTTTCAAGGGATGTGCGGTAACTTTCCCATAGGAATTTGAGCCAGGGAGTGACCAGGGCGCGGTCGGTACGGTCTTTGCTCTGATCTCCACTAACGGCGCCAAGTAAGATACTCTCCGGTGTCTCGCTGGCCTCCAGATCGTCGACGTCCACCGCAACCTTCACTGCTGCCTTCTCCTGCGCCTCTTTGACTTTCTGGTCAGCGAGTTGGACGAAACGAGTGATGACTGCCTCAATAGATTGAACGCTGGTATTTTGAGCAATATTCTTATATTGCATGAGCCCCTCCTTGGCTGTCCGTCCTTTCCGTGTCTCTACGCAGAGCTCGATGAAGCGATGCATTATTGGCTCCAGACTTGCAAGTGGGGTCGACCGGAAGCGTTTGGAAGAGAACATCTCGGTGAGGGATTGTATGGCCGCATGGGTTTGCCCAACGGAAACCAGGCCTTCAGCCTGCTTGAGCACCGTCTCAGGCTTGGAGAATGGAGCCATGATGGCTGCAAAAACTGGGAAATGTCACGTGCCATCATCGTCCTAGTCAATTCAATCGCTTCCAAGTCCAAAGTTGCCTGATAAATCATTCGACGCTAAAACGGCCACGATTGAACGCGATCATCAAGCCCGCTCGCTTTCTAATTCTGTTGAATCTACCTGAGACAGATTGTACACTCTTCAACCAACACAAGATGCTATTCAAGACGCTGCACAACGACAGTCCCTCCTAGCTTCGCTCCCTCTGGACCAACGGGCGTTGCATCGTCGAGTTGAGTTGTTGGGAACGTTGTTTGGAGAACATAAGCACCAGTCGAAGGATTCGCGCTGCAAATGAACTCAGTTTCAATCATGGATATATGAGAGGGGGATGGACCTGTCGATGAGAGCGCGCAGATCAGCCACAGTATGGGTCACGTTGAGGCGAGCGAGGAAGCTTCAGGCAAATGAGACAAGGGACAACAAGATCAGTACTGGTAATACCGGTTTCCATTCGCTAGTCGGACTTGAATTTGAGTGGTTGGTTGGGTGTCGTCAATGGTGGGTGGTTTTGCGGTAGTTGTTGGTATGGTTGATGTGGCCTGTGACACTGAAGCAGCTTCGCCTGGGATTGGTGCACCGAGACGAATACCGCCTGACCAGCTTGTGCGAGGAGCGACGTACTCTTCATTGGTTCTTCTTGCTACGACAATGTTGACACGTTGGCCGACTTGTATGTTCAAAAGACTTGGCAAGGCGACACTATAATGCTGATTAAACATGCTGGCAGTCGCTGCGTGGGTCGTTACCCTTGATGTAGCATGGATAGAAGTTGTGCATTTTGCGGGTCGTCGTAGCGCAAAAGAGGGCCATCTTCAACAGAGAAACCATCACGCCAGAAAGTGAGATGTCGTAATATTGGCTGGTCTTCTGTGGCATTAGGATCGGGAATAAATTGGCTCTCAACCTCATCGGATCCAAGTGTGTGGCCGCCGCCAGAGAATATCGTGCTACGCTCTTCAGCATTTGCAACTGCCGGACCAGTCCTAAGGCAGGCAAGTTAATGAAACAAGATTAGGAAGTATGGGGGCTCACTCTTCCGCCCTACGTATTAAATCGCGAACCATTTGTCCCCCAGGTATATTATCGCGCCTGGCGGACTCCGGATTCTGTATGCTGATCCCACTTCGTTCACCTCCAGCAAACCACTGCTCTCCGCCCTTGTCATCTTCTCGCTCCTCATCATCTGACTCATCCTCACTAGAAGAAAGAGCACGCGATAGGGAGTTGGGAGGAGCTGGAAGGCTGCTGGAAGCAGGTCCGCGACGAACATTAGTGTTACTCCAAGCACCGATTCGGCCAACGCGTGGTTGGCTTGTTGCAGGGCGAGCCCAGGTTTCTGGAAGGGGTTCAACAGCATTTCCTCCAAGAGAACGCCCTCCTCCGCTGGGCACGGTGTTATCGTCGGCCATGGTGGTATGCGTCAAAGTGAATTGATGATGTAATCTAAACTAAACACCTCCTTTCAAGTTCTTCCATTTCTGTTCAATCGTCAAATTCGGAAATCGTCAAAGCCTACTGGGATACTTTATGTAAAAGTGCACTCACCTCCGAGGCATGGTTGATTATAATTAACCATTGGTCGTTGGCACGCCTCAAACACGAGTGAGGCCAATAATATCTCTCAGGGTGTCAACCTCTCAGCTCTCTCCCTCAAGTATGACCGACTCGGATTCAATCCGTGCCTCGATTTACGATGCTTTCCTTGAACTTGGTGCTTTGGATCCTAATAATCGAGTCGCTACCTGGTTCTTTGGTGATCCCACGTCCTCTTTGACTAGTATTCACGATGCTACTGCTGTGCAGCAAGCTACCCGTTTCGCACCACCAAACAACATAGAAAACAACAATTCATCTCGCCAGTCGAGACCCTCGCGTTCGCTGTGGTTCTCCCCCAAGCTTATCAGGTCACGCTCCATAAGCCGGACGGAAGAGCAAGGGGATCCTTGGTCTCCACCCAAGATGAAAATCCCCGCCATGTTCACTTCACGGTTGACGAAAAGCGCTCGAGAAGGCAAGTCATTGCCTGCTCTTCCGCCTATTGAGAGGAAGCGCTGCGTAACCAAGACATCACGAGCCAGGTCGTTATTCCGGAAGCGAAATAAACTTCCTTCATCGGGAACTGAGGTCGAAATGTCTACGGATAGTCTGATCCAGTGGCAGCAGATTGCCAATATCATTCCCCGCCATTACAATCCTTCTGCTGAGAATGGGACAGCAGCTGTTTCTCCTGTCCCGTCGCCGCCTGCTCGTCATCCATCCATGACGGTTGAATCGACGGATACATTACCAGGACGACATGTTCAGCGACCGCCCTTTGCGTTACCTCGGTCTGTTTTCCGTTCTTTAACGCTCAATAAACATGGGACATCACCTAAACCTTCAAGTTCGCGTTTCAAAAAAAGACCACATTCTCTCGATTTAAACTCATCAACAACAGCGAAACGGCTCGCTGCCTCCCTTCCAGCTTCGCCATTCGTTCTCGTGACTGATACGGCAGAGCCTTCAACACCTGCCGGGTTTTCTGGGACACCATTTGTTTTCATCACACCCATCGATAACCCTACCCCACTGCATTCTGCGACAATGAAGAGATTTTCTGATGTCACGTCGATGACTGCGCCATTGGGCATTTACCCAGTTTCTATTTCGCGTCCCATCCGGCACAGTATTGCCTACGACACTCTCGCTCTGGACGTTCCCGCTTCGCCTCCTCCTCGCCTGCGTCCCAGCAGCTCCTATTCTTCTTTTCAAGATGCATTGGCGCAAGCTGCCAGTGCCGCATCACCATACGAACTATATGAGGATCATGTACCCCAAATTAGGAGGGGGATTGAGGCGCCTTTTCCAACACATCCCATCTTACCTCAACCGCTATCCACCATCCACTCGCGAGAACAGAGACTCGCAACAATCAGGCGTTATCAAGAATTTTCAGAGCAATTAGTAGAGGTGATACCTTATAAACGCTTTGCACAAGACTTGTCCAGTGTCGAGTAACTTGTATGTTGTAGCTAACGAAGAGCGCCGGTCGTCAATTTGCCCATTGAACCCGATTAGATAAGATACTGTGAGACTCGGAATTATCCTGATGGAAGCCACGTGCGCGAAGGACCTGCGCGTCTCCTCCATGGCCAGCGATGAAGTGTGCACACCGGTAAGATGGTCGACCCTCCCTCTTGCATCGTTAAATCCGTTTAGAAACACGACTGGTTCACGGCAATGCTGACGCTTTGTCTCTGCCTTGGTCTTGTCGTTTCATATCTCCCCCAACACTTAAGGATCATTCGGAATGGGACGTCAGAAGGGTTGAGCGCTTGGTTTCTGCTGCTAGGGAGTACCAGCTCTGCAGCAGGATTTCTCAATATGTATGTAGCGCTCTTGCCAGCCTTTCTTGCTGAATTGAACTCATAGGATCACGGTCCAACACACTCAAATACGTTGTTGCACGGTTGTCGTAGGCAGTTGTCTACTACCTATACTCTAGTTTTAACTTTCCCCTATTCCAGTCGCTAGCAGCATGTGTTGAATCGACAGCTGGCATTGTTCAAGTTGGTTTGCAATGGGCCATGTTCTCTTTCATGTGCGCTTCATCATGCGTTTTCTTTCTGGGCTAATTCTCGCCTAGATTCGTTCTCTACATGATATATTTTCCTCCCCATCTTAAGCTTGCGCAGTCTTCGGAGATTCCAACGCCACAAAGAGGCAAGAATTTGCCCAGCCGCTCGAAACTATGGGCCCACAGCATCCTCCTTGCAAATATTACTATTGCTCATTTGTATGTGTCACTCGTTACCTGAAACAGTACATTAAATCTGGCTTGACAGTGTCATCTCCGCCGTATTGACATTATACCTCATTTTCGCGTCCCCCTCTCCACTCAATTCACCGGCACCTCCATCCCCATACCCAGACCCGTCATTTCCTGACCCAGACTCGTCCACACTACCTCTTCCTCTCGCCAGATGGGCTTTGTACCTCGGGGTCTCGTCTGCGTCCCTTGCAGTCATTCAATACATCCCCCAAATCGCGTATACCTGGCAAGCAAGGCTTGTAGGTGCACTCAGTATTCCAATGATGTGCGTACAAAGCCCAGGGGCAGTCGCCATGGTGCTCAGCATCGCGTTGCGGTATTGTCTTCATTTCTCTTTAGTTCGATTCTGTACTGACCATCGGTAGTCCAGGAACGAATTGGACAAGTAACAACTCCCCTATGTCTTATCTTTTTTTGACTCAGGATTTCTAGGTTGGATTACATTCGCTGTCGCTGGCCTGATGCAGTTTACTTTGCTTTCGATCTGCATCGCCTGGAAATTGCGCCAAAGACGATTATGCATCGACGACTTTGGTCAACCACTCAGTGGAAATGACCCGTCGTCAATCTCCGCGACTTCAGTTCCCGAACCTCAAGATGGTATCAGCATAGAGGAAGAGATTGTACCTGGGCTCGTTGTGGGTGAAGAGGAGAACGTCACTGCCGTACGGAAGGCGTTGGAAAATGCTTTGGGCGAAGCTGTGGCAGGTGATGTGAGAGAGGGCACGGAAGTAAGCGAAACTACCCCACTACTCAGTGAGGGCCGTGAGGCGTCTGGAAGCACGAGATCTGCTTGGTGGTGACAATGAATATTCACACTGCAGTACGACCGGTAATAATGTAGTAACAATAAGCTAATGATACATGAGTCCAACGAGGTGTTCGGTTTAGTATGGCGGTTTAGTATGGTGGGCTGGGTGCGCGACTTGACAGAGGCAGCATTTGTTGGTGGTCCAGACTCTTTTCTTCATCTGAAACCGAGGCTTTCTTATCCTTTTTGCTTTTCTTTTGCTTTTTTGGCAGTTCACTGTCTGGACCTTGGAGGATTACGCCTGGATGAGATATGTTCCAAACGAGGAGCGCCAGAAACATCGGCAGTGCTTCTGTGGCGTAGAATGGCGCTTCGTGCATGGTGAGGGGTGAAAAAAGGCCAGCGGAGAACTCGATGAGGCGGAAGACAATACGAATCTGCACAAAGCCTGTGAGATTTACGTGGAGAAAGAAAGCGTGATGAGCTTACCGTGATGAGCACGATGCAACTATACATGGTATAGAGGGATCGTTTCCAGCCCAAGGTGTTGCCAACGTCTACTTGCTTCATGCGGACATGATAACGAATGACAAGGCCCGTGAACAAAATAACAAAGAATTGCTGGATGCCGATCCCTCCCATGTAGATGTGAATACCCAGTTGCATCATCTTGAGAGAGTTCTGGGGGTTGATCATCAACCCGCCGACGACTTGAACCAAGAAAGCACTGATAAGATTGTTAGTAAGTACTGACAGACTTGGAGGGGAACACAGACGTTATATCGAGCAGTACAAAGATGAGAGAGAGCCGCTGTGCGCGAATACGAGCAACTCGTTTCTCCGGGATGAAAAAGTGAATGAGGCGGGCCATCACCACGTATAAGAATGCGTTTATCCATAGCGGCGCGAGGAGGATAAGGAGCTGGGACGGAATGCCGAAGCCGATTGAAGTGGTGTTCAAAACAGACATGACACGTAGGGCAAAGCCCGCTGTTTCCCAGCTTGCCCCCATGATGAGAACCCAACAGAATGCCTTGCGATAGTGCATGGCTTGGATCACATGGGCAATGAGGCTGAGGCCAAATAGAGAGGTGAAGAAAACGGCCGCAGGAAAGGAGGGGCAATACATGAAGTTGTAATTCTCGCTGGTGCGAGGATCTAGTAGATGGAGCGATGAGAAGAAAAAAAAATCAGACTAGCACACACCCATGCATTTAACCTGAACCATGGTGAAGAAAGTGAAATGGGGTCAAGAAACTCCCCCTCACACTTTATATACCCGAGTCGTCGTGCGATAGATCCAGGTGTCCGTGATCCTACGGCGCAACGACTAATATCGAGCAGTGCTACTTGCAGTGCCGAGCAGTGATCGCAGTAGCATTGACATATGTTGAGTATTTATGCCGGGCAACGAGCGGAAAGAGTTTTGGTCCTTTGGAACTGTTTGCCAATCGTTAATCTGCGACCAGTCGCGCACACGTGCCAGTCCGTTCCATAAACTGACACGCGTAATAGATATGACTCATCCAACTCTGATCGACAAAAACGTTTGTTCTCACCATGACGCGTGACTCACGACCACCTGCGAAACGGCGACGAGTGAACTCTTCTCAAAGTCGCCCCTATTCAAACTCGGATCTGCCCTCGACTAAGACATTAGGATTGACCTGTTCATCGTGCCACCGCACGGTTATTGGCTCACTGAGTTGCCCTCGTTGTGGTCATGCGACTTGCATTGTGCGTCTCTGAGAGTTTCTCCTCTATAGTTTCGCGTCATATGATTTAGATTTGCTCTCGAACTTGTACTGCGGCCGTCCATTCACCACCACCAACTCCCCAGTTGTCTTGGACACCTACTCCCACCTCGAGCCCGATGCACAGCCCAAAGAAGTCTATCCTGGCTCTCACCAATACCAACTTAGATAGCAGCAATGCGAAACGCAAGAAGCCAGGTGAAGAAGAAGGGATGGGTGGGTGCGGGCGGGTCGTCTGTAAAGACTGTTGTTTTGAATCTCAGCAGGAGTACGCGGTCCCTCGTCTTTACTTGCTCAAGATTCACGTGTGCTACTCCAGGAGTTCCACCACCTGTTATGACTGCTGCGGCCATTAAGACTCAATTTCGTTACCTGCTGATGTCGAAAGCTGGGTTCCGAATGGCAGGACTGATCGTATAAAACTCCATGTATTCGAGGGTGTATTTTACTTGGTAAAATCGGCAAGATTTTTTCTAGGCCTAATTGGTCTTCAGTTTCCGCACGTTACTCTGATTTCTGCTTGTGAAGATCGAGTAAATCACTGTACCAAAGAGAACCAAAGCCCCTCCACTCCACATTGGGCGGTGATTCACAGTTGGACTTTCCGCCAAGACCAACACGCTGATGAGTAGGCTAGTGGCTTTGCGAACAGCCAGGACCAGTGTAACAGTGAGAGCGCTGAGGCGAGTGGTGAGTCTGTGTACACCTGCGACACAAATGAGTTGGGTTAAGGTGTTGAGAAGTAGGGTAATGTATGGTTTGGGCAGATGGAGGAGAAGCGACGCTTGATCGGGCTGAAGATGGAGGAATACACCTTGTCGGAAGCCAGGTAGATCGGCGATCCACTTTGGCAAGGGTAATAATGTGGTGCGAGGCCCCGACGAGATGACAGAAAACTGCATTGATATGTCTTTTTTCATAAAAAAGAACAAAGGAAGAGCCAAGGCATGAAGATAAAACATCGATTCCTGCCATGTCGAAGCTTCTCGTCCATATTTCGAGTATATTCGGTCTTGGATAAGACCTAATGCTCCAGAAAGCACGAGAGCGAGGGTAAGGACTAGAATCCCTTGGATATATTTGCTCATAGAGGGACTTGTAACGGGGAGCTCTTGGTCAACAGCTGATATTGTTGTGAGCATCACACCGACGGTAACCAAGAAAACCGAGAATATTTGCCCAGTGGTATATCTGGACGATCAAGTTCAGAGGTCGTTTGTGGAAGTAAGTAAGAATTGTTCAACCTTTTGCCACTGATAGCCCATCCAAAGAGCATGCTTATGACAAGTCCAGCACTTCTGAAGATGATATGCACCGACATAGGAACGTTAAAGGAAAATGCCGCGTTGTTGAGGAGGGAGACGATATAAAATATGATGACTTGCACAGCGTAGCCTATCAAAGGGATGTGTCGTGGCCGGAGTGTGGGATAGCCCTGACTCCAAGAGATGTTTGAGTACAAACCATAAACGGAAACGAGTAGAAATTGGGAAAAAGTTATGAGAGTGCCAGAAAGTGGATAGGTCGAGGTCAGCTGCTCAAGGGTAACTGCATTGCTAAATCAGATAGACGTTGGATGGTCACCAACTCATTATATATGCACACACCTACAGCAACCCCCAAAAATGAGTGAAAGTGTTGAGAACCATTCGTCGAGAAACATGGGGATGACAAAAGGTACTTCCGATTGTTGATCCGAGAAATGATCGGACAATGGATACTCACTCCTCGCTCGAAACCAGGGCCATTATTGCTCCTTACACACATAGCTTCATTGATTATTATCCAGCTGAGCGTCCATTGGGCAATACGATTTTCCTTTGTTTCACAGCCTCGACAATCAATCAGTGCTTGCAAACCAAAGCCAATCCAGTCTCGGACCCTGGCCTGCTCCATATCGTTTTTTTTTTGTTTGAGGTCATATCGTCTGCTTTCTATCGATTTCAACGACACACGACGACCAGAGGGCGGATCGAAGAGCATGGTTGGTGTTGGTGGTTGATGAACCCATTGACAAGGAAACCAGAAGACTCTTCACGATCATTCGTGCAACTTGGTCTAATTAACTAGGCCTGAGGATTCAGATATTGGCACTCTGCCAAGTCCCTATCAGCTAACTTTATTACTTATTAGCTTTGTGCGTCCCAATTGTAAGTTCGGCACATTCTACATCACGCCTGTGACATTATCGTGACAGGGCCTCTTTCTTACCCTCTTTCGATTCCATCCCATTCCCTACCACTCTTTCCGGTTCCCATGGCTTCCCTCGCCCCCATAGTGGACGGCATTGGTATTGCAAACCTACCCAACCAAGTAAATAACAGTCCCTTCATGACCACACTCCTCTCACCCACTGGTCAGAAACATAAAATTGTTGCAAAACGTGGGGCGCATTTCACTATCATGGTAGTCGGTTTGTATCTCTCTTTTTCACGCACCCTCTCTCTTACAGTACTTAGGCGAGTCCGGGCTTGGCAAAACGACGCTCATTAACACGCTTTTCTCGACGGAGCTTTCCCCGGCCAAGAACTACTCCAAACGCCACGTTAAGCAGCTGGACAAGCTGACTGAAGTCGAAATCATCAAGGCAGAGCTAGAGGAGAAGCAATTCAAGGTCAAGCTCACTGTCATCGACACACCTGGCTTTGGTGACTATGTCAACAACCGCGATTCTTGGTCCCCTATCGTGGAATTCATCGACGACCAGCATGAGGCATATATGCGTCAGGAGCAGCAGCCACAGCGTGCCGAAAAGACCGACCTTCGTGTCCATGCTTGTCTCTACTTTATCCGACCGACAGGACACACGTACTGCTCCCTCATTTTTCTTTCGACTTGTTTAAACTCGTTGCAGGTTGAAACCCCTTGATATTGAGATTATGAAGCGTCTCGGTACCCGTGTCAACTTGATTCCCGTTGTCGCAAAGGCGGACACTCTGACGCAAAATGATCTTTTCACATTCAAGCAACGCGTAGGTGTCACGTTGAGGGTTTGCCTCAAGCTTTGTCTCATGCTCACCTTGCCTTCCAGATTCGCGAAGTCATCGCTGCCCAAAATATCCGCATATACACCCCACCGGTGGAGGCGGATGATGAGAGTGCTGAACTTGCGCGTACTCTAACGGATGCCATCCCATTTTCCATCATTGGTTCAACCGAGGATGTCAAGACTCCTGACGGTCGTGTCGTCAAAGGCCGCGAGTATCTGTGGGGTGTCGCTGAGGGTATGCGCCGTATTTTGTTTTCATTCTCGCTGGCTAAACGGATATCAAGTTGAAAATGAAAATCATTGCGATTTCAAGAAACTCCGGTCGTTGTTGATTCGTACGCATATGCTTGATCTCATCTCGACCACCGAAGAGGCGCACTACGAGAACTACCGCCAGTCACAAATGGAAACCCGCAAGTTCGGGGAACCCAAGGTGAAGAAGACGGACAATCCCAAGTTCAAAGAGGAAGAGGAGCAGTTGCGGAAGCGCTTTACCGAGCAGGTCAAATCTGAAGAGTCCCGGTTCAGGCAATGGGAACAACATGTGCGTTCACCAAATCGTTGGGCAAACCAAAGCTGATAATATTTGAAGCTCATTGCCGAGCGCGACCGCCTCAACAAGGATCTTGAACTTGCGCACAGTGCAATCAAGCAATTAGAAGCGGAGTTGGACAATCTTCAGGTTGGTTATGGACGAGGAACTACCCGCCGATGAAGGGTTTGCAAGCACTACTGCTTTTGAAATTTCTTGTTTGGATACTCTTCGTCTGGATACTATATACTTACTTCACCTACTGCCGATTGTGTCGTATACCCACCACGAAACACTTCCGTTCTTTGACCGACACGAAAAAGGCTCGATATGATCGCATAGCATAGTTCATACATGTTGAACTGACAGAAAAAGGCATCTACTCCGTGTCGGCTACAGTAGTTTGCAGCCCGTGAAAGGACGTGACAGGCACATAGGACGCATAAGTGAAGAGCTTCTCTTTCGCGTTCTCCTCGTCGTTACGCTTGCCTATCATGGCGTATAAGGATTCGAATTAAGATAGTAAATGGCCACGTACGCTCAAGTTTCACCCGAAGTCGATGCGGAACGCTCTTGATACCGCGAGCCCAAATCTGAGCGTTCAGTGCTGGGTCCAGGCGAACATCCGTGGTTCCCATCGCTTTTTGAGCGAAGTCGACAACCGATTTTATGGCCCATGGTGCCCTCTTCTTGAAACTACGCCCATGTACACGTTTGTGGAGGTGGATTGTATATTCCCGCGTTACAACATCCTTCAGGGCTGAACGCTTGCCGCCAGTCTGTGTCAAGTCAGCCCAGCTGCTGCGTGCCAGCGTATCTTCCGACCTTTTTCTTTTGGGTGGGGGCCTGATGAGTGTCAGATACTGAGGCGTAGCGAAATACCGAACTAGACACACCATTCTTGCAGGGACGTCAGAGGAGGAGAAACGATTTTTGGGATGTTATCTTCACGTGATGTTAGCAAGCTGATGCGTCACACTGTATGTGACGCATCAGCAAGCATGGGAGCGATCAACTTCACTGTCATTCCCAATTTGTCCACTAGCTTGTGTCGGTTGGACAATGCCGTTTTCGAAGAATGGACGACAGAAGAATGTTGGAAGAATGTATTCAAGAATAATGGCACTCTCATACATGGCACAAGAGACAATGGCATCTTTTTCTGATGCTGATAGGCGGACGCCCACAGTTTTTTGCGTATAAAGAGCTAGCCCTCGTTTGGATGGTCTTCAGCAACTCCTCGAGTTACTAACCTCACTGTCCTTCCTGCGACGACCATCCTCCTGCACAATGCGCTTCACCGCTGCTGCTGCCCTCTTTTCCCTCTTTGCCGCCACTGCTGCGAGCACCGTCACTCGTCGTCAATTTCCGGGTTTCCCAGATTGTAGCCAGGATTGCCTGGCTCATCCGAACCTCGATACTTGCAAAGCGGGGGACAACACCTGCCTCTGTAACAACTCGGTCTTTGTTCAATCCACGTTCACCTGCATACAAAACGCGTGCAAAGGGCAAGACCTGGCCACCGCCATCGAGGGCGCCTACCAGCTCTGCCTTGCTGTTGTACGTCAACGATTGGCTGATGTAATTGTTGTTCTAATAAGTATGAGTAGCATGTCACCCTCGTCTCCGCAAAAGGCGCCGAATTCTCCGCCACTGCATCGTTACCCAGTGCATCTGGAAATGCGTCGGCCGCTACCTCAGCGCCTGCGTCCGCATCGCGGTCTCCGGCGTATGTTGTATACCTTCTCATTTTTGTCCCCCCTCACGGGTTTCTAGACCTTCGACTACTCCTAATGCAGCCCTTGGCCGCTCTGCCAGTACCACGTTGGGTCTCGTAGCTATTGGTGCACTGGCTATGGCCCTCTAAGCTTGGTCTTCATCCCTTCGAATACTATCCACACATTTTGACTACGCAGTGTCGTAGATGCCTTTATATCCATCCCCCCTCTGTATCGTTATTCTTTACTTGTAGCTGGTAGCCAGTGCTAGGGTTTTGGTCAATCAACTTCAACTTGGTGTCTTAACAGCAGGTCAATGGACAATGGCAGGAAATTTGCAATCACACGACAGAGGCTGCTTTTTGGGGCATTCGTTTGGTAGTCATAATTGCAGCAATGGCAAGCTCATACATCAGTTCAAATTAGATCAACCGATCGCATCATACCGTGAGTCATTACGATCACGCAAGTATATCCCCTCCTTTTGACCACCGACGCGGCACGCGTCTGAGCGGCGTCTTGCTATCCTCTGAGGGTCCCAGCACATGGTAAGAGACCCATTATTTATCCAGCTCTCTGTCTAATGATTTATAGCCGTCTTGTCGCGATTGTGGAGGAACTGTGCTTGAATATGACCTAGCTGCAGGAAATGGCGTCTGCGTCAACTGTGGCATGGTCATCGAGGAGAATGCAATAGTCAGTGAAGTGACATTTGGGGAGACTTCCTCCGGAGGTGCCATGGTCCAAGGCTCCTTCGTAGCCCAGGGAGCTAGTGAGTTGTTTGTGTCTAGCACAATGGAAAACTAAGTCCAATAGCTCATGCTCGAATGAGCGGTCCATATGGAAATCGGGGGAACGGTGATTCACGCGCCCAGACGATTGAAAATGGTATGGAGAGCAATAATATGCTTAAAGGGCCGAATTAACGACGAGACTAGCTTCCAAGAAAATCAATATGATCTCGTCAGTTCTGAGACTGAGCGAAGTTATCTCAAATGCTGCATTACGAATGTACACGCTTGCCGTCGAACACAAGTTTACCAAAGGTCGTAAAAGTATGAATGTGGTCGCTGTCTGCCTCTATATCGCTTGTCGACAGAAAGATACGCACACTCACATGCTCATCGACTTCTCGGACCTTCTTCAGGTAGGGCCGTGGCTTCAATACTGCTTCTCTAAACTAATAATAATAGGTCAATGTGTTCGAGCTCGGTCACACCTATCTTCAGCTGGTACAAACTTTGAATCTCAAGCTGCCTCTGGTGGACCCGTCACATTTTATCTCGCGTTTTGCTGCTCTACTAGAATTCGGCGACGAGACACCTAAGGTTTCTCTGGATGCCGTCCGTCTTGTGCAGCGGTTCGATCGTGATTGGATGACTCGAGGTCGACGCCCGGCTGGGATCTGTGGTGCTGCTCTTCTCCTTGCCGCGCGTATGAATAACTTTCGCCGCTCTGTTGAGGAGATCGTTCAGGTAGTCAAAATCGCTGACACTACGCTCAAGAAACGTCTAGAGGAATTCAAAAACACCCCAAGTGGTGCGCTGACTCTCGCCGACTTCCGAAGCGTATGGCTCGACGAGGAGGTGGACCCCCCGGCTTACACTCGCAACAAAGAGAAGGAGGAAGCCGAGCGATTGGCCAAAGAGGAGCCAAAAGCGGACAATTCAGACACTGAGGTCATCTCGAGCAAGAGCAAAAAGAGCAAGATAAAGGGGAAACGCAAACGCAATGAGAAGGATGAAGAACCCCTACAGGAATCTCCCGAGCCTACTTCCCGACATCCTCTTGATCCCGCCATTTTGAACCAAGGTATCTTGATCGGTACTCTCGACCCATCAATTCCTGGCGCAGAAACCGCCATTGAACCCGATGCGCATGCCAGTATTGTTGATCCTGGACAGCACCCAGCATTAACAGCATTCGACCAAACGCAGGCTGCTTCATTACCGCCAATAGAGATTTCTCTCTCCGAAACTCTTACACGAGACGTTGCTGGCTATCTTGAAAGCTCGCAGGGTGTAATGCTCTCATCTGCCCTCGACGAGGCTCACGATCGCCGCCTTGCTGAGATAGAAAACAGTGTTGTCGATGAGTTGACAGGGCTCGATGAGGACGAGTTGAATCGATTCATTCTCACGGATGATGAGGTCAAGATCAAAGAGCGCGTCTGGGTGGAATTGAATAAGGATTATCTGGAGGCCCTTGCTGGTATGTACCACAGCTATCTTGACCATTAAATATTCAAATCATGCCAGCGAGGGGAAACGATGATCCAAAACCCAAAGCCAAGAAGGTCAGCTTCCCATTTGGTCATCTAATTTTTGATTCATCTCCTCTTTAGCGACGGAAAACCGAGCCCGTTGCACCCCGCGATACGTCAAATCCCACTGGGCGGACAGCGGCCGAGTCTGTCAAGACACTTATAACCAAGAGCAGCAAATACAGTAAGCGTATCAACTACGATGCACTGAAGACTCTTCTTGAACCCGAGATGCCCACTTGGGACGACAAAGAAGATGGGTTATATACGTTTGACGACAAAGACAAGAGCGACAGTGAAGGCATGCTTCTAATCGAAGAAGCTGGAACCGTCGGTGCAGGGTCGCCGACAAAGGCCAAGCGAAACAGTTCCCAAATGGCAGATTTGGAGGAGGAACCCGAAGAGGCGAGTGATAAAGAGGAGGATGGGAATGTGGCGTGGGACGACGCTTATGAGCAGGAAGTATGATATTATAATCGCTAATTCGCATTTTTGGGTCCTTTGCATTTGTACTTGTAGTTGCATCGAACTTTCTAGACTGACACTAGGCTTTACCGGCTTTTTGCAATTCCGCTTTGTGCTCCTTCTCTAGTTGCTCCTGCGGCAGTTTGAGAGTGGTAAGAAAGATGAAGGTGGTACTCTAACCAATTCCGTCTTCTTGCGTTCAATCTACATTATTATCAACTAAGTCGTTTGCGAAGCGTTGAACCGGAAAACATACCTCCGCTCTCAGTTTTTGCAGTTGTTCCTGTTCATGGCGACGAGCATATTCAGCTGTTAGGCTCAGTATTGGGACCTGCATGATCACGTTTGTTTTCCACACCTTCTTGCGCGTTTTCCTTGTCTCTAGAACAAGCTATGAGTGAACTTTTTCAGCTGTAGGCTGTTTGGCAACTCGTACTTGAACCCTTTACTACCGGAGCTTACGCTTCCGGCATTACCGCTACTGAATCGCACCGCGTTGACAGAGAGTCGTGCAAGACGTTGGGTTGAGATGCGGGCCAGCATGTTGTTGTGAATGAGATGGTGTCACAATTTTGTTACACTTGATTTCCCTTTGACCATGTCCGCCGTTCTGCGGAGAGCTGCTGGCGTCGTGCGTCAACTTGGACTCCTCACTCTCTGCTCTAATATCTCTCCAGAGTCGCATAACCACTATCTCCCGTTCCTTCTCCTCCTCTGTCGTTGCTCGCAAAGGTTTCTATCATTATAGCCAGCGGCCTCTTTCTCCCTGCTGACGAGAGTCCCAGACATCGTGCAAGACTTGTATCTTAAGGAGATAAAACTCTACAAGGCGCCTATTGCCGTGCGCAACTACGTCAACGCACCATTTTCGATAAAATTGACTTCAAACAGGCCAAAGATGCCCATGTGGGTGTTGTAAAAGCGTACACATTACCACCGACCCCCAAAGCTCCTGCCCTCCCGACTGACCTTGCGTCTGAACTGTCCGAATACGACTCCAGCGAACCCGCAACTTCTACCGCCGACATCAAGGCGTCGGCGCCCATCTCGGACGGTGGCGCAGAGGCCTTTTTAGAGGTTTTGGAAGCAGACGTACATGACGAGCATCATTAGAACAACAGTAGTCGAATCATAAATATAAGACTTGACCCAACTGGGAGTACTGTCATATGCTGAGTCAACCCAAACGCGTCTTGTCATTCCACCACTACCATGCTCATCAAAGTCAAGGTGTGCATTCTCCTCTTCTTCATCCCTGTCTCTTGAACGCCTCGCAGACTCTGACCGGGAAAGAGGTCCGTTCCCTTAATCGCACCGATTTGCTTTCTGATTTCACTCTTAGATTGAGCTTGACATCGACCCCGACGATAAGGTTTAATTGGCCATCGCTCGCGTTGCGCCGACTGACGCGTGGAACAGATAACTCGTATCAAAGAGAAAGTAGAGGAGCAATCTGGAGTTCCCCCACCACAGCAACGACTCATCTTCTCAGGGCGCCAATTGTGAGTGGCGAAATTGTATCTGAAGGCGATGTGTTGACCACGTCTCTAGGCAGGATGACAAGACTGCGAAAGAGGCGAATATCATCGCGGGGGCTGTTCTGCATCTTGTCCTAGCCCTTCGTGGTGGCTCTCACTGACTGACCTATCCATCGATGAACGCTGCCTGTGTTATCTGTATTAAACCCAAGTTGTAGACGCATTCCATCCACTTGCTTGCTCTGTTTCTATTTGCCAACCATCAAAATCTGTGCACAAATTCTACATGCCCTCACTGTCCATTCGTACTCCCGTTTTCTTGTTGGTTTACCCTACTGAGCGCGGCGTCTGCTCGCGCCAGATCTCCTTCGCTTAGGCTGCGGAAAGTACCTCCTCCAGGTGTGCTTGCCCCACTGATGACGCTTCCCGCTCGACTACGAACTTTCATGACCAGGGGGCTGCATGAATTTGTAAAATCCGTTTGCAGTGTGATATTGGCATGACTCACAATGGATATGAATCCTCCTCCTCGTGCCCACCGGGCCAGTTGTACCCATTGTAGTCGCTGGTTTGCAGCCTTTGCATCTAGAAAGAGTGAATGAATGAATAGTGAGATTGGACTCCAAACCTCCTCTGTCAATGTTGCAATATCACCTGGAGTGGCTGTACCGCGGATACGAGGACTTGCGGGGACACTGGATGCCATCCAGCCTTGCCGTTCACGTGAGAAATAATCACTATCTTCGTCTTGATTTTCGTCCGCGTTGAAGGCGTCGGGATAAGCACGTCTGAGGGCTAATTGACGCGACTTGCTATATTCAATGCCCAGGTTCTTCCAGTCCAACAGAGGGGACAGGCGTTCAACGCGATTGCGCTAAGTAAGAACAGTTGAACGAATCGACATATTGTCATTCAGGGTTTCTCACTTGATTTATTCGTTGTCGTCGCGTTTTGCTGGTGAAGGCGAACATATAGTCGGTCAGTTGTTGAACTGAATCTTCCACCGATTTGGACCGTCGATCGACAATGTAGCATCCTTCATCCTGTGGACGTTCTATTAGATCAGCCATGAAGCAGCCGAATCCCGATAAGTTGGTGGTAATGGAAGGAATGCCCATCTTGCACCAAGGTGAGAAGAGTGAGTAGAGCAATGTGTACAAGACCGACCACGGTACATTCGGCGGGTGTGTAGCCCCATGGCTCATAGTAACTGGGAAACACCCCCAAATGTGTCCCTCGCACAAACTCTTCGTAATCAAGCCCCAGAATGGGGTTAGAGCTATTCAGAAAGTCAGGATGGAACACTATCTTAACACGATCTGAGGATGAGTTGAAAAGTCGGACGCGGCGAATCTATTACGTGGATGAACAATGATTGAGAACATGTTTGCCAACAGTCTTACCTGGTTTAATATTGGGTCGTTGGCATCGTCCGCCATATTGTGTGTAGTGACAGGGGGAAGGCTGTTGCGCTTGAGGGCGAAAATGCGACGCTTCAGATGGACCAAGTCTTCCTCAGAGAGAAGTGATGCAATATTCGGAAGTGGTGCAGAAGAGTCCCTGGAATACAGTTACAGTTACTGATCTTGACGAATAACACACATACCCTTGAAATCGGGCCGCAGTCTCAAAAAGACGTGCGCCAATACGATTTTGAATCTCACTGACGGTATCCCGAAGCTGCTTGGTTACGGCTTGGCCCTTCAGGGCTTCAACTGTGTAGCTGTGCGATGCGGCAGGCATGATGATAAACGCGACCACAGTCATCGTAGAATCGCTGTTGATAAGCTGAGAAAACATAAGATATAAGAGGAAGTGGCTCACGCTTTTTGAAGCCTATAATTTAGTCGTGCGAGAGATTCGATGAACATATCAACACCCTTGTTTCGGTATTCATACCGCCCGGCTGTGAACATCTGCATTCTCGTTAGATCTCAAAGGAGTGAGCGGAGGAGAAAGCTGACATAAAGGGTATTATCTAGATCAAAATCATAGTGGCCATAGAAATGGCCACGAACAAATTCGTCGATTTTGGCTTTCGAGGTTGCATGACGGTTCTGGAATTCGTGCATCGCCTGAAATTTGACAACATTGAGGCCATTGGGAACCACTCCATCAGGCTTGCGTTTGAGAAGATGTTCAGCTTCGTATGCCGTGATGTGGGAGACAGTGGTAAAAACATCCGCGCAATGAGTGGCACTGCGTTCGATACAGTAACGGTGGTATATGCCACGTTTCCCTGCTTCGTGGTCCACATCGAAGTACTGCAAGTTGTTGTAGAAGTCTACGCTTCCCGCACAAAGATATCGGCCAAGCAGAGTTGCATGAGTGGTGAAGACAGTTGTAACGTCGATGTGACGCTTTCGGCACAATGGAATAGCGACGCCAACCTGCCATTCATGGAAGTGGGCGACGACAGCTGTGGTTAGTTGACGAGAGACGTAGTCGCCGAGAAACCAAGCGACGATGTAACCAAATACGATTGTTTCGTTGGTTTCATGATCATTTGGGGGTGAAGGAATTCCAGCAAGGTTCCATAGATCTCCTTTCCACTCGTCGAGACGACTGTACATAGAACCAGTGTCAAAGAGAAGGACATGCGGCGCGCCTTCGATCAACCATCGTCCATAGAGAGCTTTGACACCCTGCGCCCTCATGGATTCGAGAGTGGCCGCAAGATGTGGATCGGTTGGCTCTTCTGCTTCAACTTCCATTGGGGCCGTCTTGTAGGAGAGTGGGCCGATAAGACAATAGCGGTCACCATACTCGTTCACAGTCACTGGCACTTTGGTTCGAATGACGGTGTAAATCCCGCCAACCTTGTTGGCAACTTCCCAAGCACATTCGAACAGATAGCTGCTGAGGATAAACGACGCGTCGGGAGCTTGAAACGGAGCTCGTACGGATTTCGAACGTCTCGTATGGACATGGAGAAAAAGGAAGAAGGGAGTCAATGACGTCGTTGGTTGCTCCTTGATGATCTGATGGTGTGATGTAATAAATAATGCTGCTACATGCGAAATCAATGTACACCATTAACCATGAGCCTCTGCTGGGCACGCTCCGCCACTGCATCATAAACATAGTGTTGCACCGGATGATGTGCTCGTTGCCACATGCGAGAGGGGGTATCTTCATCATCCGATTCCGACAGTCGGTCCTCGTCAATTTCGCTCCCTCCTCCCAACTGGTATGTCCCACCTTCCGAGCCCGATTCTGGTTCGTCCACCACAACACGTCGCTTCCCAAGTGCTTTGGCACTGGGTTGCAGTGGTTTCTCATCTCCCTCTTCTCCATCATCGAAATAAAGCTGTTGATCATCCATAGAGCTTCGAGCGTTTCCAACCTGGAGTCCACCCAACCCGTTTATCAGTTCTTGAGCTGGTGAAGGAGCCCGTGACGTATTAATCCCCGGGGAACGTGGCCCATGCGGCGCTGCTGGAGGAGGTGCCAATGTTTGTTGATGCGTAATAGGATCGAAGGGTGATGGTGAGCCTGGTCGCGAAGAGCTTCCACCACCACGGTCTGCGATCAACATTCCGTCTTCGCTCAGAAATTGTCGCTCCTAAGGGCCCAGTTGAGAGACAGATGAGAAGGAGAAGACAAGAGTGTACTCTGGAGCCCATCTTTGTGTCCTTGCGACTCCGGTCTTCTGCTTGACGTTCTTCTGCAACGCGCTTCAGATCATCGTATTGTTTGAGCGCCTCAAGAAGTAGTTCATTTGCAGCTAAAAGTTCACCCAGCAATTCTTCTTCGCGTGTTGAAGGAGGGACTGTGAGGTCTCCTTGGCTATCGTTGTCCAGGATTAATGTGTTTCCACTATTCTTGCGCTTTCTATCGATCTCCTGCTGATCTCTAGCGACACGACTCCGCTCCGCACCAGCAGATGCCCAAGGAATCTGGGTGAATATAAGTTCCTGCGAATCCATGCATTTCCGGTGGAATTCCTGTCACTATCATCAGTCTGTCGTTGTTATAATATTCGAGATCAACTCACTGTTATCACATCGGTTCGAAGGTCTTCTGGTGTTGCCATTGTGAGGGCTTCGTTGAGCAACGTAGCATTTCCCACGCCTATTCGACACTCCTGGAATAAGCGGCGCATATCTTCGTCTGGAGGTATGATCCTATGTCGATGTTCACGGTGTTGTCTTGGTTCCCCTGAGGGCTTCTTTTCACTTGTTTTGCGCTTTCGTTTAGAGACGGGAAGCGGGGCTTCGGACACCAGAGGTGTTGCGTCATGGTAGGTTACGACTGGTGGCACTTCGTAGTTGCCAGCTCTACTACTCGAGAGTGGTGGATTGAACATGGCGTCTTCAGTGTCAAATGGGACTCCCTCCTCAGGTTTGTCCTTGGGCTTGACGCGCCTCCAAAGCCCACGGAAACCCGAGTCCTTCTCTAGCTAGTCGTTAAAAAAACTACTTTAGGGTAGCATGTTGAACGCACTTGATCCGCTGGCATACGCAGCGGCGGCGAGGACATCCATAACACGTTCGCGAACAACGGGTGAGATGCGGGATGAAGTGAGAAGGTCTTCGATTGTGTCCAAAAACTTGCGAGAGGTGCACTGAGAGATAAAGACATCGGATGAGTTGCGCAGCATGATGGCCCATAACTGTAGACCAGATCAATGTAAGAAGCAGTCTGGGACAGCAAAAGAACGACCCTTGCAGCCGCCAGTTGCGCCGCAGGTTCTCCATATTTAAATTCGCGACGAAGGGCACGCACTGCCTCTTTTGCGGCAGTCTCGCTTGATGAGGCATGGTCGCAGACATCGAGAACCAAAGTCCAGTCTTCGGAGGCAGTTGCAGTCAGGAAACCTACGAGCAGTCAGCATAGTTCACCCAAAAATCCTTTCGGAATCCACCGATCTTGCGAGTTAGTTCGTTGTCATCGTCCCTCCGCTCTTTCTTCTCTAAATCTACTCGTTCCTTCTCTCGACCCCAGAATCCTTTGCCCTTCTCCCGATTCCCGTTCTCCGCTATCCGCTCTTCCGACCGATTGCGAACATGACCGACAGCGCTAGCCTGCTGCACAGGATCGAGAGAATGTAAGATGCCAAGCACTGGGGGTGTCTTCTTGCGCAGAGTTTGCGATGAAGGTGGCTTAGCGGTGGTGTATGGCGATGGAGAGCGTGTAGGGCTAGGATCCGGTCCGGTGACTGGTGGGGTATGTTGCTCGACGACCTCCCATCGTTCCTCGTCTGCAGTATTGCTCGTTGGACGTGTGGCAAATTGTTGATGTATTGGTGTGCTCATCGGTGCGGGTTGTGCAGCTGCTGGAAGGGCAGTGGGCAGGTCCTGGGTTTCGTGAGCATGATGATGGTCATTAGAATCGCGCTTGACAGTACCTTGCCTTTGTCCCTCCCAAATAGCTTTTTCATGGTGGTCGGTCAAGGCAGTGAGCACACAGCGCCTTGTGATCATAACAGTCCCAAACAATGTTGTGCAATCAAAGAATACAAGTATAATAACGGCGCGGTTCCACTCAATTTTATTATTAATAATTATTGATATACATAATTTCATTAATATAAGATGTATTAAAAAAATATTCAGCTTGAACAAAAAAAAGAAAAAACTAAGAAAATAATTAGTTGATTTTTTTAAAAAAGAAAAAATTATAAGATAATTATATATACTTTAATGATTGAGAACCTCAGGATATACCACATTCTTTGTTTTTGTATGAGTGCTGGTTTTGAATAGTGCTTTTACTCTTTGGCTTGAGATATATCTGGAGAGAGCAATATATTGTTACATATTGTAAGGGCAACCCTGGAGACTCTGACGAAAGCCTAGCAGGGGAGGATCCAAAGCGTGAATAAAAGCTACGGGAAATACACGGAGGGACCGACCTAGCAGGGGAGGATCCAAAGAGAAGAAACTCTAAGGGTCCGCCTGCTAGGGCGCCAACTATATACTGGTCGTCCGTAACTGCCGACGTAGAGCGCAGAAGGCCTGAGCGGCGTCGCAGGCTCTGTCCCAAGGTGATCGTTGGGAGGGTCTTGACGGATCGGTGATTGTGCAGCTGATATAGCTACTTCTATGCAAAAGATGTGGGCCACTGCCCATGGGTGTAATGCAAAAGATGTGGGCAACAGCTCTAAAGTCACAAATGTCATAGGTATTTCCATGATAATTAATTATTTTAGGGCTTTCTAGCACCTTCTAGGTGATGGGATCAATGCCTTTTATATAATGTTTTTGATGTGGAACCATTTTTGATGAAGATCAATTGATTTGCTTATTAGGCTCTGTTCCATCAATGTGACATGTGATTACATCAATTCCCTTGCCCTGTATTATAAACTGTTCCAAATTATATACCGAATCATCGGCCTGAAGAAATAGTGACTTCTATTACCATATATAGCATTAGCTTAGTCATAGCTATCAATTTGGCTCTTTAATCTAGTATTTATATTACAGGCTTGTGACCTGTGGGCAATTGCCCACATCTTTTGCATTAGACTGGTGGGCAGTGGCCCACATCTTTTGCAAAAGACTGGGTATACAGGGTGGATTGTGCGGGCGAAGGAGGCCGTGGACGATGGTCGGGGTGGGTCGGAGCGTCCGAGGGGGCGCCGGTCGGATGCGCCTTGGATGCGTTCGGAGGGTCCGAAGGAGGCCGAAGCGGGGGTTCCCCTGACATCACCCCCCCCCTTTGAATGCGGCGTCCCAACGCATAGTTCGAAAGGGCAAGGAGTCGAAGGTTGCTGAGGCGATGTGCCGTGGTTTACCCGGGTACCTCCGATAGAAGTCCGCAATCTTGTCTGGCGCAAAGACACGGTCGAACCGAACCCACGAGTCGTGTGAAGTGTCGTAGCCTTTCCACCTGACGAAATAGTTAAGACGCTTATACCTTATCCTGGCATCCAAGATTTCCTCGACTTCCCATTCGGGGACTCCGTCTTCTAGCTCGGGGGGCGGTTCGTCGTAGCCGGGTCGTCCATTGAAGGGGTCGTCCTGAGCGGGCTCGAGCTTAACAACGGGGAAGACGGGGTGGAGCTTGGAGTAACACGGGGGGAGGTCGAGCTTGTAGGCACCTTTGCTAACCTCTGCAAGCACCTTGAACGGTCCGAGGCGCTTGTGGGAGAACTTCTCGGAGGGCCGAGTCGTTCTAATGTCAGAGGCGTCCAACGAAACCTTATCACCAACTTGAATATTCGGAGCGTCCAAACGTTTCCGATCGTAGTACCGTTTATACTCGTCTTTGGCTTTAACAAGCGCGGCCTTTGCCTCGGACACGCCGTTAGCTATCCGATCGCGAAACTCGTTCACCGACTCCAACTCTGAGCGGGCGCCTGGCTCGAAACCCATTCGGGGGAGCCGACCAGTGTCCGTCATAAAGGGTACCTGTTGAGTGGAGGAGTGAACGTGGTTGTTATAGGCGAACTCAGCGGCAGGGATAAGCTCGTCCCAGTCGTCTTGTTGGTAGTTGGTGAAGATCCGGATGTACTGCTCGAGCTCTTGGTTAACGCGTTCGGTTTGTCCGTCTACTTGCGGGTGGTAAGCCGTGGAGGTGGCCGGTTTGACGCCAATTAAGCGCCAGAGTTCGCGCGTGAAGTCAGCGATGAACTGCGAACCACGGTCCGAAATGTACTTCTCGGGGGTTCCGTGGTGCCTCCAGACATTCCGATAGTACAACCGGGCGGCTCCGACCACGTCTATTGTCGTATGGCACTCGGTGAAGTGGGCGCGTTTGCCAAGAGCGTCGACGACTACCATGACCCGCGTCGTACCCATGAGCTTCAGGGAGCTCGACGATGAAGTCCACCGTGACGGTGTGCCAGCGTTCGGGGGGGACTTCGGTCGGGTGTAGCTCTCCGTGCGGGAGCCTTCGGAGGGCCTTCGTGCGGGCAGCACAAGTCGCAGGTCGCGACGTGGCGTCCGATATGACGGGACATCTGTGGCCACCAGTAGTTGCGCCAAACCAGCTCTAGGGTTTTGAACCGACCGGGCGTGTCTGGCGACCCGCGTGTCGTGGCAGAGCTCGATGATGCGCCTCCTTAGGTCCTTGTCTTTGGGGACTACGACCTTGCCGCGGAAGTACAAGAGATCGCCCAAGACGGCCCACTCGTCCGAACGTGATGAGCGGGGGCCCCGAACTTGACCTCGGACCTTCAAGAGTTGCCGGGCCACAAGCGCGACGGGCTCCTCTAGGTCAGGCTCACCGGATAGCGCTTCCTTGATGTTGCGGACAAGTTCGGACCCCGGCCCAGAGACAGTGACGGCCTCGAGCGCGCGAATGTGGAAAAGCTCAGGGTGCAAGAGGGTGACGTCCGAGTTGTCTTCGGAGATGCCGTGGTCAGGCCGGGCGGGAGAGAGCATCGGGGCGGCCCATCTGGCGACCTGGGACGTGGTGCAGCGTGAAGTCAAACCTAGAAAGGTACAACGACCATCGGGCTTGCCGACGGTTAAGGTGCTGTGCCTTTCGGAAATACTCCAAATTCTTATGGTCAGTCCAGATCTCGACCGGATGCGCGGGCGCCCTCGAGGAAATGCCGATACTCCTCGAGTGCGCGGATGATTGCAAGCATCTCCTTGTCGTGAATCTCGTAGTTGCGCTGGACATCATTTAAGCTTTTGGAATAGAACGCTACAGGGTGCCACTTCCCGTCCGGGGCGGATTGTTGTGAAAGAACCGCCCCCGTCGCATAATCTGAGCTGTCTGCTTCAAGTCGGAAAGGCCGAGAGTCGTCCGGGATCGCTAAGACGGGCTCTGAGACGACCGCGTCTTTGATAGCTTGAAAGGCAGCGGCTTCGGCGTCTCCCCAGGCCCATTTCTGGTCTTTCTTGGTGAGCGCAAAGAGAGGCTGCGCAAGGGCCGAGAAATCCCGGATGAACCTGCGGTAGAAATTAGCAAACCCCAGGAACTGCTGGACGTCCTTTTTATTTTTGGGCGGAGGCCAAGCCGAGACTCCGGCGACCTTAACGGGATCCATTTCGACATGGTTGTGAGAGATGATAACCCCCAGGTACTCGATCGATGATTTCTCGAAGTCGCACTTCTCCCTTGCGAAGGTACAGCTTGTGCATTCGAGTCTCCAAAGGACTTCACGGACGATCTCGCGGTGCTTACGGAGGTCCGAATGTGCGATAAGGATATTGTCGAGGTAGATCATAACGTCTCCTGAAAGAATGAGATCCTGGAAAATGTCATTCATCATCATCTGGAAAGTCAGGGGAGTTCGTCAGGCCAAAATACATCACCAAAGGTTCGAACAACCCTCGGTTAGTCCGAAGGCCGCCTTCCACTCGTCTCCTTCTTTAATCCGGACGTTATTGAAGCCCCAACGAACATCGAGTTTAGTGAAATAACGGGCACCCTTGAGCCTGTTGATAAGGTCATTAATCAACGGGAGGGGGTACCGGTTCTTAATCGTCATTGCGTTGAGGGCACGTGTTAAGTGCCGTGTCGACCAGAGGGACGGAGACGGAGACGGAGACGGAGTCGAAGTCGGAAACGGAATCGAAGTCGTAGAGCACTTGGGGGCGGAACACCACAGAAGGATGTTTGGGTGACCGGGGCTTCCAGTTGACCAAGACAAGACAAGAAGGGAAGAGCGGAGTCGAGACGACGCTGGGAGATAGAGACCAGCAACGTTAATTTACAAACTGAAGTACGTGATAATACATCAAAGTATTTATAGTACGAGAAGTAACGGAAACGAATAAGGTATAACAAAGTAAGTAACAAGATTAGAACAAAGTCAAGTAAAGTAGAAGAGGAGTTGCATACGAGGAACAAGGCATAGATGATTGCATAGATCATAAGTCGGAGTAATTGGAAACGCTCAGTAAATCTTCATTGCGTAAAAACCAAATACCGGAGACGGATATCGGAGATGGATGCCGGAGTCGGCACGGATATAACAGTATCCCCTCTTGCGTTTCTTGCCCACAAGAAACAGGAGCAATGGTCGAGAGGTAGGAGTCGGAATCGAAATGTGTCGGAGTCAGAGTTGGACTTGTGAAAATTCTGAGTCGAAAGCCGGAGAGGCCGAGATCACCGAGGAAGCCGGTGAGAACGTGATAATAGCAAGGAGGACGAAAAAGGAAAGGGGTGACAAGAAGCACGTCACCGATTGACATCAATCTCTCTATCTTTACCACTTCCCACCATGCCGCCTAAACGCCAAAAACGCCAAAAAACGCCGAAGAAGGCCAAGAACCTGTACACCAACGCGGTGGAGCAGGTCGAGGAGTTGTCGGAGACGGAAAGGATTGGTGGCTGGGTTGGGGGACGGACAGAGACCCCTTGGCTGACGCGTTACCGTCGGGTAGCAACCGACGCAGGTGGACATGGGAGGGGAGTTGGAGGAGTTGGATCGTAGAGCGGAGAGGCTTCGTGCTGAGCTCGCGGAGATGGCTCCAAGGG